TCCAGGATTGACAGGACGGTATATAGTCGGATCGAAAGGTAACAGGCACAGACACAATGAGGTGCTCTGATGGTATGAGTGAGGTTATATCAAGCACTTCTGGTCCTCCTCCGTTCTTCTGAACTCGGGAGGCCATTGGAATGAGGAATTCGGACGAAGTGACGATGATGGAAGGCCCGACGAGATCGACGATTGCCGGCCACAGGCTAGGGTCTGTCGATGGACTGACTGGAACGACGGATATGGACAAACACCAGCAGGCGAAAATAAGAAGTGGACAGAGAGTGTTATTGTGACTGAGAAGAACAACGCATTGATTCGAGCCCTGTGTCCCCAGCGAAGGGTGCAGAGAGCGGATGCGTGTGGGGAGAAGAATTGAGGCGAGCGCAAACGCGTCAGCATAGGACAATACAACGTCTTTGTCCTCGACGAGGAAGTCGTGGTGAGGTGTTTGGCGAGCATGATAGCAGAGCACGCCCCAAAGTGTGCGATCGTTGGAATTCATGTGGAGAGAAACAAAGTGCAAATGGACACGACAGTTCGTCTGGAGATCACAGTAGACCTTGGTGAGTTGATGGTGCGAGCTAGACTGGTGACCAAGCCCCACAGTTCGAGGGAAAAAGGTGCATAAATATCTACATGGCCGAGTGGCGGGCCATGCCGGAGTTGGCCGAAGGCTGTCCTCACGATGGCCACAGCACTTGGTTTCTGACACGATTTTTAAACCACTATCATCGTCGCTTGTCGCTGACCTGAACCATTCTACCTCGTCTTGTTCCAAGCGGCAGTTTAAATTCGCGCTTTCCTATGCTGTATGCTGCTGATTTAGGCTGACTGCAGGCCAATGTGAGTACTTACACCGTAGGTCTCCAAGTTGTGTCCCTTCGAGCATCAGGTATATGACCGAGGTACTTCGGGGATATGCTCTATTAGCCATATCGTCATCCCCGAACGAGCATACCTAGGTTTGTAACATGAAGGTCAAACTATCGATCACAAAACGTTTTAGCACTGCCAAGGTACTGTGGCTTTTTCTGCTTTTACGTGAGTCCTGGTCTCATCGTTTTCTTCTCTTCGTCGTGTGGTACATCTAATACTTACAGCGCTTTCAGAAAGTATGCGGAATCGCGCGTTTCGCGATTTCGCCTCAGCCACAGGCCAGCCGGCGGCGCAGGCGGGATGCATATTGGTACGAAGGTTCGATCCTAAATCTAACATTTGGGCGAAATTTGTCACAAAATTTGTCGCCACATATGTACGCATTCGGATCGGGTAATCCTGCTTTTCAGAGACTTTGGTACGCACAACGGATCGAACCATCGTTTGCGAAGACCCTGCATGCAATCTAAGCATCGCTATTATTCGCGGTGTAAATGTGTACTTCGGACCCGATAGCGAGTAAAAACACCTTTTTTCAGTCCAACTTCATTGACGAGGACAGCGCGCTCGAGATTGCCTTCGCGCACATGTGTGTTGCGAACAAAAAATGTCGAGATTTGCCTACTGTGAAGTTAGGGAATGATAACTTCCGCTCGCTTTTGTGCGTACGTGGATCGAACCTAAGATACAAAGCTTGACTTGTGTCAGCATTTGGGATCGGACCACTGCTGAAAAAAGGCCCAGTCTTTGTACTTTTGCGATCGGACATGGAGGCCTTTTCGCACAAAATTTGTACGCATTTGGGATCGAACCTCGTAACCAGTATGCATCCCGCCTGGCGGCGCGTGTCCCGGCTGGGGCACCTCCCGGGTCCGGCAGTGGCGAGCGAGCGGCCTCGTCATGTGGCCCACACCCCATGCTGGCTAACTGGGCTGCTATTCAGATTTTTTACTACATGTATCAAGCATAACATGACTCTCAAATATGTTCTTGGTGTTATGGGATACAGAGGAGGTGACTCTTTGGGGAAATGACCAGTGACAATATATAATGGATGGTGTCAGGCAAGTTTGTCGAAGTCTTACTGGCGACTCGAGAGCCCCTGAACTCGCCAAAAGATATCCCGCATAAAGAATAAATGTACGCGACTGAGTTTACTCACTGGAGTCACTTCATTGTCTCAACTGTGTGCTCATGGATGCATATTTGCAGTTGGGCCACAGTCGCGATGGCCCGGAGAGAGCCGTGCCGAAGCTCGCTCCGTCGGCTGGCCTGTGGCTGGAGCGAATTCGCGAAGTTTACGATTCCGCATAATTTCTGAAAGCGCTGTAATGGGGAGGCAGTTGTCTCGAGACAAACCACGTGTGGCTCCAAGACTTCGGCCTCAAAATAATTTCAATCTCTGTACATATTGCAGATGAAAGACGGGGAGCCAAACATCCCTGAATATTGGGACAAAATCCCTCGGGCATAGGAGTCAAACAGCTTCGAGCACGGGAGCGAAATACATTTCTGCCAACGGTGCACGGGGGCCAAACCATCAAAATAAGTACCTTCGGGCCAAAGTGCTTACATAACATTTCGTGGCGCATAAAACAACTGTGCATTTTGAGCACAGGAGCCAAAAGCCTTCGGGCATGGTTTGTGGTAGCGTAAAATTATCACACTAGGGCATATACGTAGCGGTTCACATCGCGTTTTTGTGATGTGAACTAAACCCATGATGGGTTCAATACTTCTGATTTTTGTCCCGTTGGAGCCTCGAAGCTCAATTCACACTCAGTGCGATTTCGATGCGAGAGGGGCATCCTCCGGCCTCTGCCCGTTCACTGACGTTGTTCGAAACAGCACACACTTTGGCGGAAGGCCCACGTACTGTAGCTCCCAAAAGAATCACTGTATCAAAGGCCATCAGGAAAGGGGACGGGAATGAGAGCAAAAGTGGACCCGTTTCGAGGATCCAAACTCAATGTGAACTGAGTATTATATCTAGCACTAGCTCGAGATTTCGAGTTCACACTTTTCGTTTTCAGGATGACGAACGAAACTGATGTGAACCGCTACATATATGCCCTATTCCGAAGAAGTTTGTTAATAAATTCAACGCGATATCTTGTACGAGTGGCTGGATGTGTGCTACAATTGGCTCATCACCGATTTCAATTCAGCTTTCTTGCCCCTCACACCGAACACTCCCAGAACTCCTCACCCAAGTCGATAGACGTCGTGGTACAAGAAGGGAAGCAATGTATACAGAGAAGCGAATGTTGCGAATCGATGAAAGGCCTTGGAAAGACATTTTTAACGATCGACGCTAATCCGTTCGATGGCCCTCTTGAGGGCCGTCAACGACGATAGTATATCTAAGAGTATTGGGTCGAAAGAAAATATTAGAGAACATTAGGACTGCCATGGCGAGGGATAATAGCGATGAGGGTTTGAAGCTGAAAGAGATGGGCGTGGGAACGTGTGGTCACTGGCTAGACACGCAATATCTGTGTATGTAGCAACGAAGACGATTAGGAGTCAAGATTCACAATTGTTTGAAGTATCCAACTAAAAGAAAAAGAGACGCATTGGTGAAATTGTGTACTACTTTCGGGGCAGGACACTACGAATTCCACAAACGAGACCACTTCCGGCCAGCCTCAACAATCACGCTTCCACCACGATGGTTCTATGGGAAACCACCCGCATGAATCCTATCAGCATCTCCGCGATGAATCTATAGCGTAGCGCTCCTTGCATTGAAAATCAGCAACACGACAATCCTCTCCGATCCAAAGGACCTTCGCCCGCGACGCTAGAGCGAACAACTATACAAGCGACTAGGGATGTTGGACGAGTCCGTTGAAAGGGACTCGAGCTCTGGCGACAACAGACTGGATGGTTCGTAGGGTGCATCGTAGACTCCTTGGCAGCGCAGATGAGACGGACGATTAGCCCACTTTCTCCCACAAAATATCTCCGTATCGACTTGAAACACCGACCCACAGACTCAGGGGAAGCGCGATGGATAGAAAGGCTGCAACAAATGTCTGACCAGATAGTGTGGAGTCGACGTCGAAGAGACGTATATGAATCCACGGTGGTGGGCTGTTCTCGACTGATTGGAAGGATAAAATTTCGATGGGTCGCTGCGAGACTAGATCCTCACTGACGTACAATGTGAACCGTGTGCGACCATTCAATGGAGACAAACATTCGCCTGCTTGAGGATATGAGCGGGCCAATCTCTCCCAACGGAACGCCCACTGATCAAACTCAACCATGGCAAACGGAAGAGGAGCAAGACATGAGAAGGCGTCCATCGTGATGAAGGAGTGCGTTTGAGGACGGTGTCTAGTGACGCCACCCAATGAGATAGCATCGACCTTCGTGAGCGACGATACGTGATAGGGGCCACAATGAAATGGAGGCTTACTTTTCGTCGTCATCGACTATAACAGTGGATTTATGCGGAAACGTGAACCGCTTTTGAAGGCCTGGGATCGCATGGGTTGGCCTGCGACGACAATGAGCAAAGATGGAACGCTTCGAGCTGGAATGGACAAAAGGACCAGAAGTGGTGATGCGCTGGGCGGAGAACGAAGAATAATCGTCTTTATTGCATGATGACTAGACCGATTGAACGCAAGGTTTGAACGTGCGAGGTTACCACGGAGGGAGGGAAAGGGCGTGGGGAAGACTTGGACGAACGGACGGTTGGATGATTTCGTGTGAGCATCTGGGAGGCGATTCTGGAGTTCATTGTTGCATCGTCCCGCCGAAGGTGTGAAGATAGAGAGTTGGTCTTGATTCCCGACTGGATGGTGAGAATGGACCGAGACAGGACCGACGAAACGAACTGGGCCGTAGACTGCGAAGCCCAAAAAGCGTGAGCGCAGCATTGGCATGCGGAAAGCGAACCCGACCGAAAGCTTGACAGAATTTTCTTGAGTCTGACGCGATATGGATATGGGCCGAAGAACGAGCTCGGTCGAGAAGGATTCGGGGGAGAGTGAACGGTAGCATTCCGATGGAAGTTGTTTTGGTATGAGGACGGATGTAGTGGCGGGGCGCTAGAGGGATTCGTCGGAGCGGTCGACAATACGGTTCTGGGACGAAGATAATAGGTTAGATCGTAGAGGCAGAAGAAAAAGAAGAAAGGTAATGGATAGATTCACTATGCAGAAGCAGTGAAGACAAAGAACGGTAGTCAGCATAAGCAAGCAAAACGACCACGAACCAAACGAGAACGCGAGCGCTGTAGATATGCGTGGTCAACTGGGAGAACGGAATGGTGGCGATGGCAAGTGAAAGAAAACAACAGAAAAGACGTACTTCGCGACCGCTACATGGCCCGACTAGAGAACATGAGCCTCATAATCTCCTCGTCTATGACTCCAAACTTGTGCGTGAGGTGGCGCACGGCTCCAAACTCTTCGCCGCTTTATAGGCTTGAGCACGAATCTGAGATGGAGAGAAGGGGTGTCGATTAGACGAATAACAGTCGGAGAAATGGAGTAGAGGGCGCACCTAGAGAACTATGAGCAACAACGGTCTATCCCTTGGATCTGGTTTAGGGCATGGAGTAGAGAGGCGAGAGGCGGCTGAGGCTGTGACTTCGACACAAACGACAGCCCTCTTCGACGCGAACGACCCTCGTCTTTTCTCAACCCTTCGCGCCCGACGCGAGTATTGACATAAGGGGATAGAGACGTGAGGTAGGAGATGGGGTAGTCTGGTGGGACTCTTCGCCAGTGTCGAGGTTGATGAAAACCCCCTGCCGGTGGCTGCGATCGACGATGTGACCAAGTGATGTACATCGTGGAACCGTTCATGGTTCCGAACGGTGAACATAGAGGCAGCTGCGTACCGAGTAGGACGCATCGGTTTCAAAGTCCAGTTGTGCGGAGAAGAATATCGTGCAAGAGAGACACGGACGAGATGAGGATGCGATTGTAAAGGCAGCAAGTATGCAATGATCAGAGTGGATTGCTTGGGCTCGTGGATGTGGAGGCAGAGGCGTGCAGGGTAAGCCAGGCCTGAGAAGCACTAGGAACGCTTCGGAAAGAAACATAGACGGTAGTCTCCCAGAGATGGATGAGCCACATTGGAGGGGCTGAGCCCTCGAAACGACAGAACGGATGGCTCGAACGGTGCCTCGTGGGCTCCTTAAAACTGAGTCAACTCGAGATAGGGACTGGACGACTACCAAACGATGGAGATCGTCTGGACGTGTTCGTCTAATAGGGTGACGCCACGAATATGATGGGACTTTCACCTGCCCCCTTCTATACAAGAAACTTCACGTATCGACCCAGAACACTGACTCACAGGTTCAGGATGCGCGATGGCCAAAAAGGCGGCAACAAATGTCCAGCCAGAAGGTATACAGACATATTGGTCAACGATAGCGGGCTGGTCTCGACGGATAAAAGTTCGAGGGCGTCGCTGAGAGACAAGATCTACTGAATCGGCTACACCATCGCAGGAAGCGAATGCACACGACGATTCAGTGGATAAAGATGTTGCCTGCTCGAGAATATGAACTGTCGATTTCTCCCCACTCAACGGAACGTCAACTCGATTCTCGACCACAGAAAACGGACGAGGACGAAGACACCGGAAGGCGGCGATGAATGGGTGCGTTTGAGGACGTTATCAAGTGTGGCAATATGACGCCACTCAACGAGATGGCGACGGTACATCAGTGAAGATGAAATCCCGATGGAACGGATAGAAGGGCCGACAGAAACAAGGCTGGGCTGAGCAATAATTATGATCTTGATGGGCCTGCTGACTAGAGGGATCAATCGAACACCAGGTTTGAACGTGACAGGGTGCCAGGGATGGAGCGTAAGGGCATGGGAAGTCTCGGAAGGACGGCCGGTAGGGTGATTTCGTGTACCTATGTAGGCTATTGTCGAGTCGAATGTTGCACAGTGCCACCAAATGAACGAGGATAATCAATTGGTCATGACTCTCGATTGGATGGCGCAGATTGACCGAGAGAGTGACCGACGAAAGGGACTGGGTCGTAGACTGCGAAGTCGAGTGTAGCGTTGACGTGCGGGAAGAGGGAACGGGTTCGAACGCTTTATAGTCTTCTTGGATCTGTCGCGGTATAAACGTGGCCTGAGGGAGATCGAATCTGGAGGATCCAGTGTAAATTGAACGGTAGCATTGGCTTTGTGGAAGTCGCAGTGTTAGCAAGGCGAAAAGATATAGTGACATGCAACATAAGAGATTCACCGGGGCGGTCAACAGTGGGGTTGCGGGACGGAGGTGATAGGGTAGGCCGTAGGAGGCACGTAAGGCAGGATTCATTGGGGACTGGAGAGTAATATCGTCAGACGAAGAACGCTGATTTCTGGATAATGGGAAAACCAGGACGTACCCGGATTATGCGGTGAACAAATGCTCTCTCCCATGGGAGGCCAAAGAGACTCCGATGTTTCATGGGTGCATATGGCAATGCCGTATATTCACTTGTGCGCACAAACAGAAGCGATAGTCTGTCTACTCAGAATGAAGAGGCAAATATCAGCCTCCTGACCATGAGGACGAAGGGATAAAGGAACATGAACTGTCTCCGACGAGTCTAACGACGGATATTGGGAACCCACTATTAACTTTGGGACAAGGATCTAAAGGTTGATCTCCACGTAACGGTGTCCCCACGACCGATCATGACCATGAATCCACCTCACAGAACGCTAGTCAAATTACTCCTAGTGCGACCTGGGACCCGCGTTTCTAAATACAACGCGGCTTGGGGCGTAGAGGTCCTTCATGGCGAACGCAGCGCGGGAGATCTTGCCGTCAGATTGCAGATACTTGAAACGGCCCGTCAGAGACACTCAGAATGATCAAGGGAAGCATGCCTCACTGAGTACCGTACAAGCCGAACTCGCTAGTGTAGGATTTGGGGTCACTGAACAGTGGTGCTCCCGCGGCAGATAGATCGAGGTGAAAGTCGGTTTCGAGTAGAAAAGGGAAGAGGAAGGTTAAGAATAGGTTCTGTATTCAGAAGCGGAGGCGGTGGATAAGTGATTGTCAACATATGCACACAACACGACCACAGATACACGCTAGACTGGGAGAAGGGAATGGCGGTTGCGAAAGGTGAAAGGAAACCAAGATAAAAGACGTACTGCGCGATTGCTACACGCCCCGGCTAGGGAATAACATCGTCCTCGTGCACGACCGCGTATAGTGCGTGAGGTGGCTCAAGGGTCCAAACTCTTCGCCACTTCATATGATGGTTGAGTAAGACTCTACGTCAGAGAGAAATCAGTAACGACGGTTGGACAAGGAACAGTGGAGGAGACGCGATAGAGGGCGCACCCAGCGAAATATGGTCCACTGTGGTCTAGTCATTGAATCTACCTTCGGGCGTGATGTAGCGATGCGGCTGGCCCTTGTGATGGATCTTCGTCGCCGGCAGGAAGTCTCGGACGGGGAGTCCGCGCTGAGAGATACACTGAAAAATGATACAGCTTCAGTTAGTACTTCACTGTAGAGGAAGAAGTGAAGACGTACTATTACATTCACAACGGGGTATTGAGGAGTGTCGACGAAGAAGGACGCGAAAATCGATACAAATTGGCGGAAAACCTACCTCATCACGTGTCGAATGATGAAACTCCGCTAAACTCCGCACCCGCCTCTCAACCGAAGTCGAGTCGCGGTTGTCGATATGCTTGTCGTTCGACGTCTCTCCTTTATCTAGTGTCTCGCCTTCGTTCCTATCACTCAGTCTGTGAATAGCTCCTTGCAAGCATACACGTCTCGACCTAGAGTACTTGAAGTCGTGTTTGACTGACGTACGATCAGAATGGGACGCACCGAACTCACTACAGCTTGGTCTGCCTCTGTTAGATCGAGTTCTCTCGTATAAAGCAGGATACTAACTGTCTGGATGAACTTCTAGCATTGAAATATTATAGAAATACTTCTGATCCATCGTACCTTCACATCTTTCTGTGGCCCATCACGAAAGGGACAACAAGGCGATGTTCTCAGTCTAAGGTGGCGGTCTTACTGAATGTCTACTCGTTCTGACTAGCTGTGGGAACGAGGAAGCAAGTTATCCTATCGTTACATGGTCGCCCAATCTCTCTGGCCCGCGGCACCTCCAGCTTCACGGCGGCGCGAGCCAACTTGCTCCTTCCTGTTGCCGAATTATCACGCATTATGACCGTGCTATTTCCTCTCTCTTCTTGCGATCTGCCTGGTACGTTGATTTTTCGTCCTCATCGCTCCCTCCCTTTTGGGAATACTCATGCATATTCACCACAAAATAGTTCAGAGAATCTTCGAACACGCGCCGGTCGTCCATTCTTCTTCTTTTGCCTGTGTCCTGCCAGTTTCCAAGTCAGCAACGCCTCCGCCATCCTCACCGGCCCCCTCCGCTCATGCACGAGTATATTCCCTCTTCCCTTGGCCTGTTATGCTTCTTACCATATTTTCAGTCTGTCCATATCCTGAACTTCGCACTCCTACATTTTCCGCCAGTACCAGACTACGCCACCGCCACACTGGCGCACCCACCACCAAAGACACCACGTTCTCCTTCGCCTCATCTCCTGACGTCGACACGGCGCCAAAAATTCGACAGCATGTATCCTGTGCATAGATCGACGTTCACGGAGGAGATAAGATCGATCTATATCGTGAGGAGCTTCTGAACTGTGGTGGTTCAGTGTTATTTAGTGTTGGGGTGCGGTCGTGATGGAGCTCGAGGGACGGCATCCTCGTCCTTGTTCTGGACTGTTCCAGGTCATCGTCTGTAGGGTCTTCGCATCCTACAGGTAGCGACACAGAATCGACCAGGAGAACGTGGTTTGGTAAGGCTGAGGACGCGGAGGAAATGCTTGGTGGAGATTGAGTTGGTAGTCGATCGACGACGTGGAAGGGACGTTTCGCGCTAGTCCCGTTTACATTTGGTCAGCCTTACAATGCGATTGCACTAATAGTGAAATCCACCGCCACCGCTCTCATCTGAAGTGCCTCGAAATTATTATGCCAATCACTCTATTCAGCACTCCACACTCCCTCGCGTCCGTTTCCGATATCGGACGGTGTTCACACAAACTCGATCATTTCCCTCGAAGAATATATCGACACTTTCTCGTTGCCGACGCTCACGAAACTTACAACATCTCTGCTTTCTCAAGTTCGGAATATAGTCATACTTGGATGCCGCCCGTGAGTCCGAGGAGGGGTTAGAGATCTATAGTGAAGAGGAACGATTGTCTTCCTCGATCTTGGAGTCTGGATTTCGAGACTAGGTTAGAGATAGGACACAGACAACAGTGTTGGCCATTTACAAGCGAATAGGTTCATCAAACGGAGTGCTAGACGATGCATGTGGGAGAGTAGTGGATTAGCGCGTGTGTCCTTCGGTTCTATCTGAACCGATGGCAGACGTACTCACTACTACGTTGAACGCAGGTCGTCTGGGGCCTGGTACTCCGTTGACCTACCTCACCTTAAAGACTCAAAATCTTGCAACGGAATGGTATCCATTCACGACCTTCGACCACGAGATGGTCAACAGCGAATGAGTAGCGCTGCTCGGTACTCGTTTCCAAAGCTGCGTCCTATTTCGTCATACAGAAGAGAAACCAGTCCCGCTTCCTGAGTGCTAAATCCCGCATCGCCTCATCGACAGCTGTACATAAATGACATTCCTGTCGACTGCTTCGTTTAGCCCTCTCCTGGTCGTTGGTGCCGTTGCGACGGACAATTTTCCTCGATTCCATGCTAGCCTCAACGCCACCGCCACAACGACCGAACCATCACTAGTCCACACTTCATCTGTCCAGTGTCCTGGTCGCTGTAACATCCACACGACTTGCCCCGGGAGCGACGTACCGCAAAATACTCAGTGGAGAACATCAGCTCGATGGAAGAATGCTGGTACCGCGGCTCTATACGTGCACTCCGAGACTGATACCCTCACAGTGACTGATCGAAGAGATAAAGGACGACTAAGGTAGTGCCTTTCGGAAGTCTGCGTCATGATTGTTGCAAAGCGTGATAGAAGGTTGATAGATGATTTCAGCTTATGCTGATCTCTTGAGATTGAGCTTCGAGCCGCCGGTGAGTCCCAAAGGGACGATCATGTGTGGATGAATGTGAGTAAATCTCGTTGTTACACGATTTCAGGTCTGTTACTGAACACCTGTGTGTATCTGTATTAGAAGTGGGTAGCACGGCTGTTACCAGCCGTCACGCATTGCCCGCGCGCTTTTATTTGACAGGTACGCAATCTCCGTGAAGCTTTTGATGCTTTCAATGTCGTTCTGACCAGACCTCATAGATCCGCTGCCCTCTATTTGATAACTCACCCAGGCATACGACGCAGACTCTTCAACGACTTAGGCCTACCTCGTGCTCTACTGTGTTCGTTGGTTACACCTTCAGTTTCAGTGATGATCTACCTGCGACGTCTACTTCCCTTGATCATCAGTATGACTTCTTGCTATCTGCACCGCCTACGCCTGTACATACAAATGGTAGGTCACGTATTATGGCTGGATGACTAGATGTACTGACTCTGCCTAGCATATAGACGCAGTGATATCTGATGAATTACGGGTGTGCGGTGTAAGAATGAATCACACCCGAACAAATTAATAACAGATGTCAAGCAAGAGAGTTAAATACACTGAGTGTTTCCGATCGTACATGTACAACGTCCCGAAAAGGGGTACTTTATCCTTTCCATGGGAATCAAAGGGAGGTCGTGTTATAACGACGATCCGCAGCCTTTATTAAATCAGCAGCGCGCTCGGCGACAATATATGTCGGCGTCTGCGTGTGCGCTGCGGGGATCCGAGGCTATAGAAACAAGAGAAAGTTAGCAATCAGTATTATATCGCTACACTCGAACAGTAACAGAGCTAGAATATGAGTACGAACAAATATTGTGGAATCCACTACCCTCAAACCGACCGTTTGCTTCACTGTCAAATCCGAATTCAACGCTCCACTCCCCCTCGACGTATCATTTCCGGTCTTTCCCATAGGCACAGTGCACGAGCCATGCGAATTCGTGTACGCCTGCGCCCTAATATATGCATCGAGTTCATCATCGGTTTGCGCCTGTGCAAAGTCCCCATACTCCCCAATAATCCAGTCCGACCAGGCGGGTGCAGCCATGAATCGTCGCGCGGATTTGAGGGCTTCACGCATGTTGAAGATGTCAAATTCGGTGGCGAGAAGGTTTGGCGAGATTATTGGCTGGTCGAAAGGGTTGGTGCTGTTGAGGCTAACAGATCCGCCTACGACGCAAGTGTTACGGCATGAGGGTCATTCTGTTCGATGTAAAAAGAGAAATATTACGGGACGAAGTGGAGACAACGTTGGTGAACATTGTGAAGAAGCTTCCATTCGTGGGCTCAGGTTCGATGAATGACAGAAAGTTGTTCTGGAGGGAGACCAGAGTTAAGCGTCAACATATACATGAAATATGGATAAAATGACTGACCGTGAATATCATCTCATAATGTGCCGACGTAGGTCCAGCACTAGGATCGGTGGTGTTTTCGAAAATACTGGCGTTATCGGGCAGCCTCAACCATCCCCATTGGTTACCAGCAGATATCACATCTGCTCCAGTACGATTGACGAGCCACTCGTTCAAGGTCTCGTTTTCAAGGGTGGCGTTTCGAGAGAGATCATCGAGAGTGTCGTTGGAACTGACTGTCCAGCTCGAGGTCATGAGCGGGTGGTCCTGTAAGTGCAATGCTTCAGTGATTCAACCCTGATAGAATCAGAGGAGCAAAACGGTGGCTTGCCTGTAGGTTCTTCCCAACATCCTTAAGATCGACTATAGTTTGGATACCAACTTCAGACAAAACATCAGAGTCTCCGATACCAGACAACATTACTATGGTGGTGTCCAATAATGTGAGGCAAATATGTATTTTTACATGAGAAGTGCGCTAGACTCACGCAGGTGTGGTGTCTGAAAGGGCCCTGCGGATAGAATAACTTCACGAGTGGCATTCAACGAGAACACAGGACCTTGCAATATGGCCAAATCGTTATTAATCAAATGTAGATAGACATGGAGTACGCTTACTGGAAGCATTATGCGCGAAGTTCACTCCGAGGAACACAGGAAGATTGTCCTGTGTCCCAGTTTGGACAATCTTTGTGACGTGGGTGTTGACCACGACGTCGAGATTTGAGCGTGAAAGAGCTGGGGCGATGAAGTCCCTGGCGGAGCTCGAACGCGCACCATCCGCAATCTGTGGACAAGGTATGAGCAAAAATTGACAATGATACTACAAATGGGATGAACCGTAGTCTGGGCCCAGCCTGTGTTGAACAAATGTGACAATAATGAGAAGTGAATTCTAAACAATATGAGGCACTGCGACTTACTAATCCCAATAGGGTTCCCAGAGTTCACATCGAGATTGAATGGATATTCGTCTGCCAGTTGTGCAGATGCGTTGAAGACTCTTCCGTCTGTGGGCAGCAATATCCCTGTCATACTGGTCCCAAGCTGTCCTGTGTATGAAGTGAATAATGAGTGGATCGAGCTTGTGATAGCATGGTACAGCATAACATACCGTTGTAACCATGTACAGCGGGATCATATTCTCCAGTAGTATTACGGTGGTCGGACGGCGCTGTCAAATTCTCCATCTGATAGAGATGCGCCCACAAAAAATCAGACAATAATTAGGGATTATATATGCTGGGCAGTGCATTTCTCACCTTAATCATGTAGGGGAAGAGGTTATCCCAAGACCAACCTCTGTCTTCAGTGATGTTGGCCCAGCGGTCGTAATCGTCGCGCGTACCCCGACTGTACGCCATGAAGTCTACGCAGATTTTAGCACGTTGTAATGGATACGTAGGGTGTACCCCTCACTGATAGATGTAGAGCCTCCCAAGACGTATCCGCGAGCATATTCGAGCGTTCGATTATTTAAACCTTCGACAGCCGTAGTCGTGAAGTTCCAGTCCTGAAAGCTCACAGACGGTCAGTCAAGATGGCAGATTGGTATGAAGTGGATTTCTCACAAATTGAGGGTCATTTATTCCTCCAGCGCCGAGCCTGGGAATCTGGATGTCGATATTATTGTAGTCACTGTATCGAGGCATCCTCCATCAGTCGGAACACGAAACGTTCGAGATTCAGAGCGGCGTACCTTGGTCCCGCTTCGATCAAAAGAACCTTCACATCAGAGGACTCAGTCAGCCTGTTGGATAGCAGACCACCAGCAGCCCCGGCTGGGAACAATGAACGGTGATTGTTCTCCGATTAGCGTCTGTAAAGAAATCGGATCCGGCATGACAACTTACCTCCAACAATGATGTAGTCGTATGCTACACTTTGGGGGATACTCGATGGGTCTTCATACAGTGCACCGATGGCCGAGGTAGCGAAGAGAAGCAGGCCTACTAATAGAGTATGATAGCGGGATGATGGCATGATAGCGTCACGGTATAATCAACGACGAAATCGAATAGGTTGGGGAGGATGAGATCTCTTGTGATAATGCTTTTAAACTTTCCTCCACAATTCGGCTCTTTATACGACAAAGTCAATATTGCAGACCAGTAAGCCTGTGTATCTTCAGGTACATGCCATAGCTAGTGAAACCGTTGAGCGAGAGGCGTTCACGTAAAAGACCATGCGTGATGAGACCGCTGAACCCCAAAGCCTCCAGCATCGATGACTGTGACGACGAAAAAGCCACAGCCATTGTTTCAAAGGGGCATACGGACTGGCCAGGCAGAATATAGCGCCCTCAACCGGATAGCCCTACATTCTACGAGAGCAGGCACGATCGTTTGCCACAGCGCCGACGTTGACTGCTCGTTGACACGGGGTCACTGGTTTACAGCTCCGACTATCTCCGACTCACCTTCGTGGTGGCTGACTCAGAACCACACTCTCGGCTGCGTATTATCCGCTTCTTCTTTTAGTTAAAAGATTACCATACCAGTCGAAGCCTGATAATAGGTCAATGCAAATTCTCGTCGTGCTGGCTGTATCTGCCTTTTAGAAATGTCGCGTCCCTGGAGCGCTCCAAGGTAGAATTTACTTGGAGTGCTCTCCTCTAAATAGAGCTTCCACACGACTTACTCAGATATGTGTGGGGTCCATTGAATCCCTTTCCACAATGGACACATGGTCCACAAAGCATCCATAACCTATGAGGGGCATTTATCTATAGGTCCACTGGGACCAACCAACTCGTCGGTTCATAGGCTCGCGAGTGCTTGCCCCGGTACTGCAAAAATCCCAGTCTTAATCTTTTGCGCCATCTAAATGACATCACTTGTTGTTGCGCCATGAATGTTTCGTGTGGAAGTTTGAAGGGGGTCGAAGACGAGGAATATGGAAAGTCGTCGATGACTCCTTCTTTGATAGTCCTAGTACCCATAGTTTTTGGTCCAACATGATCTCTAACGAAGTTTTAGGCCCATCACTGCGCCCATCCTGGCGCTCTACTACTTATCTCCAAATATGTACACCGTTTTGAATTGCGCGGAGACGGGAATTGAATCTTCAGCGGCCTTTGACCTTTTTGGACCACAAAGGCAAGCACCTGTACAAGGCTTTTGAGGACTTAATCCTATTCAGACACGTAAAATGTTGTTGTCATGATGAACCACTACGAAAACCATGTACAATTCTCAATCAGTGCTGACTCCCCTCTTTTTCTATAGATGTTCCGGTCTGGCTAGCGCGTTGATGTACGGCTACCTTCAGAACTTATAACTTCAAGGAGTCGCCTCCCTCTTTTACACACTGATTCAAGGCCTCATCCATCTTCTGCTCCTTCAACCCCTGGAAACCATGCTACTCAACGTCACATTTCTGAAGTTGTTCGCTGTCACGACTGCTACACTGCTAGTAACGTCCGTTGTCGTCGTGATTCTATCTCAAGTACACCATTGGTACAGGCAATATCATCTGCGTAACATCCCGGGACCTGCATCCCAGTCGTTTGCATACGGTAAGTAGTCTCAAATTGCATTGAATATACATTGTGAGTTTCTAACTATCTTCTTCCCCAGGTAACCTCCGACAGGTATTTAGCCTGCACGGTTGGGAGTTTCACAAATCCATGGTCCAGAAATATGGAAGGGTGACCAAAATCTGGGGATTCTTTGGCGTACGCCACTCCACTAAAGCTCATCATCTGTATTGGACCGGTCTGACAACCCACTTTAGGACGCTCAGCTCCACATCGGAGACCCGAAGGCCCTGTACAATATTCTGATAAAGGATCAGGATGTTTTCGAAGAGACAGACGCATTCATCGAGTAGGTTTAATGCCTTATATTCAGCGAGCAAGCACTAGATAGGGAAACCTCTTTTCAGGGCTAATAAGATATTCTTCGGTCCGGGATTATTGGGAACACTCGGTTAGCTCCTCCGTAAGATCTATGATAGCTTTCTCCATTGACGACCTCCTTTAGGCACCCTCCATCGCCGCCAGCGGAAGCTCCTTGTTCCTATTTTCTCGGCCAATCACATGCGGTATATGATACCGGTATTCTATAAAATCACGCACCAGGTGAGCACCTCTGCTCTTAGATTCACCGCTCGGGCTGAGTATATTGTTTTTCTCGCATAACAGCTTCATGATATTCTGCAGACCAAGTTAGCCAACGGTCCGCAGGAGATCGATGTCAAGGAATGGATGACACGCGTTGCGCTAGAGATCGTAGGCCAGAGCGGACTCGGATACTCCTTCGAGACGCTCGACGAAACGAAATCAAACCAATATGCGGCAGCAGTCAAGATGCTCTTGTGCGTCTTATGATATATACCAAAGTCATATACTCTAGGAGTGAGCTGACTCCAGCATGGATAAATAGCCCGGCCTTTGGGGCAATTCCGATCTTACGACAGATCCTTCCATATGTGTGCAATATCGGCACCCCTTCCTTCCGCCGCTGGGCCGTACGGTTCTTGCCCTCGAAAAATGTACAGCTCTTGATCAAGGCTACCAAAGCCATGGATGAGACGTCGAAGAAAATATTCTACCTCAAGAAGGCGGCATTGGAGAAGGGAGATGACACAGTTGTTCAACAGATCGGTGAAGGCCGGGATATTATGAGTGTTTTGAGTGAGCTCTGCATCTGTTACAAAGTACTAATGTTGACCAAAATATCTGGATCTGTCATCTTTATTTCCTAGTGCGATCGAATCTGAACGCTCATGAGGCCGACCGTATGCCCGACTACGAGTTACTTGGGCAGATGTCGTGAGTCTCGTATACGTAAGCTAACAGTTTTATGTGCCAGACTAATCACCCATCTATTGTAGAACTTTAGTTTTCTCCGCGATGGACACGACGTCTTCCGCATTGTCTCGCATCATGTTGCTATTGTCTCTGAATCCTAAGGTCCAGGATAGGCTGCGTCAAGAGTTAATTGACGCTCGAAAGGAGTACGGTGGTGACCTCGACTACGACGACCTCCATGCGCTTCCATATCTGGAGGCTATCTGTAGGGAAACTCTTCGCGCGTAAGTTGTACATTTCACGATCACATTATCTCCCTATTAATTGAAGATCATTCAGCTATCCACCGATAACTCAAACTCCCAGGATGTGAGTTTATCTTCTTGACTATGACGATGTAATGAATCTTATATCTCTGTTCAGCGCACGCAAAGACGCAATGCTCCCGTTGAGCACACCCATCAGGGCCAACGATGGCAGTACTATCAACGAGATTCTCATCCCAAAGAACTCGACCGTTTTTGTCGCCATTCAGACGTTAAACACGGACCCACTCATATGGGGTCCCGATGCGACCGAGTGGAAGCCTGAGCGATGGCTCTCGCCCCTTCCGGAGAGCGTCATCAATGCGCACATTCCAGGCGTATACTCGAACATGTACGTACCGAAAATGCCCCACAACACCCCCCTATTGTCTATACTTACCTAACGCGCTACACCTCTGACTTAGGTTGACATTTTTGGGGGGCGGAAGAGCTTGCATGTATGCCTTTACCTTCCGATTTCAACATAAGCCCAATATTAACATGCTGTCGTTCAGTGGCTTCAAGTTCTCGCAAATGGAGATCAGTGGGTTCTTTCGCCGTCTCACTCTGCCTTGCAGAATTATCTCATTCTTCTCACACTGTTCTTGCCGCTTACAGAGATCATACTGTCCCTCTTGATACCCAGCTTCCGCTTCTCAACCACCGACAAGACGACTGACTGGCTAATGGGAGCAGTATCATCCCCAGTCATCTCCGGAAGCATGAAACCTTCTATGCCATTGATACTTACGCCTATAAATCCTGAAGCGTAGATGGCGTAGTTGATGTAGTTGGATAGAAGAGGTTATACTGAACGGCGGCGCGGTCGAGAAATTTGTAGAAGGCTCCAGCTGTGGTAATACCGAGTGTTATTTTCGTTATTTGTTTGCCCGCAACATCCCTTACTATCTGGGGATGAGGTGGCCTTTTGACTATGGGCGTGTATGAATATTCAAAGTCTCCTCTCGCGATGTACAAATAAAGACTGGATTGCTTTATCGCCGGTCTTACTGATTGGTTGAACAACTCGACTCCCCTAATGGACATAACCGGCGAATGAATTCCATCTTACGCCACACATACCACACATCACCCGTCATGCCACATCGCCTGGAATGTTTCGCCCATTCGAAGTAAGGAATCTTCCTGAACTTATTACAGTCCTTGAACGAGCTCCGGCGGACGTTCAGCGGTATTCGTTTACAAGGCGACTTGAGTCTCACCCATACAGATGACCGAAGAAGCGATGACCCACGACAAGAGCCGCCCAGGGTGGATTGTACGCTTCTATTATCTCCAAGAAAATAGAAACACCTAGCGGAATGGAGGTGATACTGACGCGGGATAAGGTTGACCGTCTATTGCCGTCCTCGGTGTCAGCGCTAGGACCTAGTTCCATGGTGTACACGAACAACACACGTCTCCCTCTTTCTAGCCTCAGATGAGGCCCCGCACATATTGTATAGCGATATCCGTGACATGCACCGAGGTACTGTGGCTGCTGCCACTAATTAGGCGTAAACCCCGTGATGGGTCCCTCAGAGACGGTACGATAGGACACCGCTATAGACAGGGTCACTGAGATCGTGGTATGATGCACCAAGTGACACAAAAGATTGAAAATCCGTTGGGTATACATGTAGAGCTGAGAAGCACGCACAAAGGAAACGAGGCATCTCAATCACTGACTATGCCGTTTCCAACTAGCCTTAGTGCGATTGTGAATCATATATATGGGAGGAACAAGATGATGCAAAGCGCCCAGCCAGTCTTGGTGCGATCATGAGTCACAGGGACGGGAGGGACGGGATACAAAGCATCGATGGCATGATAGGTATGGAGTAACGACGTGCAGCCAAAGTTGCGAGGGGTGCCCCACTTGGGCACTTTTACAGGAATGGAATCCCGCTAGTGCAGGCTCTTGTACTCGAAAGAGCAATCACAGCTTGGACGACTCGCCGACACGAGTATCCCCGGGTGTAAACCCATAATGGTAGTCATGATGCACTTTATATTATCATTGGTGGCGGCTGCTGCACGGAGATTTGAGCAGGCATACCGCGGCAAGAGATGAGCACGGTTAGCTACTCGAAGTAGTCTGATACTGCTGATTCTGTGGGCGATCGCACCACAAGACGATGAGGAACCGTATGCATACAATTGCTATAGATACTGGAAAGTGTCAACGACCCGGTGAAATAGTGACGAGGAGCAGATTAACTCACGGATATTCGACACATAGCTGACTGTTAACTCGCGGGAGCACCGACCTAAACTATTTTGCCGCATCATCCGTATCACAAATCGGTCCGAGACACTGAGGAATCGCCGCATCGTAGTCCTGGCTCTTTCATCCCAGAATACTCGGTCTCACTGTTCGAACCAGGCGATACACGCAATTGCCAACCAACGCTAGCACTTGCAGCTACGCGACGAAGCCTCCTTCAAAATCCTCGAAGGACAACCCCTTCAACATTCCAGCGCAAGACCTCGGCGAAGAGGTTAGGGCTGAAAGGACGTGGCACCCGCGAGCTGGAGGTTATATTGGGTAAGTGTGGCGGTCGCGCTTACTTGCGAAATGAGCTATCCAAGTTCGAACCCGAGCGAGCAAGGAGATCGGGAAGAATTTTTGCGAAGCATGCAACAGCCAAAAATGATGATGGAAGCTGAACTTGCATAGGGGTGGGCAACCATGAGTATGGAAAATCGAAAGATACAGTAACGGAGGAACAACGATTTCAGGAAGGGTATTCAGGCGGCCATGCAATAGCCTTCGGTGTTGGTTTTTTGACTGTTCGTGTGACGGTAACCTTTATCATGTACCGCATGAGGCAGAATGTCGTAGATTTCAGTGAGAATGGGTCGAGAGATAGTAAGATGTGGCTCCTACAGTTTACTTCCATGTGAGAGCTAGCAGCTTGTCAACGTAGCGCCACATCTATCAGATCTGCAGGAGCTCGCAAAGGAAGAGCGAGCATGTATTGTGAACGCCACGGAGACCCGTATCTGGTCATGCATGAAGACGACACCCTTGGAGACGAACCTTGAAATCCGGAGGTGACAGTGATTTTGGTTTCGGTATGGAATATGAGGTATGACAGTCAATGAAACCGACGAGTCAGGAACAGAAGTTGGGAAAGCCTTTCGGCGGTTTAGGCGACAGTGAAGGATTCCAAGGCGTATATAAGGGCCTTGGCTGAGCCATGTCGTAGAAAGGGAGAAAGGTCTTTCGACTCAAACACTACACGAAGGTCGAGAGAGCGTAAGGAACGCTTTGGAAGAGTGTCTTCGTGATCAGTGGGCGACAATACGGTCGTTGCGGCGATCATGTGGAGCCTGGCGGTAAAAATTGAGCTATTGAGTCGTGAAGAAGTCGAAGTCACCGCGCTAGAGAGGCTGAACGACTAAAGAGAGCGGTGTTTAGGGAGGCACTGAGCATTGAGAAGTCGGAAATGCTGTGTAGTTATCATGATTAACAATTCGCCGAGAATTGATGGTAGTCTATATTAGTTCCACACACTACCACTGCCTTTCAGAGCAACCTTCCCAGAGTGCGTGCTGTTCTAACGACAGAGAAACAATGTGCTGCTGGGGATCGCGGCTATTCGAATTGGACAGGTCGGGTTGGGGATGATCTGAGGCTCGATATGAAAGGTTGGGCAAGACCAATGTGACGGAAAGAGCAAGACGGTATACCTAAAAGCCCTTTTTCGTGGTCGCTCGCCAGATAGCAAGATCTCTGGATATAAATTTCCATTTCGAGCGACAGGGGCAGTGCATCCCGTTTCACTCGATGTAAAACGGGGGATAGATGTCAAGCAAAAGCTAGCACGGCGACATAGGATGCGTACAGCAAGGGCTAGGATAGAACGTGACATGCAAATGACTGGGGTCAACAGATAGAGCCTGGGCGGAAGGAACAAGTGGGCGCACCTCCGAAATATCAGTGTCAACCATGTTGTATCTGACTGGCAGCGGTGCTAAGGCGTCCGAGACGACATGAGGGGGGGGGGGGGTCACTCGAGGATGTGGGCACGGTCCCTGGATGCGTTTGTGTGGTTAAACAGCGAGGGGTATAGTCGTGGCCGTTATTTCGCAGTAGATGAGTTCGGCACATGAGAGAGAGACGCCATGCAGGTATCAGAGCATACTCACCGAACACGGCACAGGAAGGGGACGCACCAGTACAACCGTCTGACATGTGCTTCCTTCCACTCCCGTAGTCCATTCACCGAATGACCTGCTGCGTTAGTTCGTGATGCTTTCGGTTCGTCTCGTCAGAAAATAAGAGTACCTAGATCAGTAACTTAACAGTTAGAGGAAAAGAGTATAACAAAATGGACAGACATAGTTACCAGATGTTGAAACCTTCACGGAGCACTAAAGGCCCCCGATACCAGAAAAAGGTCGCGTCAGTGCGGCCGAAGAAGAGTCTACACCGTTGAGGAGCGAGTTGAAAGCTAGCGAGTGCTGACTGAGCTTCACACTGAAGAATCCGACGCGAGAGTGAGGGACGGAGGAGGTCAATTTGAATCTGTCAATGTGATGACGGTGGTGCATTGGTGGCGGCAGTGGCAGCGACAAAGGCCACGTGGCGATGAAACTCCGCCCGAATTGTGCCAAAATGCAACACGAAGCGATCACCACCGCGTCCACTTACGGTAGGCGGGACGACCGCGGTTCGATTTGAGTTGACGCGTCGAGTTTTCGCGGTGGCGCCACCCTGCATCCGGCTTGGTCCGGGCTCACTTCCCTGGGTTGCCACACCGTACGTGTATCTCTGACTGGTAGAGGCTTCATGGGCTCCATGGTGAGTCAGGGTGTACACAATGAGTGTGATATACCCAAAAAGGAGTCCCTGATATATTTAAGCCATTTCTTACCATTTTCTGGAGGTGGTAGGTAGCGTGGGAAGCTCAGCTAGGCAAGGCCGAGGGTTGGGATTATGGTAATCATCCTGGCCTCTTTTCGAAAAATTCAGCTGAACCTGCAGATTAAGTACAGTGTGAGAAGGCTGTAGAGTGTAACCTTCTTCTGAGTACCTTTACTCTTGTAAACGGGTACCTGATCCTTAACCATACCAAGTCCGTATGCAAAGCCACTCTCCCCGTCTCAATGCTGGCATGGCCAAAGTTGAGCATTGGTGAACACTAGTGGAGATCACCTTTGACAAAAGAAGTGATCTGTTAAACTCGGGCCTTGTGCTTAGACATTCACGTATGATGCATGGGTGTTCTCACCCATGAGAACATCAGTCTCACACAATGAGTGCATATGACTGCACCGTATGATACGATACAACTCGATGCACAGCAAGTCTGTGCAACAAACTAATTTAGTATAATATTCTCACCTATGTCGCTACATGTATATAAGGACCTTGTATGTAGCGTAGAAATATAACGAACTATCCAGTTCACTGCCATTGTTATAGACGCTTTTTCTTCTTTGTTACTTCGTGTATCTTTTCCTTTTCTTTTCCTTTACCGCATTCCTAGTAAGGCGGCACACACCCGGACTTCGGCTCGATTCTTTCTTACTAAAATCCCTTTAAAAACCTTTCTACAAACATATCTCTTTCTCTTATGGACACGTATACTTACCTCGGACACATACAATAGTTGACTGGACACGTAGGAGGACTGCGGACACGTTACTTCTGTCGGACACAGACTATCTTGGCGTGGCTTGACTCTGGCTCGGCGGAGCAGACGAACTCTTAGGCTGATGTGGCGGACCTAGATGACGTGGCAATTCACACGGACTTGTATTAGTATAAATATCGGACCTTGGTAGTCGAGATTCTCCAACCTGTTCACTTGTATCGTACCTACAGTGTTTCAGTTGAATTCACCAGAATTCTCAATATCGTCTTGTGCGACCTCAAGACGATACCCCTCGAATCTCGACTACTGAAGAGCTTTACCATCAGAACCTCGAATCCACATCAGCTCTAGCAGGACGCCTGCCTCAGAAGAGGACACCTCATCTGAACGAACTCGATCCTAGACCGGACGCCGCGTCTAGACGAACCGAGCCAGAACCCCGGATCCAGAACCTCCGAAGCCCCTCGCTGATTGCCCAAGCCGACGGCGCCGAACGACTCGATCGTTCCCCGCTTCACGAAACCGACGCCGCCCTTAAGCCTAGCTTAAGCCCGGTCGTAACAGCCATTGCCTCAACAGCAGCTCACTAAAGCACAGGTAAGATGTGCATAGTGCAAATCTCTTATGGTTAGTCCACCGTGGTAAGGTCATACTCAATGTGTTATCTAGTCTCTCACTGATTTTACTTCCGTCCCTTCATTACAGGTTCTGCTTTGGTATTGAGGACTCAAGCTTTTGGCACCGCTTCCGCTCACAATCACAGTGATCATAATGGGTTGGCTGTTCTCTCCATACGTGACACATCCATTTACAGACTGAACCATTTATGGGGCCCATCACACTCACACATGGTTTCCTACAGTTTCTGAACCGTGACCCGGGCAAAACTGAGCGGTGTCGTACATTTTTGATGAACCTTTGGTTGAAAAAGTACAGTAAACAGAGAGAAATACTGTGCTACCTTGCTCAAAATCAAGCTGAGCAGCTGAGGGAATTACTAATACTTACATGGCATGTGTGATGCTGCCCATCGAGGCTGTCAACAATTTGTAGCTCAAGATGCACCAACTGTGGCTGGGCAAGCCACCCTTGGCCTTGCCCCGCTGAGCTTCCCACGTTGCCTGCCACTTCCAGAAAATCATATTAAATGCTTAAGATGTTCCAGGGACTCCCTTTTTATTTACATTACACTCAGTATGTACAGCCCGATCTGTCATGGAGCTCATGAAGCCGCTACCTGTCAGAGATACGCTGTAACAGCCCAGTGAAGTGAGCCCGGACCAAGCCGGATGCAGGGTTAGGGTGGCGCCACCGCGAAAGCTCGACGCGTCAACTCAAATCGAACTGCGGTCGTCCCGCCTACCGTAGTCCACTGCACCGAAGCAGCAACCACGGCAGGAGCTTCCTGGTACCAAACTATCGTCATCGACAACACATATCCAAGGCATCAACAGTCTTAAGACCGCGTAGACTTCGCTCATCGCCTGGGAGGCGGCACGACACGCAATACGATTGGGACTTCCGAATGCAAAGGGGTACTAGTACTGAGGATTCAATTCGGTCCGTTCGTGATCATTCTATCTCTTGATCGGCACACTATCTGGTGTTGTTGAATGCTATGAGAATTCTTCATGGTTGAGACTCGCTCAGGCCCCATATTGATCACACACAAGCATTTGTCGTAGTACGTTCTAGACGGCTATTTGGTCAGAGTGCCGCTATGGGCACCCTATGCGCCCTCGTATGTGTGGTGTTCAGGCCCGACGCCTTTGGGCAATTGGGAAATTCCGGCCGAAAACGGCCTGTATCTGGGTCAACTGTACGATACGCCGGGATTATCTGGTGTCCCGTTGAATCGCCGTCTAACTTTGAAGTTCGTGTTCATCTTCCGGTTCTTCACTCGATACCACTTCTGGCATTCATACCTACCCAGAGTTCAATGTGCCAAGTTTGTGTTATTGGTCAACCAGGCATGATTGAACTGACTCTGGCCTCGGCCGAGTGATATCGAATCCAGTGCAATGTAAATACTATGCTCGCACTTTTAAACATATCTGTTCCGTGCTGCGAACATGCTCTCTCTTCAGATCACTTCATTTTCCTCTATCCAGCCCTTGACTTGAACATAATGCTTGGCCTTATCAATATCAGGGGTTCTCAGAGGCCGTCAAATTTGTTTTGCTACACGGCCAGAGGATCTGATGGCGTACGTTTGAGCAAGCCGCGATGGGCGATGTTTGCGTACGAGCTTTGAGTGTTGCACAATCTGTATTTAAGTCTGATTCAAAGGCCCTCGATGCGTTGGTGCTGAGTACCTGAGTTGTGCGACGGTTAGCGCGGCCGATGGTTGAACGAGGTATCGCCACCGGATTGTGCTCCGCTCAAGACCGGATCACATAAGCAAGTCAAATCGCCGCATGTCAATGAGTACCGGCATTCCCACCAAGCGCGATGTCCATTGCAAATTGTCGGACTTTGAAAGCTGCCGAGCAAGCCGCATGTCATTTCGACGTGGGCCACCGGAAAACTCACCGAGTTGGCTGGGTGGCACCTATGTGCGAGACCATTGCGTATTTTACTCAGGGTCCACTACCCCAGTAAATCTCATAAAATCTGGAATATTATTTTACATGTATTAACTTCATTTGGTTGCGACGGAATTTCTGCAATCTCTTCGAGTGATTTGATATGAAGGTAGGGTCTGGTGTGTAGCTCGTTCACGCTGAGATTAAAACATTCTGTCGCAACCAAATGAAAGAGACATAGTTTAGATGATTTTATATGTAGCCATTTTGGATGTAACTATGCACATCATCGCAGCATTTTGGTTTGCGTGTTCACAAGTGACGGGCCAGCAGCCACTCGGCAGCTCGGCAACGGGAGTCAGCGAGACGCGTCACGGCGGACTTTGAACCCGCTCGCAAAGGGTGAGCGCCGATACTCAATGTCAAACCTTGTGTGGCGGAACACGGTGGATGGCGGAGCATCGTTGTCTTCATCCACATCTGCAGCTCGTACCACTTGCACTGTTTTATACATGGCTCCCAACAACAGATGTAAGTTCAGGGAATTCCTCGAGAAATATTGGATGCCATCTTGACCCAAAATCAGACTGGGAACAGGCCACCAGATCAAATGGTTCAAGCGGCTGGCAATGCAAGCTCTGCAATGATTCCCGAATCCGCCACGAGTGGCATATACCGCAACACGAAGGCAGTGTCGGGCACCAGGCTCTCCTTGCTCTTGAGAGACAACGTCAGCAAACGATAACGACAGCTTCGAACAATGTGGCGTCTACGTCTGGCAGTGTGGCACCAACACCCGCCAGTGATTCATCTCTTGCTGTCGTTGACAGCGGTATTCGATCTCTGCTTCACTCTCTGACTCGAAATACACCTATGGAATCTTCAGCTGAATCACTGAGTCCACTGCCGCCGGATGCAAGCGTTCTCAGTGGCTTTAACTGGAATCTGTTCGAGGCCACAGAGGACACAACCGTAGAGCTCACCGCTGAACAGGCCGGTGTGGCCTCCATCGCTCAGCAGCTTCTTGATCGCCTTGATGCTGTATCGGAGGTAGACTCGGAGGACGATGTTGTTGAGCAGTCCGATAGCGAACAGAGCCCCGAAAATCCTGTAGAGCCTACGGTAACCGGTATGAGTCTCCTTTCCACAGTCCAGATTGCACCATTGTGCAACACTCATAGCGGCGATTGTCCTGATTTTTTTTAGTTGACAATGGAACCGATACATCAATCCCGCCACCACCAAAACGGACGCAAACACGAGATCCTTTCACTAGAGAGAGACACTGGTTTCCGTGGAAGAGCAAGATCGTAAGTCTGCAGTATTCTTAAATTACCATGATCGTCCACGCTCATGCGATGTCTTTTACAGACGTGTACACTGGATATTCTCATGCATCTTCCACGCTCGGTATTCTCACAGCGCCAATTAGATCTATTTCTGTGGCTGCTCAAGATCAATGACGTCGAGGATGTCCCTTCGGTCAAGTCGATTCAATCTTTCAATGCACTTCTACAAGGAATGTGTGGCATCGACAGTATACCTTACAAGGGTGCACTGGGCCACAACTACTACGTGAATAGTCTTGCCCAGATCATTGCACAGGTACGCTCATGTTGATCTTTTCCGCATGTGGGCTTTATCGAGCATAACGATAGGAAATGGCAAACCCCTTGGTTCGCCCTCACCTTTACTTCTACCCCGAACGTAGCATCGGCCGGTCACTGTCAGAGGCCCGTCAGGCTGAACGATGGCTCTCTGAGCTACCTGACGATCAGCTGACCCCGATGGCGCGCTTCCGCGATGGAGACTACTTCATTCACGAGCCCGCCATGCTCACCGACGGCCGTTTCTGCATGCCTGTCCGTTGGTTCACAAAGGCCGAGACCGGTCCCCATCTTCTCTATGCAAAGTGCTGGGAGCTGCGTCCAGTGAGTAGTGAGACGAGCAGTGGGTGGCGAGTCATCAAGCACAAGAACTATGAAGTACCGGCGAGGATGTTTCTCAAGAACCTACCGACTCTTTCGATGGATGCAGCGACGTATGGTGTTCCTGCACCGGAGCATATCCTTGGTTAGCCTCTTTTCTCATCGGTTTGCAGCCTCGCCATCTACACCGCTCTTACTAGGAATGCTGCTAATATACATGTGCGTATCATACTTTGTTGCAGATATCTATGACCCTGAGACAGAGACACTATCGCCATGGTCCCTTACCGATCCCACTGCTGGTAATCGTTGGCGTGCACTTTCGAAAGGGCATCGTGTTCTGGCATTTCCGATATGGATGTACTGTGACGATACATCTGGGAATGTATCAAAGAAATGGAACGAGCATAACAGCTTCCTTTTTACGCCCGCTGGCCTTCCGCGAAGTGAAACACACAAAGAGTTCAACATACACTTCCTATCAACATCCAACATCGCACCACCGCTTGAGATGCTTGACGGTATTTTGGATCAGCTTGAGTTCGTCACTTTACCACAGCTGTCTTTGATTTATATGAATTTACTCACATGGTTTGCATTCAGAGAGGCACAGCACGACGGCATCTGGGCATGGGACTCCGACGAAAATGCCCCAGTATTGATGATACCATGCGTCCTCGCCCTTCTCGGCGATAATCCAATGCAGAGCGAGTTTGCTGCTCACATCGGTCTTCGTGGAAAGTATTTCTGTCGGGCGTGTTGGGTCAAGGGGTCGGATGCGACAGCAGATGCAGATCCTAGTGCACGAGGACGTGCCGCTGACGGGGATGGAGGTATAGTTTCAGCAGTGGAGAGCGATAGGGGTAGCGCAGCTGGAAGCGATGATGCTGGGAGTGATGCTGCCTCATCTGACGGAGCTCAATCGCAACATGGTACGAAGTCGAAAGGGCGGCGAAGGAAGGTCGTGGAGTCTATGGCTGGAATGATGTCTCGTGTCAAGGAATTCATAAAGGTCTGTTCTCTCTCTGCATTCCCAATCAAATTAGCAATGATCTCAACCACATGCTCAGGTTGGAAAACCTCGCAGGAAGGAAGATACCACAAAGACTCTAAATTCAATGTTCAAGGAAGCATCAACGCTTGACACCAAGACCAAAGTACAGCAGATGCGAACAAATTCCGGTGTCAAGGACACCTACCAGCTCCACTTTCTCGAGAAACTTTTCGGCTCATATAAGAACAAACGTGGCACTAGCGACAAGCAAGCCGCTCTCGATGCTGAGATCAAGAACCTACCGGCAAACATCACCAGCCCTGTGTGGCGTATTAAAGGTTCGTCGCACATGCTAGTGCCTATTCTCAGCGTATCCCATTTAAATTCTATCATACCTCGATTGACATCCCGCTTCAATTCGCAAAGGCCTTGATCCCCACCAAGACACACCTGTCGAGATTCTGCATGTCATTCTGCTTGGGTTCGTGAAGTACTTCTGGCGCGATCTAGTCCAGAACCAGCTCAAGAAGAGACCGGAAAAGAAGGAGCTTCTCGCAACGCGTCTCACTTCATTAAACGTCTCTGGATTGAATATCTCATCCCTCGCTGGCCATACTCTAGTTCAGTACTCTGGTTCACTCACCGGACGAGACTTTCGTGCAATCGCTCAGGCTGCCCCATTTGTGATATACGACCTTGTTTCGCCTGATTGTCTTGCGACGTGGGTCTCTCTTTCGAAGCTGATACCACTTGTGTGGCAACCAGAAATTGAGGATATTGATGTGCACGCTGTAAGATTCAACTCGTTCAAATTATCCACGCTGTGTGCTTACTTCTTTGTTGTTAGAAACTGCTCGAGACCGAAATCGAGCAGTTTTTGCTCTGTACTGCGCGGTGGACTTGCCGCTGGTTCAACAAGCCGAAATTCCATATTCTCGTTCACCTTCCAGACCACATACGCCGGTTTGGGCCTGCTATTCTGTTCGCGACTGAGGCCTTCGAATCTTTCAATGCTGTCATTCGTGCGAAAAGCGTCCATTCTAATCGACTCTCGCCTTCTCGTGATATTGCAGCCGCCTTCGCTCAGGGCAATCGCATTCGCCACCTGTTGAGTGGCGGCTACTTTATATCTCGATCGACAAAGGAATCAGCCGGGTTAGACACCCCACTCGAGTCCCTCACCCTCTCTAACTCGAGGCGCGCACCGACAACCAAATCACACTTCAGTTTTGATCAATCAAAATGGCAACATGTTGGTCCTGGGCCGAAATCACTTGTCTCCATGCCTAACACCGTGACTCAGTATCTTGGTATGGGCCATAAATCTGCCAAAGTCACAGGTTGGTAATGCGCCTGTATATTTTACAGTGTATGAGCTCATGATCTTTCTCCTTAGGGACCTGCATTTCCGACAAAAAACCTGCTCGATCATTTGACCGTTTATTAACAAGCACCGCCGCTCCCCATCATGCTGCATCCATCCTCCTTTCGCATTCCACACCTGAAACTGCCCACCACACTCTTTTTGATCACTCGCATTTCACGTTCAAGACGTCCGAATCCGTCTACCTTCACAACGGTGATCATTGCTGCATCGGCAGTTTTGTCATCGTCCGGCGCTCACACACACTTGGTGAGACATATGTTGGGCGAGTGTGTGAGATTGTGCAGATGAAAGGATCCCCTTGCGATTTTGCCCAGACCCCAGACGGAATTCTCGTCCAAGCAACCGACACATCACGATCTTCATCATCATACGGCATGCCCCAGCTTCATCTTCTTCAACAGTTCGACTTTGTGCCCCTCGATGTAAGAAGTCTGAGTCCATTCCATTCTGTCTTTCATCACTGACTTGTGTGTATGTCTATTTGCTATCCAGAGTATCCTATGCACGGTCAACACGCAGCACAACTGTGTTGCAAATGCTTGCACAGTGGCGTCCACCCGCTCGGTATATCAAGAACGCTCACTTACCACCTTAAAGAAGGATCAGGTTGTTCATAAAGGTCAAGCCGATGATTGGATTCTCAATACCGCGCAGATGCGGGATGCCTACCATCTGCAGCGGTTCCGGATTCACTCAGTGTGTCTGGATCAGGAAAGGATTGTGGAGGCCAGTGTTGGGCGAGAGATTGCCGCTCAAAAACATGCACGCCGGACGGTTACCACAGAGAATCCTGATTCTGTTCATTCAGTCGACAGCTCGTCCACTTTACCAGCAGAGCACAGTGCAGCTCAACACCCGAGACTACTAGCTTTACAGAATCAGACACTTTCTCGTCGATAAGTTATGGCAGTACTTGCTTGTACTTTAGTTAGATTCTTACTATATTTTTCGTGGTATGCTGGACTCGATGTGCTGGTACTTGTGAGCATTCGCGGTTGCATCTTCCGAATTCACGTAAATATTGTCCTTAATTGGCATGTTGGCCGTCAATACCTGGCTCGCAAACCACGGCAACTCAGGAAGATGATGAAGAATGATCGCAAGTTTGTCTCTATTTAACTAATAAATTACTGGATCTAGTACTCATCTGCAACCCTCGAAGACGCACTGGGAGTTGGGGAGCCCGGGTACTGACTACCTGGTAAGGTCGGAGCGAAGCGAGACATACTGTTGCACGTACAGTTGGCCAAAGTTGCCTGCAACTCATCGATGGTAGCCGTCATAAACCTATTATCACTTCTCAGCATGTAGCTCCGCTCCCACTCTTCGTCCAAACGCTTCTCCAACGCATGAATACGGTTGTCAAATACGTGTTCGACAAGGTTGAGAAGGAGGTCCTTGATGCTTCCCAGGCTCTCCTTAGCCAAGGCTTCAGCTAGCTCAGCACTGGGCAACAAAACTGGCTCATCATCGGCTACTGTAAATCAGGGATAGGTGAGTCATTCAGTGAATTGTCAAGGAACATTAAGGAAATGTGAAGGAAGGGCTCACCAGACGTTGCCCCAGCCTGTTTCCCTGATGACTTCACGCTATGAAAGGTAGGTGCTGGCCGCGACGGTTCTCCGAACACTGGTGGTGAAGGTGTTCGTGGTCGTGGAGTACCCCCTAACATCAGAAGCAAAAGCACTCAGACAAAATCGAAAGAAGAGGTATGGACGGGTGATGGGACATACTTGAACATAGACCACGTTCGGGCCCATCCGTATCGCCGTCTCCCAGACCACGGACATACTGAGAGTCGGTTGTCTGACTATCGAGGATACCGCCCGGTGCAAACAAGCTGTGGACAGTAGCACTGGTTAGCATTGCCAAAAGGGCAGTGGAGAGTATGCTGTCAGTGCGTACGCAGAGGTGAGGTTCAAGGCTTTCGTTCGCTTCACCGCCTCACGGGATGACCGAGTCGGGCTCTCTGAACGAAGCCGCTTTGCGCCACGACTCGCTGGAGGTCTGCCAGACTGCAACTGGGGTGACTGAGGACACGTAGGCATGGTCATGCGCATGGGAAGGGAGTGGTACGACCACGATAGGGGTAGGGGTTGGACAAGACCGACCAGCCCATCTCCGTTTTATATTTCGGAACTCAGTCATTTTGCAATTGATGAGGGGCGTGCATGAACACGTCGCGTCTGTTGATTCTGGTCAACAAGACGATTCACTCATGTGACAGGCTCCTGTTTTCATATAAAAGCTCTGGTATCTCCCGCTGTTTCCCTTCATCACAACGATAGCTCCTCCCTCATCGACCTCTTCAGTGCGCTTACCCGCCTTCCGCTATCTTCGCAGTTATGAACAACCTCCCTCTGGGCCCTTACCCTCCTGGCCCTAGCCAATATCAGCTTCCGGCCTATGGCATGCAACTCCAGCCTCCGACTATGGCCTCTTATCAGCATACCCCGTCTCTTCATTCGATGAACTCTCCATACTCGACTCCAGGACCAAACGGCCCACCCTCCATTTCCTCATCTCCAGAGCCCTTCTCTACTTCGTCGACTCTCGCCGAAGACCAACAGACCCAGGCCACCTCGACCTCACTTGGTACCTCCATCGTGAACCAGACAGCCAGTACGGACAGTACCACGGACGAGGAGCACCTTGTCATTTCTACGCTCTACGTCGACAATCTCGCAAAGTCCTTCAGCCTCGACAATCCTTTTCGTAACCACCTTCAGGACTTCGTCAGGGTGAGTCCTTGTCTTTGATTGTTCCTCTCTATCGGTGTGTCTCACTATTGTGTCTTGGTCCTTCAATAGCTTGCCTCCTTGCCCGACCAGTTTGGCAACCAGCTCAGTAAGGCAGACGTAGCAACCCGTCTCTATACGCTCGCCGTTGTCTTAGGTGACATCCTCGAGCGTAAGCGCCAGGCAGAGGCGAATCAACAAGGGTTTGCGAATGTCAAGGCCCTCTATGCCGACCTGCAGCGTAGGTTGGAGAGCACGTTCAACTTCAATGACGAGCAGTCTGTATGTCTATTCCTATACTTCTCCTTTTTATTCCTTTGTTGCTAACTGATTGTGCTAGAAAAACTTGCGCAAGCTTGCAAAGGACCTTATCTTCGAGGCCGAAAGGGCATCAGTAAAGACACTGAATCATGATGTGAATGTATGTATCTATAATCTTCGAAGCTTCCATACCCATATGCTAATTCAATGTCTATAGCGATACGCAAAGGCGAATAGCGGCGATATGCAGCTAGACAATGTTTATGGTGTTCCTAGCCGCGAGACTGCGCTCAGTTCACACATCCGCCGAATCTGCTCAAGCGTGAGGAACGCCTTCCGTGTTGACGTGAGTTCATCTACATTTACATCGCCAGCCGATAGTTGATGATCGCCATGAAACATATGTAGCTGCAACAGAGTCTTTTCAGCAGAGACCCAAAGAATCAACGGAACCTCGCGGGCTTTACTTATTATATGGCCGAGAGGTACAAACGGGGTGGAGCGACTGAAGGCCTTGACCTTAAGTACACTTTGCGCATTGCATTGATGGTTCGTCTCCCTTTATCTATGACGATGTTCTGACTTGTTCTGATGTTCATGGTGGATGGTCAGCGTCGATTTGCCATGGAGCATGCCGATCTTCTCAACATATCCGAGAGTGACAGTTCCAATCCTGGAGATGGAGAACCCAGTCGCAAGCGCGCTCGAGGAGGAGGCAAGGTGCCGGAAGCAAAGGATTTCTGGGCCCAGTTCGACAAGTGGTACGGTGCAAAGCTCGCTGCCTGGGGTAGCGATCTGACATCCTCTTCGTGGAAGGAGTGCGTATTTCAACTTACTTTGTCCATCATTTCATGTGCTAACTCTTTCATCAGGTATATCGACGAGACGATTGCTCGCGATAACTCTCTTTATGACCCGGAGACCAAGGCCAAGCTTGCCGCCCAGTCGTCAGCTTCCAGCTCTAGCGGTTTCAACGGTGCCGGATCGCGCAATATCCTCACTGGTCTTTAACCGTTCACTTGTGGTGCTTAGATTCAAAACCATTAGACATTTCATAAATTTTACTGGCTCTCACCGTCTCCAATTCTATCTATTGTATATATATTCTGTCTACATCTCTAGGTTCGAATCCTGAATATATTCTTGCTTGCTCTTGAAATATTGCATGACTGTCTTGATACTGTGTTTTTGTGTGTTGTTTTGTGAAGGAATACATGCTCAGAGCAGCCCAATAAGCAAACCTATCCATTGTTACAGGACAGAGTAAATGACTTGAGCCTGATTCGAGAATGGAACCTCAAAGCAAAGGCGGGCCACACTGCGATCAGCACCAGCCAGTGTCGAAGATATACAAGACAATGTCATAGAAAATCAGTCTCTGAATGAAACTCCAATTTTTCTTCGGATATGTCAATAAGATAGTCATTCCTGCTAGCTGAAATGTTCCCCCAACCTTTAAACTTGATTTTAAGAAATTGTGGTGCCCAACTTTGGCCCAAGAGGGTCGCTGTGCCACACCGGGCAATTGGATTATGTAATCGGGGCAAAGGGCGACGCCAGCGCATCGACGCGCTCTTCGCGACTTCGATGTTCAACTTCAACATCCCAGCTCTGTCTCTCTCAACATCTCAGCACTGTCTTCTTCATTGTGCACGTACAGTACAGACAGCTCCTCAGGGCGTTAGCAGTCTGGCTGCACCCGGTTTTCTGTATTAGTAGTCCCTTTCTTTGCCAACTCTAAGCCGGTGCGACTCTCCGGCTGTGCCTGCACGCCCGACTGTCACCTTGCTTGGAGTTGGCCTTCGAGCTTTCGGGGAGCTCTAATCGAGAGGTTCCTAGAGACAACAGCTTGTTTCCTTCATGAAGGATTCTGAATGGTACGTGGCATTAAGTCGAAGTCACTCTTACGTCTTTTTTTTCTGTCTTGCAGTCTCGCCCTCTCCCAGTCTTCAACCAGTATCGCCACAAATCCACACGGGCTCCAATACACTTGTTTCTGTAAGTCATTCGCTCACCTCCCCTTCCTCTTCTCGATATATACATCAGTAGGCCAAACGGGCTTCTCCATCGTCGCTGGCAAGCGTCTCAACGCAGTCGCTACGATGCAGAAGTTCTCTTTTGGTAAGCTGCCTTTATATGGATGATTATTGACTTTCCTCCGTCCCTTCGCTAGGTCTACAGACAATATACATCTTTAGGGACCTCGTCATCACAGCCATGCTATTGCCCTCCACCGGTACGTCTTAAGAAGAGTCCTTGCGTACCTCTTGTCCTCTTCCCTTCTGCCCTCCTCTTGTCCTCTTCCCTTCGAGTATGCTCACCCACCATCTTTTCATATATGTCCGCAGGTTATTCTACAAGGCTAAGTCAGGGTATATATAAGTATGCTGGCCATATGCTATTTTTGTGTATGAACGCAAGAATGACATTGAGGGTGTAAGTCGCCCTCAGTCTTTCGTATCGTGTCTTTCTGTGACCTGACAAGCAACATCTCATGCAGGTTCATTGTCTGCCATTCACCGGTGAGCTCATCATAGTAACCTACAGCTTGCAATCACTGATCTTCACCCTTGCAGATATTGCATGCAAGATCGTGGTCGGGTAGCCTGCGAGAGTCGAACAGTCCGTTAAGGTACGTCTCCACATCTTTCATTCTATGCACACTGTCACTCAGTTAAGCCTGCAGAATCCGTTTCGTGTCCATGTATCCAGAGCTTCAGACATTCGAGTGGTCAATGTACTCGAACAGAGAGGGAACCCGATATGTGGCGACTGGACTGGGTACATAGACCCACACCCTATCTCTTATGTACCATTGTAGCCCTCTGTAGCCCATTAAGCTGTATCGTGAATATATTATATGTTTACCTGGATCATTTCAGTGACCGAAGCGGGGTGGACAGCAAATGGTACAAATGGCTTGATTTAGTTATATAACGTAAGCTATCCTTTGCACAAGGTCCAAACGGGCTCACAACGCTGGTCTGAACGGGGCGCGTTCCGGGGAGAGCTGAGCCCTCCATTTTTCAACCTCGCTTAACTCCGTATCAATCCGTGCGCAAACAGCGCAGATTGAAGCACCGTTCACTAGCATTGGCTGGCCGTGTATAGCACTGAATAAGGCGATTATACGAACGAAGCGCAGACAGCTCTTTTGATCGCATGGGGGTTTTCAGGTACCCAGGATACATCCTATCGATGCATTCCTTCTACACACCTTCACTTGACGTGGCGGAACCTTCTCAAAAGAGCTTCTGATAGCGATAATGTCTTCTGGGACGATCCGAGATCTCGCTATGTACCACCTTCAATGTTTTCGCTAACACGGTCGGGAAGCCTTCCCCTCTGCTCAGGGTCCCTTTATACCGTGCCACTCAACAACAGGTTCTATGGTCCAACATAAAGGGAAAATAACACAGCTGTGAGACTTATCTTTTAAATTGGTTCGAGTTTAGTAGGTTGGTGAACCCGGGGAGCTGATACTACGGGGCCGGGGGGTAATACGTTTGATGTTCAGAAGGCGATGCGTTTGTCCACAGCTCAAGTGGAAGAACAGGCGCTTATCTTGAGGCCTTTACCGAGAGCTTTGGTCTTGTCAGGTCTTGTCTTCACCTTTTCCCTGCCTCGACCCTTTGCGCAGTTTATCTTAGAGGCACTAGACAATCACGGAACGCTCGCGTTTCTGTCATCGGGAGTACGCACGACTTATGCTCTAGTCTTGTTTATCTTCTCGGTCCTCTCGTGCGTTATATGGACAGCATACTACTTGCGCACGCGGATAAAAACGCTCTGAATATCATAAGAGCATCATCGAATGGCCTTATGTCATTCGCGCACAAGTTCTCTGAGAACACTCCCAGCCATCGGGCAGTACACTACGCTAAGGGAGTGAGCATTTTTTATAAAACACTGGTGTGATTAGACTTGCCCCTTGAACATCGTCCCGCCCACAGAGCCCCATCAACACCATGCCTTCTACAGTACTCGTACGAAGCTTGTTCCGTCATGCCTGGACACTCTTCCTCTTCACCAAGTCAGACATCAAGACAACATTGATCCCCATCGTAGGCTATACCAAAGTTATCTCTAACGCAATATAATGTGCTGACTTTTTTCTTCTTCTATTCGTAGTCGATATTCGCCATTGCTTCCGCACCCATACATTCTGCCTCCCACGTTCCTCATGTCGTATTCTGGGTTTGGCTGCACCTCCTACAGTTCGACGTCTCGAACCAGCTGATGGACCCAGACGAAGACAATCACAACAAGCCCGATCGTCCGCTCCCCGCGAAACGCATCTCTTATCGGAACGCTACGATTATGAGATGGGCACTCGTCCCTCTTTGCTGGGGGCTCTCGGCCCTGTACAGCTCATACGTCCTATGTGCAAGCGTAGCTCTTGTCGCTTTTACCGTTATTTACGACGAGTTGCACGCCCACTCTGGTCACTTCGCTGTTCGTAATGTTGTGAACGCGGCAGGATTTGCTTCATTCGAACTAGGTTCGACTCTCATCTCTGGTACGTACATCGTACAAATTCTCAGCTGCCGTATGATTATGGCTTTGTTCTATCAGAACATCGTGCGGTACCGAGCTGCGTCTGATGATTACCTTGCAGGAAGTGACCCATCCAGGTTCACAAGCACCATGCTTCTCGCCATCAGCATCAGTGCCGGGATATTCGCAACAACGATTCAGGCTCAAGACTTCAAGGACATCCGCGGCGATAGTCTCATCGGCAGGAAGACCCTACCCATCGTTCTCCCCTCCGTCGCTCGGCCCACCCTATTGGTCGCGCTTCTTGTCTGGTCCTTGTCCCTCACACACATCTGGCGCCTCGACTTCACTACTGCGTGCACATTGATTGCGCTCTCATGTTTCGTAGGAGTAAGGTTTGTGTTCTTGCAGGGGGAGAAGGATGATCAGATCTCGTTCTATTGGTATAATGTGAGCTTGAGTGTTTAATCTTTTCTCCTCCCCGTGCGTAACTGATGTAGCATTTGATCTTGATAGGTGTGGCTTTCGCTTGCGCACGCGCTTCCTGGCATATGGATGCTGAACGGGAGTGTGCAGTGACGGGTGGTCATCAGAGAATCTCACCTTAAGGCATATTAACGTCCTGTCAAATATATGTGCAGAATGTGGTTTATCATGATACTTGTTCACTTAGCGGACTTGCACGACATTATCGGTGAGCAGAGGAGACGGAAGCTTTGGCATCAGCTATGCTGTAAGCCCGTTTGCGGAAGGCGCTAAGTATGTTCGGCGTATGCGGCGAGCGCCATACGCTTCTGGCAATAAATATCGGGGAACATTATTGACGAGATAGATTGCTTGATAACACCAGTGGATCCGGGACACACCGGTCTCCTAACTCCCAACATATTGTCATGTCCTCACCACAGAAAGTCGCTGATACCTACGATATAATCTTTGCGGGAGGTAATGTCAAGCGCTCTTACATTCTAGTTATTGTTTCTTTAGCCTGATTGACCATTGAGCGTAGGAGGAACTGCAGCATGCGTCGGAGCTGGACGGCTCTCGAAAGCATCACCCAATCTCAAGATTCTCATTCTTGAGACCGGGCCTCTCACAAAAGATGCACTCACACACATACAGCCTGCTCGATTCGCCGCTCATTTGGTGCCAGGAGCGAAAACGGTTCGGTTTCACATTGACGAGATGTCTGATGCCTTAGGCGGTAGGCAAGGTATCGTCGTCGCAGGACAATGCCTCGGTGGAGGATCCAGTGTCAACTGTAAGTCTCCAGGATTTTTCTTTAGCTAAATCCCTGATGATTGACGACGGTTGGCGTTCACTACTCCAGTTGGCATGTACACACGTGGCGCCCAATCCGACTTCGACGCTTGGGAGAATGAATTTAACAACCCCGGGTGGGGATTTAAGGATCTACTTCCGCTCTTCCAAAAAGTAAGCCTGTCAATATATAATTCAGTATTCCAGTTGTATCTTTTGTTAAAAATTGCGCGATAGACGGAAACCTACCAAGTCAAAGCTGGAGCACACACCCACGGCGACTGTGGGTAATGCACCATTTTTATCACTCCACGATGCGCCACTTTTTCCCTTCTGACTAGCCGTTCTCTAAGCCCGCTGAAGGTGTCATACGGGGGTACCTACACAGACATAGGAAAACAGTTCATTGAAACTGCGGGCCTGGTTGATAAAGAGCGTAGTGCGATAGAAGCCTTCGACGGCAATGATTTCAGAGCAACCAACGTCTACTGCGTACGTCCCTTTCATCGTATCTTTTGGGAATGAGTATGAGATACTTACTGAGTCTCAGAGGTGGGCCAAGTACGTTTTCTTTCCTTCTCAAAGGCATGTTTCTGACGGGTGTTCGTTTCCAGATGGATTGACGGAACAACAGGGCGTCGTTCAGACGTTGCGCACCACTTTATCTACAATCAAGCCCAGGCTTCGCATCTGCATGTCGCAACTGGTGCCTCCGTAACTCGTGTCATTATACAGTACACATTACCCTGTCATTCTCCTAGAAAGCATCTCATGACGTCTGCTTATAGAGACGGTTGTGCGACCGGTGTGGAGTACAAATGGAATGCCACCTCAAGCTCCGAAGACACCACGGGGTTGCACATCGTACGAGCCCGCAGAATGGTCGTCGTCGCAGGCGGCGCATTTGGCTCTCCCGCCATTCTTGAGCGATCTGGAATCGGGTCGGCTGCGGTGCTGGCGAAGGCCGGTGTTGCTCAGGTAGTGGACTTGACTGGTGTTGGAGAAGCCTATCAAGGTATGCCTCCTCGTTTGTTCAATTATGAGGTGAGCCACTGATTGTTGTACATAGACCACAACATTGTATTTGTTCCATACATCGCTGACCCGGATACAGAGTCTCTCGACGCAATTATGAGGGGCGAGGCTGATGAGATACAATGTGAGATGTTTGTATCTTATGTTTGGAATGTACTAACAGTCTTATAGCGACGTCGATTGAATGGTCAAGGACTGGCCAAGGACGCATGGGGACAAAGTAGGTCCTGTACATCGCATAAGGTGCTCTCATCTGGATGAGGTTGTATAACTATCCTTCAGCGCTGTCGATGCTGGTATGAAATGTCGCCCCACGGAAGAGGAGTTGAAGGAATGGGGCCCCGAGTTTGCAGCGAGATGGAAATCCGACTTTGCCAATAAACCCGACAAACCTGCTATCTGGATTGGTCTTGGATCCATGTAAGCTAGCTTTCTACAACTCGCTGTCGAGACCCAACTCGGATGTAATCCAATGACAGGGTGTCTCGTCACCTACAGGCTTCTGCGTGACCCTCGTGTGGTTCCTCCCCAGAAGTATTACTCTGTTGGTTGTTTCACGACTCACCCGCTGGCTCGTGGGCATGTCCATGTCACCACGAGCGACGACGTGGATGCGCCTTTGGACTTCAAGTCCGGATTTTTCGAGAAGTACGATCTCTACATACCAAGTCATCAAACAGTCAGCCGCTTTGCGAACTGATTTTCCTCACCAGTATCGCCGACGTTCTCCCCCATATCTGGGCGTACAAATTTGTCCGCGAAATCGCTCGCCGAATGCCCGTTTTCCGAGGAGAACCGGCGCCGCTCCATCCAAAGTTTCCTTCCGGAAGCGAGGCAGGGGTCATAGAAAGCGGCTTACCTGTCCACCTCAATACTCCTAAACTGGTTTATACTGCAGAGGACGACAAAGCCATCGAGCAGTATGTCAGAGAAAGCGGTATGTGGTGACCACGACTCTCTTAAATGTTCACTCGCTCATTCCTCTATTTTATTTGTTCAGTTGCAACTTGCTGGCATTCGGTATGAGATACCAGTCACACATGTTTCGGTGGAAGCTGATACGAGTCGTTCAGATGGGGACGTGCGCCATGAAGCCTCGAAGCGAAGGTGGTGTAGTAGATGCGCGTTTGAACGTTTATGGCGTCACGAATCTCAAGGTTGTAGGTATGTGTCACCGTGTATTTCCACATAGAGAATTCATCGAGCACTGATCCCTCTACAACCACCCCGTGATAGACTTGTCGATTTGTCCTGGGAACGTCGGCGCTGTACGTTCCATCTCGCTTAGTCTGTTATGTCTTCTAACTCATTTAGAGCCTATTATCAGAACACGTATTCCACTGCCTTGGTCGTGGGAGAGAAAGCCGCTGTGATAATCGGGGAGGATCTCGGCATTGAGGGTGTCTGAACGACAAGTCATTATGATAAGCGCGAGGGTGATACGAGACCGAACGGCGTCGCAGGCTTCTATGTGCGTGTAGATCGAGCGAAGGTATACTGCTTCAGTAGTGTAATTGGTCCACAATTATGTTACGGTACACTCCACAGCAATGATCTCAGGTGTTCGAAACGGACATTCAAGCATTCTTCCCGACGGGGTTTCGGTGCAGGCAGTGTGCGGAAACAAAGGCGAACGAGCAGGCACATGAGGAAAATATAATCTGGAGTCCTTGATGGTATCAGCATTGTGCAAAGACCAGTTCTGTGGCGAACAATGTGTAAGACATACTACCTTCGTGAGATCTAGAGTCCTGTTCGAAACAGCCCAACAAAGAGACTGCCCAAATGGGTTGATTTTCCGGTGTACTATGGTAAGAGTTTCTAATCGGCCACAAATCCAATCGAGAAAGACAATTGAACACGCCCAACATCCCGGTAGATTGCAGGGTGATCAAGGTGTGCTGGGAGCCGCCACATAGGCGAATAAAGGATTCGCGTACTCAAAGAATGAAGTGGTCCTGTGCTCGGAGGACTCACACAGCTGCGGAACGAGTGGGGTGCATGTCCGGAAATTTTGGGGCAACAAACATGCAATATTGACGGCAATACGAATGCATCATATGAATCCATAAACCTATGCACTATCGACCACATTAAACTATCAGGCATATCGGGCTGCATGGTTCTTTGCGACGCCACACATTCTTTCCAACCGAACAACGCAATAGCCCTAGAACATCTTCGTCGCTCATAATCCTACGTCATACTACAGACGATGCACTTTGTCACTGAAGAGTTTCAGGGAAAATGTGAAGCATTCGACGTACAGTCATAGCCTAGAGCAGTAAGTGGATGGGCAGCGAAATAACTCAATTGACCTGTGCAAGCAAGGATCGGACCTTGATGTGGTTGTTGACGTTGAGAACCCCGTCCTTCTCGACATCTTCGACGAACGTGAGCTTGACGTCGGGACCGAAGAGCAGGACGTGCGTAGATCCACCGAACTGAAACATCCCAATTTCTTCGCCCTGTTGTACCTTCCTTCCCGCTTCCACCGACAAGACACAAGTCGAAACCTCAACCATCCCAACACCGATGAAACCGACTATACCGATTTTGGGATTGCCGGTGTCGATGAGGATGATAGCGCGAGTCGCGGACTGGGTGAGCCAGGCTTGAGAGCGGATGAGAGCGCCGTACGGGGCGCCTGGCTCAAAGTCCGGATCACCCTCTTCTGCGCCTTCGTCAGGCAAGACGGCGTAATAGGTGCCCGGGATGATATCGGCCTTCACGACAGTGCCGGAGACGGGGGCGCGCCAGCGATGGTAGTCGTAGGGGCTGAGGAAGGCTTGGTAGACTGTTCCGCCGGTGAAGTACTGGGTGGTGCTTTCGTCACGGTCGAGCATGCCGTAGAGAGAGTACTTCTGGGCCTTGAGCCAGAACTGATCGTGGGCTTTGACGTTGCGGTCGAGGCGAAGCACTGCGGATTCACAGGCGCTGATGATATTGGCAGGATTCCCGTCGGAGACGATGGGGCGGGCCTCATCCTTGATCTCGCGAATAAAAAACTCGTTCCAGGACTCGTACCCACGGTTGACCTCGTCCGGCTTGGGATGAATATAGGTCGTGTCGAAATCACCACGGCCCTTATCTTCCAACGTCTTTATGCCCTCGTCGCTGAACCAGCCCCCTTCCTTATCAGTGAGTGTCGTGTTCGAACCGGGGGAACTAAGGAATGCGCCCCAGCTATCGAGTAACTTCTTCATGGCGACGTTGAATGCAGGCTTGCTGAAGAGCTGGTAAGCCGCCGCGGTGTTGCTGAGCAGGTCGAATACGATGTAGATGGGGACTCCGATAGGCTCCCCGATATCGTTCTCGATGAAGCTGGGGGGTTGGACCAGAATGATGTCGAGGAAGTGGAGAAGACAATCAAAGTCCTCGACCTAGAGAACGATGAGTCTATTGATCGGGAACAAAACAACGGAGTAAGTGACATACGTGGTTCTGAGGTGTCGCAGCCTGGAGAAAAGTCTGCTCGAAGAGGCCGAGCATCTCGGGATCGGCTCTGATGGCGTCTTCGAACTCGCCCACCGCTTGAATATGAGACGACTTTGCCCTACGACGCGTGGCAGCTTTATTGTTCAGATGACGGAAGAATTTCTCGTATGCATCCTTGCTGTGAGGCAGCCATCCTCCGTAACGGATGGTGGAAGTCTGAGGGTACAATTGTGCTGATGGCATCGATCTGTAATCCTCGTCAGCATGTATCCATGGAACGGACATTTCTTCAGAGAAAATCTTACAAGATATAGGTTATTTAGTCAGTGCTTAGATGCGGAGAGTGGACAGTCGATGTTTGGCTCCCCCCAGCTGACGCCTTTTATACTTCAACGAAGGGTTGTCGACGCCTCGGAAAATCAAACCAAATCGGCATAAAACGAAGAGAGTTACAAGTTCTACTCGGGAGGACGGAGATGAGGTCATTGAATGAGTGCAGGTATGCCAGTTTATTGGATTAAGCAATCGTATTGGAGCAGTATTGGAGCGGGATCGAGTAGTATGAACGATAATGCTATGCCCAAAATGCTTCAAGAAGCATGCATGGCGCCGTAAAGGCCACGATGCACCACCCAATGTCAGGGAATGACAGTTGGCGTGTGATCCTGCAATGGGAGGTACTTATCCCATCGTATTGAGCGTCCAGCATGCAACAGCTGTGATGAGGAATGGAATGCATGTGTTTTCGGTTCATGGACTAGGGAGCTCGTGCCATGTTGACATTGACTGGAGCCACAGAATATGCATCGCAACTATGCACCAGTTCTTCCACCCGAACAGATACCATTCATCCTGCATTGCACGGTTCAGGAAACGTTCAGGTGGGATCGACATCCAGTTTCGGTCTCGGAATAATGATTGCTTACACGACGCACGTCGTGTAACCTTCGCATCAATGACCTCGACTACGACTGATTAAACTGGATCACATTTACCAAGGTTTGCTTATTGATGGTAAAACAATCTCGAGATAGTGCCTCTCCATGTTTACAACTGCACGAATACTAGTTCGGCACGAGCGAAGGTTCCAAACAGAGAGGAAGACAATTCGGTAGAGGAGGCGAGATACGCCTGCGTCGGAGACTCTGGACCGGAAACGAAGTATGCACCTCCAAATTTCGCCACAAAGATTGTTGTTACGTGTGAATGAAGATCCATCGTCCACCTCTCATCCATGCAGAATCATGTATAGAGCGTATGCATGTCCGACTATTCCAAGCAAGTTCGATGAACTATGCAATGACGAGCTGAACAGAAGAAACCCCTCGAGTACAAGTCAAGAACGGATGGAAGACGACGCGAGAGAGAAAGGAGCCGAACGCAATGAGCATCAGACTTCACTGCGGTACTACGACCCCCTGGCACGTTGCTTCTGGTTGACCGCCAGTCCCACATATCTGAAAGCGAGGTAGCGATCAAATGAGACGGAGTACGGTAGACAGGACGCCGAAGAATGTGAATATTGTGAATTCACGCCGTGATTCTTGCATGTACCTGAATGTATGGAGTTGGGGGAAGGGAAGAGGTCAGCATGACTGTAACCGAAGCTACATCGCCCGGAAGGAAACAATATTAGGAGATAATAACGGAGCGCGAGAGCAGAGAGGGTTGGATGTTCACGCTCGGGCAAAGCGCCAATAATTCACGATGCTGCTATACGAGCGGCCTTGACGCCTTCCGACACAGCATGGGCATATGTCTCCACGATCAGATCCGGTCTATCAACGATGTTCAAAACAATCACGCTTCCATCCACGAGCGCGGCCTGTACAGCTGGCATAGGTCATCGTCCGTACGTTGCAGACGGCGTTGCTCGTGAGCGAGGATATAATGCGACGGTGGAAGTGAGTCGCGTATAAGGCACCAGAGCTGAGTCTGAGGATATGGAGACGGAGTCGCACGGCGAGAGCGTGAGAGAGCACGAATGGAGTGTACTCCAGAGCAGCAGACATCAATGCACCTGCCGTGACAGACAGAGTTTCAACGTTCAACCTAGACGAATACACATTCGAGTCTGGTCGCCTCTGTTAGTAGTGCCGACGTCAACTTAGTAGGACTCTTGCTCGACCTGCCTAGCGAGCGTGGCAGGCTATCTTCAAGGTTCTCGTCGACGTTGGCGCGTCGTATAAGCTCCCTACATTGAATTCAACTACGCACCACTCGAAACCCACCCAATCTCTTATCGGTGCCGACATCGATGGAGTGGCTCATGTGTAAAGAAAATGAAGATATTATGGATAGTGGACAGTATTTCGGCGTACGAAAGGCACTACAGCCTCTGATGAACAGCATCGGGATGTCCGATAGGGCGCGCATCAAAATATGGTGAGACCGTGCATCTATCGACCATATAGGCTTCAGGAAGTACGAACACCGACATCCACGCCGATAACGGGTCAATGTATGCGTCGTGACGGAGGGTTTAGGTGTACCAATTACGATAGTAAGACTGAGCACTGTGCGCATATCGCACAGAGGCTTATTGTCTCAATTATTCCTCCGTCATAAACATGATGGGACGGCAAAACCGGAATGCTCAACAGATATGTTGAGTATATGTCTCTTCGTCTTCACTGTCAACCAAAGGCTACATAACCCATGTATGCGTACTGAGTTGCGCATAGTTGACGAAGAAGAAGATGACACGTTCCTCAGTCGAGCAGCAGGCGTACAACGATCGTACTCGTTCTCGGGTTCGATGAGACAAGGAAAGCCGAACGATGTTAGATATATGCGGTGATGAAGACGCATACATCGACTGAATAGTCCAGGCAGGCCCTCGTACGAGAAATGGACCGCATACGTCGGCCCTTCCTCCTCCGACAGGAAGCGCAACTCCGTCCACGAAGGTGTTCACCCCAGGAGCTTCAAAGTTCTGCTCTCCTCAGACGGCAGTGGAAGCCCCAAACGATAATTTGTTCCAATTACGCCCATTGACTTCTCGCTCGTGCGTACGAAGAGAATCTCGCACTCTCTCACCTCTTCCTCATTGAACGTGAAAACACGCAGAAGACAGCAGGAAGGGTGTGACTGTTCGGTTCGGTGCCCAAGCACGACGTCCCTTGCCGTCATCCAAACAGAAAGATAGATGAATTGAGACGGATGAGAAACTCACCCAAAACCCGTCGACACCGCGCCGTTCGCCGCAGTCTCGTAGCCCATGACAAACCCTTCAGCACAAGGACACGAATACGTGAGCGGCTAAGAACGAAGTGCAAATGGATATCTATACGCACCTGAAATCAACCACGTTGTACAGGCTAAACCGAACGTCAAGGCTCAAGAGAGTTTCAACGCCATCGTAGAAGAAGAAAACATGGACCAAAAGCAAGAAGAGCGTGCCAGAGCGTGCAGATGGGCGATAAGAGGTCCTGGAACCGTGTCGAGCGGTTCAATTCCACCAAGTATACGCGTCCGGGTTGCCATAGGTATCGCGATCGCGAGAACGAACTTGGAGATTGGAAAACAATACGGAGCATAGAGCGCGGTGTGGCCCCTGTTTTAGTTTGGTGGGCTCATGACTCTGTAGAAGGAAGAGCGCAGTTTATGGATGGATTTCGACACATAGAATGTCATCGCCATGGAGAGTGTCGATGGATATCCTGTGCCATGCAGAAGGGGGAATGGGGAATGGCAAACAGCTTGACGAAAAGTGGTCGAGAGCAAAACAAGAGGGCCACGTGTTCGCAGGGGCAAGGCCGGATTGGAAGTAAGAGTATTCAAGCTCCGCTTGGAGTGTGACGCACAGCCACATCGCTCAGTTCTGAACGCTGAATGTCATCTTCTTTATCCGTGAACTCGACTTCAAGTTGCCTTGATTTCACCTGCTGTATCTTCGTCCTCGTCTGAGTTAGTCGCAGACTATGCAAATGAGGCATATTTGGTCGGAAAGATGAAGAGACGTAGCGCAGGTCGTCACGATCCTGCCCGTACCAACGCCTGAAAGCGTTGTTGCACGCCTAGTATGATGAGTGTCGGGGCAAGTCTGGAGAGGAAGGGTTAAGTGTGCCGAATACTTTGAAGATATTACCGGCCTTGGTCCTGTGGATGCTGAAGGTCATGTTTTGCCCTCTCGCTATCGACGTAACCGCTCATATTCCAGATTTGTCAGTACTCATACCCAATACACCGCATTCCACCCGAGGTGAGTTTGTTCAGTCCGCACATCAGCTGTCTCTGTTCTTCCACTCATGTCAACGCGTCCCAGCGAACTTATTACTTTTACCTTCCGGCTTTCCAGGCAGGAGCCACCGAACCCAACGCAGTGTTTCGAATCTTTCAAACACTACCGCTCGCGACCGAACCTCGAAAGACACAGCTGCGCCTGATCAAGGGCGGGCAGACTTTGCATTTGTGAGGGTGCAGGAATACAGTCTATGCTCGGCGTACTTGGGTTTCCGGGCAATGGGGCTTTGAGGAGCGGTGAGGTACGTCGTACGCCACAGCGCTTTCCTTACTTCCTCTACGCCTCATTTCATACCACATCCCCGCCCTCTTCCTCCTCTGTTTTATGAACTTCTCGCTGATTTCTCCAACGCTGACTGCACAGCACACCCAAGCGATCCTATCCACCCTCGAAAACCCTTTCTTCCGCCTCATTTCCATGATTCACACCCACCTCCGGACCTTCGCTCTTCGCCGAATCCACCACGCGCATCTTCAATGATGGCGAAGACCGGGTACTGAAGATACGGGCGATGAACACGAAGGTGTACGACTGGACGGTATCTCGTTGCCGAGTTATGTACAGTGAGCCGGACACTCGAAGGATAGGGTGGATGGCGTTTCTGGCTCTATGAGGGGTGTGCGATGTCTGGGTGTATTTGCGCGCTGAGTGACGAGAGATTCTGTTTTTGTGGGTACTACGTTGTACATCGTGATGATGTGCTGTCTTTGAGGCGCGTGCGGGTGCTGGGTGCAGATTTCAGAGCTGCAATGGTCGATGCTGATCGATCTTTCTTCTTTGTTTCGTTGGATTTTAGGTGGATTCCTCGGGAGGCCAAGAGGAGAGGAGGTGAGATCACGCGTGATGAGTGCATGCTCGACGAAGCGCACGGCGAACAGATTGAGTAGTACGGGTAACGCTGTTAACCCGGCTTTGGAAACTAGCGTTCAATTCGTAGTCGTTGTATGTACCATACTGTCCGTCTACAGATACAAATATTCATCATAGCCTGTAGGACAATACGTATATGCCGAGAACCACTCAGAATCAGGACCATTCAGCGAACGGAAGTATGGTGAATTTTAGCGAATCTCAGCTCGAAAGAAATGCAAGAAAAGGGACTATCATATTGACCTCTGCCGTTTCGTACACTTCAAGACTACACTTCAAATGGCTTCATGGCCATCGCTCGGCAAGATTTCCTTTTGAGCACACTCTCGCTTCCTACTTCTCGAGCCGTTGAACTGCCTCGTACACTTCGTCGTGGTACTTCTTGTTATAACCGACACATTGTAACCCCCACACGAACGGTAGCTAGTCACCGTCCAGAAAACGTCGAGCACTCAAGTAAGTAAACGGTAGTCAAAGAACCGAGGTAAAGTATCACCCACCGCACGACCGATTCTCCACGCCTTCATGATATCATCAACATTCGCAGACCGGAAATTCGGCCTGGACTTCAGGATCTTCATATCTTCTTCGGAAGGATCACGGCTAAGGGTAAGAGCACCCTCAGCCCGCTTGGCCAAGTGCGACTCCGTACCATTCGTCCCAAAGTAGCGTGCCCAACTCTGTTGAACCTGAGACGGGAGGCCGAAGGTACACACATATCAGTAATATCCTAGACGCAGTCGAGGCATCAAAAAGAAAGGGGAGGATTGGGACAGTCAACTCACGTCCTTAGCCACGGCGATCCATTCGTCTCTGCCTAAGTTCTCCAGTCGTATTGCCTTATAAGTCCCGTAATACCTCCACGCCTTGTTTCCCTCTCTAACCACCAAATCATACAATGCTTCGCCACCTTTTCGATCACTCTTCCTCACCCACTCAGCCCCAGTGAACAGCACACCAAACTCACCTGGATTCGTCGGCGCATGGGGCTGATACAACGCATTGACGGTCAGGCACTTGAGCTCGCTCTTCGCTGAAGACGTCACCGTATTGAACAAGTGGGAGGGCGCGGAGACCGAGGGGTACTGGCTCTGCGGGATGATGAACGGTGTGAACTTGTGGTTGGAGTTGGCGGTGGGGTGTGGTTTGGAAACACGGTAGTCGATTATGATGGAGCACAGGGGCGGAAGTTGACCATAGTGATCGAAGTATGCCATGGACCGTTTTTCATTCTGTAACAGTGAAACACGACGGGATCACTCAAAGTAAAAGCGTGAGAGGAAGTAGGAGTGGACTTACTGCAGCCTTCGTACTGTGTGGCGAAGCATCCCGTCCCGTAGAGAATACGTGAGATATATATCATGGGAGCTCAGGTGTGGGCACTCACGATTTCTGCTGGCTATTGTCCTCATGAATACTGCCAATGTTCCTTAACGTGACCTTGCTTGTGCTTGCGGTGCCCCCAGCACGAGCACTCGAGTTCAGTGTGGGAGTCTCGGCCGGAATCACAGTTCCAGAGCTGGGAGAGTATAAGTCATCGTCCTGCGAAGAAATTTCGGACGGCAAAAATCAGTACTTTGTCTCAAGTTATACGAGCAGTAATGTATAGTGGACAAGCGACCTCAACTTTGGTATACTGACCTCTGATGTATCACCCATGTGAATGACCTCTGGTTCGCCGCCACCATCTGTGTCAGGCCTTGGAGGAGGACGAGAATGAGAGTCGCTCTGATCAGCAGGACCCTCAATACGCTGTCGCTTGCGTTGATTCTTTGAGCATTGACATACCGTATGGTCAGCACTAACGACATTGACAGGATGAAGGTGAAAGTATAATTCAGCTCACCATTGCGGCATCTGTACCAAAACTATCACCGTTCCGTTTGGATGCAACCTCCGTATTCGTTAGACTACGAAGAAACGCTATTCCTGCCTTCAAACAGACTTGTCCAGAGCTCCCCGCCTCCAACTCTGCGATCCTGGAGCGAAGGAGCTCATTATCCGCTCGGAGGCGATCCACCTCCAATTGGAGGTTATCAGCCCGTTCCGCACGTTCGGTCAACTCGAGACAGGCGTCGAGGAAAGACTGACTAGAAGAGATAGAGGAGGATTCCATGAGGGATGTGTATCTGTAGTGGTGGGTGGTGTCAAAGATTGGTGCTGACCAGAACGAACAGACGAGCGGTGAGCGTTTGAACAAAGCGGCGAAGCGGTGACCAGCAACGTTGGCGTGGGAGAGATGGGCGGCGGGATATGAACCTTATTTAAGTGTGTTGCGTCGAATTCGTCGACGCAATTGGCCGTGAACTAGATGAGAAAACAAGAACGAGGCACTTCACTGAACATGAAACTATGGGCACAAGGTTGCAAGCGCGATGTCGATGAGTTCTCCGTGTCATGCTTCCTGCGAGTGAACACATCCAGATCATGGGGCCGGTAGGGTACAGGGATGCGAACACCTCTTTCCGTGGACTACGAGTAAAAGTTCGAACAACGTTGGGCATCTTCATCAAGTCGGATGAGAAGAACTCATTATTTGTCCTTTTATGGGTCAGTACGTTCTTTTCATTCTGGTCAAGAACAGGACGGCGATTTGACCTCTTCCGCATAATCGCTCCGTGTCCATACTCACTGAGTTACAAGTGGAACGTATCCTTTATCATATTCATTCAAGAAAATATCGGAAGAGCTGTCGAAGTCAATTGCTCTTTTGTATTCTATTGAGACGACTGGAAAGCTATATAATGATCTACAGCGAAAGCAAATATAATTCCCAGCGCAACGTTATACCGTCGTTGTCCACAATCTATCATATACTGCTCGAACACCTGATATGTATGTATCTCCTCAACGTCTCCGCATACAGTCTACGCGCTCTCTACGCTTCGATAGGTGTAAGTATCAGCGGCATGGATGGCTTCGTGCTACCTAACACCACGGGAAAGGCCACAATACCCATGAGCCAGTCGGTCTTCTTTTCGGTGGTAGAGAATCGGAAACTGGGAATGAGTAGGGATAGAATTATCTCTGAAATCCCGCAGATGAAGGTCAGCGAAGCGATACAAAGTTTCGACGGTATAATGAGAGGAAAGAAAAGACTGACTGATCTCCATCTGAGAGAACTTGAAACCACTGGTTCAAACCGGCTCAGGTCGATTAACATATTGGAAGATAGATATGAGCGCACATGCATGCCCTCCCTCCTCCTAGGAAAGTTAACCTAAGCGGAGTAGTCGATGAGCATATGGATGAATCCTGGTGTTTTCTAGTGAACGTACATATTTGAGTACACACCCGGGATGCGTGCATTGGTCACGCTCTCTGGAAGAGGTGAGAGCCATCTTTCCGGCTTCCACTCAGCAGCGTCAGGACCCCAAATGAGCGGATCGGTATTCAAGGTTCTAATGCCTATGATGACAGTCGTGTTCTTCGGGACGTATACCTCGTTGATGGTACTACCGTCACTCCCCTTGATCGGCGACCTCAGAGGAAGGATAGTATCCCGACGTGCACTGCAAAAAAAGAGTGCAAGCCCGTGGTTAGGCTGAGACGATGCCACAGATGAAAGCCAATCAACTTACATCCTAGGAGCTTGGTTTATGGGTGGGTAACTTGAGTATAATGAGTTCGACGAAGTCAGATAAAGACCTGCATGCAATGGCGATAGTTTGCCTTACGCGCGAAGAGTTTCCCTGCAGATGGCCTCCAGATACGGAAGCGCATTGAGATCGTCGTAATCCATGTCACCGCCGTACTCCTTCCGAGCATCAACTATCTCTTGACGCAACTTGTCCTGGACTTCGGGATTGAGGGACAATAGTAGGAAGATGCGGGATAAGGCAGCAGAAGTCGTGTCCATCGCAGAAAACACTAGAGTCCTATGTAAATGTTACCAAATATATATACGATCACGATCAGTTCGGCCAAACAAAAATCAGCAAAGTGAGGATGCGACACCCACGACATCTGGCCGAGTAACTCGTAGTCAGGCATACGGTCCTTTTCGTCGCCATTGAGGTTTGATCGCACTAGAATTGAAATGAGGGACTGAGACTTGGCGAAGTAAAATATGGTGACACGAAACCAGCTCACTCAGAATGCTCATGATATCCCGACCCTCGCCAATTTGGTGCACGACTGAATCATCTCCTTTTTTCAAGGCTGCTTTCTTTTCGTAAAATATATTCCTTGACATCTCATCCATGGTGTTTGTTGCCTTGATCAGCAGCTGAACGCTCTTGGAAGGTAAGAACCGTACGGCGAAGCGGCGGAGAGAAGGGGTACCCAGATTGCAGAGGTATGGAAGTAATTTCCGCAGTACTGGGATGCCACCAAAGGCCGGGCTGTTGTTCAGTATATCAAATTAGCTGATCTATTAAAATGGACGAAAGTATTTGAATATTATAACGCACAAAAGCATCTTGACTGCTATCGCATATTGGTTTGATTTGCTTTCGTCTAGTGTCTCAAAGGAATATCCAAGCCCGCTCTGGCCTATGATCTCCAATGCAACGCGGGTCATCCATTCCTTCATGTCAACCTCTTGTGGACCATTGGCTAGCTTGATCCGTAGTACATCCTCGAGCTATGATAGTCGGAAAACAAGATTATCAGGATCTGGGCTAGTGATATAACATAAGCACTAGAAATTTCACCTGATGTGTGATCTTGTAGAAGATGGGTGTCATGTAACGCATGTGGTTGGCTGAGAAAATGGGGACGAGGAGCTTTCGCTGGCGTCGATGAAGGTCTCCTAATTCTCTCTATCAGAATAGAATCTTCGCACATAATATGGAAGAGCTAACCGAGAGTACCGAGCAAACCAGGTCCAAAGAACAGTTTATTGGCCCTGAGAACAATAATGTCAATCCAGATTCGTGTTTGACAAGGATCCTCGGCAAATTGTATTTGTGCGTACTCAATGAACGCGTCTGTCTCCTCGAATATATCCTGGTCCTTTATCAAAACATTGTATAGAGCTTTTGAATCAGCGATGTGCAGTTGAGCGTCCTATTCATCTATGCCATGAGTCAATTAATCGACACTGATAATGAACGGTGATTTACCCCAAAGAATCCCCAGATTTTGACCACCCTCCCATATCGCTGTACCATGCGCTTGTGAAAGTCCCAGCCTTGTAAGCTGAAGATCTGCTGAAGATTACCTTTGAAGACCTTGCAATGAGCGCAACATAACCATGGTGCCTGATAGTACGAACCGTATACAAACGACTGCGAGGGTGGTCCTGGAATACGACGTAGGTGACGCTGCCTGTACCAATGCCTTCCGTGCGATATGGTAATAACGACCATGAGAGTGGTTAGGACAGCCGCGACAGTGACTGCAGCAGAGTCCGAGAGCGAATTGTCCAGCTGGAACATGTTTCACGGAGTGTTTGATAGGTACGGATGGTGGAAGAGCTTCACAGGGGGACTAGCTGGGGTGGAGGATCCAGACAGCGTGCAGCACTTATATGGAACAAGAAATGATATTACAGGTGCACATTATCCATTCCTAAACAATCTATGGAGAGAAAAGAGTCAGCAAATGACGAGACCGGTACATAGGTTACCAAAGCTATCGGTGATGACAGCGAGCGAGTACGAGTGCCGGAAGAACCTATGCCTCCGTACTGTCTTACCCTACATTCACTGTGGCTCCAATGAGCATAAGGTACCACGAAACAGCGTACAGGACGTCTGAATTTCTGGAAGGAGCGATATGCGCGTTTTTCGCGGTGGCGACATGAACCGTTTTTGGAAGCCTAGCCTTACTACACGATGAGTCCCAGCACCATCGAACACAGAATGCATCCAAACTTTTCTCACCGGTTATAAGACATTGGCACTTGTATGAGTGAAAGCAGTCGAGGAGGAAACAAAAAGTCTTAGAGAATTCAATCAAATTACACGGTCCACAGTTCGATTAGCTCTCCCGATCATTGACGAGGTTTGACCTAGTCTGACGAGAGTCGATGAACCGTCTTTCGAGCCCGCATCTGTATAACGAAGATGGATGGATGAGGTTCTGTATGCTTGTATACATAACCTTACTCCAAATAGATCCGAAGGCGTTTCCACTACAGAGACGATGAGCTCCGTGAGAGGCACCTGGAGAGAGCGCGGAGAAGAGATGAGCGAATGTTCAGATCCAGACCCAGCGCGTTCAAGATCGGTCGGAAATATCCGGAGCTTGAACGAGACGCCCACCATAACGCCGACGAAACGATCTAAAGACCTCTGGACGAAAATAGCCATAAGCTCGCTCAGAAAACCCTCAGCGCCAATTCTCGTGGAATGGAGAGATACTTGAACTCAAGCGCTCAATTATGTTTTTTTTCGTAGACCCTTCGGTAGCAATGGCTGCTTCTTCGTCATCTCGGTCCTCGCATGGTTTGCCTGTGGCGCTATGGATTCAACCCAAAATGTATCGATGTTAACCGGTACTCTTCGAGGGCAATAGTTTCACGAGAAACAGTATGATCATTGACATACACGGGCTAGCTATGCTGATATAAGTAGTCATCTTCTTTACAGATGCCCGAATCAAGTGGAACGCGTTGCCACATGATGACTGGAGAGCTGAGCAACCGATGCAGCCGCCCTCGCTAGTTTCTCGCTCTCTTGACATGGAACCACACGTTTACAGCTTGTTTTACCCTGCTGTTTCCACCCACCACGATGAGTTTCAAGAGGACCACTTCGAACTCTCGTAAAATAAAGATAGGGCTACACCCTCATTAGGACTGCATCTATCCTATAGAGTTATAACACGAATGGACAAAATAATCACAGGTCGAGGGTCTGGCGCTTGTGGGATAAACTGGTCTCGGTCTATAGTGAGTCCACCTCGAACTCCATTTCCTGCTAGTGGGTCTGCGCTGTTTCAGGATCTGTGTCCCAGAACAACACATACCGCTTACTCGATGGTGTAACCCATAACATTACATTACATACAGTTAAAGAACTCGCGATTCTGACGAACACTGAGCTAAAGCGCACATAATAAGGCATAACGTTTGGATAGTCGATTTCCCTGTACGACTCTGCTGAGCGATGCGCAGCTCAACTTGAAGTCCCTGTTCTGCTTCTAGATATTTAGTTGCGACGTCCACACGAGATGTGAAATTTTACTGCGCCCTCTAGCCATTGAAACACAATCTCAACGCACAATACTGCTATACACGGCCATAGCGGTACGTTTCGCGGTTCGGCGGGTGGAATCCTCCAACTGGCACTGCTCATTCATTCAGCATTTAGAACTGTCTTCTCAAGGCAGTTATCGTCGGCATACTGACTCCCACATATAAATGATTGTTTAACACATCCACACCACCTCGAGATGAGTACCCTCTGAATAACAAGGAATTGGAACACTATGTGAATTCGTGAGCCGCAGTACCTAGTGGTCTTACTCAGGATTCATGTGTCGCCCCATTGCTAGGCTGGACTATTACTGTGCCCGTCACTTCTTCCAAAAACAGTCTTGAGACAGAATGAGATGCATTCACACCATACCGCACTCCAAGGTAACGCATCTACACACTTCGTTCGTGATTGTCCAAGTATCATAACTGCGTATGGACGTACGGTCGGAGATTGAGAAGGTGAAGGGAACAGGGTATATAGTCGGTTAATTGACTCGACCAAGCACGGACCGGACCTTGATGTGGCTATTGACCATCACCATACCATCCCTCTCGACATCCTCGACGAACGTGATGTTGGTGTCCGGACCAAATATCAGAACGTGCGAGGATCCACCGAACTGGAACATCCCAATCCCGTCTCCTTGTCTGACCCTCTGCCCCACTTCTACCGACACAACGCAAGTAGAAATTTCAACCATCCCAACTCCGATGAACGCGACGAGGCCGATTTTGGGATTGTCTGACTGTATATAGACGACGGCTCGAGCGGCGGACTGCGTAATCCAGGCTTCAGAGCGGACGAGAGCACCGTAAGGAGATCCTGGCTCGAAGTTTGGGTCGTCGTCTGCGGCGCCTTCGTCCGGTAGGACTGCGTAATAGGTACCAGGAATGATCTCAGTCTTCATAATGGTGCCGGAGATCGGGGCTCGCCAGCGGTGATAATCGTAGGGGCTGAGGTACGCCTGGTAGATTGTTCCGCCAGCGAAGTGCTCTGCGGCACACTCGTCACCGTTGAGCATATCGCAGAGAGAGTAATTCTGGGCTTTCAGCCAGAACTTATCGTGAGCTTTGACGTTACGGGCCAGACGGAAGACCGCGGACTCGCAAGCGTTTAGGATTGTGTCGGGGTTGGCATCGGAGACGATAGGGCGGGCTGACCCCTGGATCTCTCTAGTGAAGAAGTCGTTCCATGACTGAAACCCGCGATTTATCTCGTCTGGTTTAGGACAGAGGTAGGTCACGTTGAATTCCCCACGATCATCGCCCGCCAGCGTCTCCAAACCTTCGGCACTGAACCACCCTCCCCTCTGGTCGGTAAGCGTCTTGTTCGATTCCGGAGACTTCAGATATGCGCCACGAGCATCGAGTAGTTTCTTCATAGCGACGTTGAATGCGGGCCTTCGAAAGAGATCGTATGCCGCGCCGGTATTGCTCAGAACGTCGAATAAGACGCATAGTGGCGTCCCAACGAAGTCGAGCGGTGCGTTCTCCAGGAAGCCAGGGGGTTCAAGGAGTAGAATGTCGAGGCAGTGGAGAAGAAAGGCAAAGTCCTCAATCTAGAGAAAGCACGCCCGTCAGTGAGTGGCATGGAAGTAAGTGGCATAACATACGTAATTTATGGGTTCAGCTTGGGAAAACATTTGGTCGACCAGATTGACCATCTCCGGATCGGCGATGACGGCGCGTTCAAAGTCTGCCACAGCTTCTATGTGAGTCGATACAGTCTGGCGATATGCCGAAACCTTGGTGGAGAGCTGAGCGAAAAACATCTCATATGCCTCCCTGTTGCGAGGAAGCCATCCGCCGTAGCGAACGAGGGCGGTCTTGGGATATAAATGCATTATCCTATCATGTTCTTAACAGTCAGTTTGTTGAGATGAAACGTGAGTGAAAATGAAGAATAATAGTTACCTGCCGTCTTCGTAGTTCACAATGCGTCGCAGACCGTGGGGGCACAGGGGAAGTATTTGAGTACTGGACCGGAGCTTTCACAGGGCAGTGAATGTCGCAGGTAATTATCAGAAATGAAACGGACGACATCTGAAATGGAAAAAGTCGACGGTGCAATGCTCAACCTGGAAGCGAGCCAGGATGAGGAAGCGAGTGCGACGATCATCTGTGGCAGCTCGCTTTCGTGTATCCGCTCGCTTCCGGGTATGTATCTGTGCGACGGGTGAAGCATGCAGGATCCTGAAATCCAAAAGTTTGTAGCTGATGAAGCACGTATGGAGTTCATTTCACAAGTTAGGACGAAGGTTGGCGGAGTATTATATGCGCGATTTCCGTGCTGCACCCTGTCAGACTCAAGGCATAACGCATGATGTGCACTTGTTACCGTGTATCTTGAGGTAAACAAAGTGCACTGATCGCACTCCTACGAGATGAAAGTATTGGTCGTGGAACAATAACTCCGGACCAAGCAATATATTCCACTCCAGAGGATGGAGCAATAGGTCCCTACTTGAAGGGCGTTTCCAGTAACTCAAGATATACAACCCACCACTGACACGTGTATGCTAGCAAGGTAATTCGACCGCAAGCGCTCCGGGGATGAGCATCATCCAACGGTCACGTATATGTAGAAGGGGCCATGTCAGCGGAGAACCGAACAGGACGCATGCCGATAGAGCCCCGGACAAGTAAAGACGCGAGGCAGATATAATTGCGCTATTGTAGGCTCTCGACCTTGATGATGCAAGTATGTCAGAGGACATCGCGTTGAAAATTGGGCGAGAACGGTCTATTCTGCGCAGACGAGCCCTACAACCCAGGGAGCGTAGGCAATTGGATACTGCCTCCCCATCGTTGATACTGTCGAGGCTATAGGTTGAAAGGAGCAAATGACCGCTGCAGACGTCGGATCCCCGACCCCGACGAGGTCCGGGATTCAAAAGCGATGGTGCGTGTTCTTAACGCCACTTTCCGTTCTTTCCCCCCGATGCACCTCTAGTCTCGGTGATCTCATCATTTGCTCTTATTGCGATAAATTGTGATGGATAAATGAGACTGCCTCTGCCTCGAGCCGATGTAAGACCACCAGGACTACCCCTTGAATGCGCCAAGCACAGGAACGCCGAATGACTGGCATACGCTACTTCTATCCAAGAGCAAAATGACATTCCAGATGGGTATAGGAAGGGTCCACGCACACCATATACGGTATGGCACCCCATATTATCTGGCGCGGGTATGGGTGAGGATATGCAGGAGTAGCGGTGGCAGCGCGATCGAAGATCATTCAGCCGCTATACCTTCCCCGGAGCATCGAACATACGATAAAGGAAGGGGGCTGGCTGTTAATGTACCAGCATTACCATCAGCAACTCAATCGCAGCCGGAGGCGAATTCATCGCCTCTGGGAATCGATCTAATGCAACCTCGATATTACAAGCTGCACAGAGATGTCGAGAAGTGATGTCATCTCCAGAAGATAGATTGTATTGGCGAGTATACGGGCAGAGGCGACGGTAGGTGTGCACATGCAGCCCGAGTAAGCACTGCCAAGGGTCGATGCCACAAGCCCGGATGTCCAGGTATGACTGAATACCTTTGCGACGGAGGAATAAGTATGTTCCTTGATGTGGATGCGAGCTTCGATCTGGACGAGGCTCGGCATCGTGTGGCGTGTGGCGGAGAGCCTATGCAGATAAGCTAGTGTCGGTGTTTGCCTCGAGGCCTCGTGAATGGAGAGTTTAGAGCTCGATTGAGAGCACCTATATTTTTGAACATATCTTTTCAGCGGTGGGAGGGACGAAATAACGCTGGTCGTTCGTTGCTGGAGAGAATCATCCCGAGTGGCCCCGCGAACGGGACCACCGCCACGAGCTCCATCGGGAATAGACGACCTTGTCGGGTATGCATAGGCTCATTCGGTCCAAGCGCAATAATTTGGCGTAGTTTGGGTCCTGGAATTCCCAAACCTCGACTGTACATTTCGGCCTGTACAAATGTTTAAACCAATGGGACTGCGTTGACTGACAAGCTGGTATTAGAAGATCTAGAAAGGAGTCATAATCAGCGGAGATGGATTGGGAGAGGATGGAGCTGAATCATAAAGTATCGGTCATCGGAAGTTGGCGGGCATACGAGGAGAAAGAGGAGGCGAAGAAACTCAGCCGGGATTCGAACCGTAGCTGAGGTCAAAGGCGCACGAATGTGTGGGGGAACAATACGAAGCAGTTAGGAAGCCTGAGCAGATGATGATGCCACATTTCGATCCAACCCAGAACCGAACAAGAGCAGTTCATAATGCAGCTCTCGAGAGCAAAACTGCAGAAACGACGATTACGAACCAGTTGAAGTAAGATCATAATGGTCGTTCTTGACATCTATCGGAGACCGTCTGGTCAGGTTGTGGATGGCGACGCCGTCGCCGTCGTTGAGGAAACTGTGATACAGAAAATAAGCACAGGGATAATGCCAGCTTCGGTCAGATACTTGCGCCACATCGATATCTCCGCACGCGCCACACTGCCTCATTATCGCCTTCACCTATTTTCAAGGCTAGGCGGAGATATACGAGGTGGGATGATCGGAACGGTTGGGGGACCAAATTAAACACGGTCGGAACTGTGACCATTCGAGAGCATAGTCCGAGCTAAGAGATGTACAGAGTCCAATCAGAAAAGGTCACCGCGGTAGCGCGTTGCAAAGACACGCTTTTCAACCACCAGTGATGCATCCGATCCGAAACGCGAGAGCAAAGTAGAGTCTCACTCATGCATCGCGCACGATGGAAATGCTCTGTTACCATGGGTCTATAAGACGAGAGGCAAACGACTTTTATCAGTTTCCTTCAATGAGGATGGGAGGTATGCATCATGTCCGCGCCAATGTCCCTCACCATCACCTTTCGGAGATAATAGCCCCAAATATCAACATGTCGGACAGACGACACACCGCACCTCCCGAACCAAACGAATCAGGACGGAGAAAAGAGGTGGACGCACGACGAACAGTTCTATCTTCGTTTTCCATCATCTCCTGCTCGTAGCGACATATAAGTACCTCATCTTAGGTAGGTTGGCGTAACGCAAGGCGGCGAGAAGCAGGTCCTACACATGTTGGGGAATCCATTTTGTCTGCACCAGGTCTAGAATCCATGATGGTGTAAGACAACAGGTTAGAGAACGGAGAGGACAAAGAGTGCGGCTGAGTGCGTCAAAGAGTGATGGGGTAGGAAAACAGCCCTGTTGAGGAGTCAATGCGACACTAATGCATATTGACAATACTCTGGACGGTGCATCGGTGTTGGTGTCGAGGACTGCTCGAGGTTGTCGGAGGCTGTCCAAGAGATCGTGGCGGAGGTAGCTGTAATGATAGTGTGTGGCAGAGAGAGAAAACGAGAACAAAAAACGAACATGACGTAGCCAAAAATATTGCGTCCCGAACCGGCCCGAACACATCGCCACAATCGCCACAGCAGACCACATCGCCTCGTCCTTGCCTCGTCCTCCCTTCCATCATCCCCGATCCCTCGACCAGCGTCCGCTTAGACAGAACCCGAATTCGGGAGACTCCCATTTTGCTTCTATGGTGCAAACGGCTTAGACGCCGCCACTTCTGTACACAACGTTGAGGACGGTGCCGCGGGCCGAGATTTGAGAATTTTCACTATCCCTCTTCCAGAAACACTCCTTTTGATGTAAGGAAGAGTTCCTCTAGAGGGATTATCCAAATTCTCAAAACTGGCAAAGATGAACTTTTGGATTTGGCCACCCCGCAAAATAATAATATTTAATTCATTTGTTTATTATTTTCCGAAAACCAAGGGGGGTGCCAGGAATTTTCTTTCAATAAATGGGGATTTCGACTTTCGCCGACGAAATTGGCCGCTGTACAAAAGTGGTGATGACTAAGCCGTTTGCACCATACACTGTGTAATATCTAATCAAACCATAGACCGTGATTCGGGACCAATCGAAGCCAACGGAGCACACGAGGCCGCACGTCCCACTGTTCATGCACATATCAGTCAATCTTCACCCCACGACTTGAAAGGCAGCCCAATTTCTCCACAGACAGGCGCAACTATGTGTTTGTTGGATTTGATGCTGAATTCTGGAGCCGGTTGGAGGCTATAAGTTCCACTAGAGTAGACGCAGACAGCGCTCAAGTGCGCATGGGCTGCCAGTAGGGGAAGATGGATGAGACAAATTAGAGGTACGCCAGCATTACTTTTATTGCAACCTCTGCCCAGCCATTAGAATACGTACAAAGTTTTCAACCTCTTCAATATACCGTATCATTCCACTTCGTAAGTCCGTCGCTTAACTTTCATCTCAACCCCTGCCATCATGCGCAGATCCCACTCGTCTCTCCGAGTTCCACTGCCACGACGACCGAGAAGAGCCACAAACTCACCTTCCCTTGATTATTATCAGCCACGCAAGAAATAGATTGAACGTTTCGTGTTCGCCTTCAAGTAGTAGCTCACCACCTGCTTCCAAGTGACCTCGACCATGTCTACCCCAGCACCCGCACTTATGACATTATTTATCGGCAAAAAATCGAGCGCGGAAGTCCGGCCGTTCAGGACGCGGGCAGGATGTGGTGCGGTGTCGTGGGCAGGCTTTCAGTTGGCGGGATCGCAACGGTGCGTTTCTTCCAGGACGGGATATGCGCCTGTATTGACCGTTGTGCATGGTATGACAGAATGTTGACAGAATTTAGAGGTGCGCGCCAAATGTCGCTCTTCACCGTCCGTAACAAAATGCTCGCGTTCCACACGACACAGTTGATGGAGACCATGGACAGGACTGATCTCTGCACGGTCAAGAAGATGATATGAAGTGACTAGATTTCAACCGGGCATGCAGTGCGTTTGCCTTCTTCGGTTTTCCTCTTGTCCCGACTTCCTCATCCTCATTACAGTCTCATCTTCTCTCCGTATCACTTGCACTTCCCCAATTACTCGCTGACTCACGAATCCTCCCCCATAGTCGGCTCCTCACTCATGATTGCCTCCTTCCACAACCTCGCCTCCGCAAACGCCGCCTCCTCCTCGCACGAGCTCATCCAGCTCGAATGTAAAGGGGATTGGTTCGATCGGTGCATTTTGTTCCTTTTTCCTCTCTGGAATTACAGTATCTCAGTGTCGTTCTCGAGATATATGCACCATACTTTATTATTACCCCTCATCTTTCATCCTTCGCTCTTCGTCTTTCATCCCTTTCACCACTCTTTATCGCTTACCTCTCGCCCCTCTTTTCCCATCCTTCACCCTGTCCATCTTTCATCCTTTTCACCCCCTTCGCACCCCCTTCGCACCGCCTCCTCCTCTCCGAGCTCAGATATCGCACGGCACTAAAGAGCCATCCATCTTCATTGTCGTCGTGTCCCACAGATCCGCACATAACTCTCCTCGGCACCGAACGCGTCGTCGGCCAGATCTCAAGAAAGATTCTAAATATGAGAGAGGTCATCGGGGGGCAGCAGACTGTGCGTTTATTTGGTTTTATTTTGTATTTGTTTCGACGGGTTCTTTTGGGGTAGAGGGGTTGCGGAGTTTGTGTTTTTCGTAGTGGTTTCCCTGATTGTTTTCGGCTGGTCCTTCTCGCATGGTTCCTCCTCGTGTTTCCTTCCATCTTCCTTGGATGGTGGAGCGGTCAAGATCGAGCTTAGTTCTGTGTGCGGAACACGCCTCCTTTCGGTCTTGATCCCAGAACGCGCTTGAACACATCCTATCCCATCCTGATGCTTCGTCATCGCCATCGTCTCTGATGAACGGTCGGTTTGTGTTGAACTGGCTTGGACGGCTAGTTGGCTGGCTAGCTAGCGAGCTGACTGAATGGGATGGATCGCTGGTTAGTTGGGTTGACTTCCTAGGCGTAGGCTCACGTTCGTGTTCGGGCGTTCGTAATCGCGTTTGGGAATTAGTTCGAAGCATGCGTTCGCGGACTTCGAACGAAGGGAGGAAGAACATTTATTCCATTATACCTCGGGCGGTTGCTCCGCTTGAGACATTGAGCGCTTGCGATGTATAAGACATCGAGCGTTTGCAATCTGTAAGACATAGAGGCTTTGCTCCGTCTCTTACTTCAAGCGTTTGCTCTGTATGAGAGACTTCGAGCGAGTTCTCCGTGTCGTTCTTCGAGAAGATTGACTTTTCATGAATTGATTGATGATTGACGCATATATACATACATGCAACTGTCTGGTCTTTGTACTACCGACCCCCTCGGTCAATCGTACTCATGTCAGTAGAGCTGTTCGATGACTTACTGATACGCATACATCCATGCATACATCCGCACATGGGCTGTTCATGGCCTCTTGATAGGGTGGGGATCGAGTACGGGATAGCGCCGGGTCGTGGTCGTGTGCCGTTATTCAGTTTTGCCTCCGTTCGAGTTCGAGATCTTACCTTACGTATAGATAGATAATAAATGACTTGGAAATACATCTTGGTGTCGTGCTGGTGCTCCAGTAAGAGTTGCTGCTGTGTTTTCATCCTAATCCGAGACAGCCGTGCGGTCGTCAAGGTTGATGGGCTGGAAGTACCAAGGTCCTCTTAGGTACTCGACGAAAGGCAGGCGAAATTCGTCCGTGCGAATGTGCGTCGTAGAAAGTCAGATCTGAACGGAAGCCTAGCCGACGAAATATACAAGAAAGAAAGCCGAATATACTATCGTTACCAAGACAGCGCCTGTTTCAGAGTTGCAAGAATATACCGGTAAGAAACCGATCCAAGCGTGATGAGATATAAGGACAAACCGATCCGGCAGCGACACATCCCATTCGGACACGAAATAAAAGCACCATCTGCTCTCAGTGTTGTCGAAGGCTCGCGATGCTCAGAGACGACGGATTGCCGTGCTCTGATGCTCGCCCCAGTCGAAAACTTCACTCACAGACCACAGACATCCGTTCGGCCTGCGATTCATCCACCACTTTGGTATACTGTGGGACACAAGCTTATTTCTGTGATTGTTTTGCCATCCTTGCGAGCGCCGTTGGTGTCGTCCGATGTTGCCCGAAATACTCCGGTCCTGACTGGAGTCATTAGCACGCGCCACACGGTTCTTTCGAGGTAACGTAGTAATTGTGTTGTCAATGTCAACCTCCAAAGACGCACGAATTATGGGTAGTCCCAATACAGGAAGAAAAACTCAACCCGTTCTGATCCAAGCGTGATGTCATTGAAGACAGAACAACGACGAGGCCAGTCTCGAAGCTTCAGAGCTACAGCTGCAGTACCAAAGTTCATGATTTTTAAACTTATCATCGCGTCAAGTACAGTCTGGCCTTCAAAGTGGATACAGTGCCCGTAATCCATTGATATGATGGAGTCCGAGTGAGCGCGGAAGGAGAGTAGCAGAGGGCCTCCAAAGGTAACTGTGTCGCCGACCAGTAGATAATGAAGGACAACAAGGACTTCGGAAGCCAGCTGCAAGCGTATCGGAAGTGCGGTCGCAAAACTTTGCAAAGGGCACGAGGACCAGTGATAGTCGCCGTCAACAGTTCCGACTCGTGGTGGTGAAGGATTTGTAGTGATTCGAAACCGGAGGAAGAACTCATCTGAGCCTAGATGTTACACTGTTCAGAGTGAACTATGACGACTAAGGACAGTAGCAGGTTCGAGTTACCGAAGAATTAAAGCTGCGATCTGCATGGTATTCAATTGCATACAGGATGAGTGGACCAGAGATGGAAGGTGAGCGTTGACGAGGGTAGTAGAGGGTCCCACAAGTGTACGGATGACGAATAAATCCAAGGTCGAGAGACGTACAGTTCGCAGAGAAACAGAGAACCAGCAGTTCAGAATCAGCAGCGAGCGTATCGGAAGTGAAGCCAGAAGTCGCGAGAAGGAAACCCAGCGGGAAGATGTGTTAGTCTTCTGAGGTACGGCAGTGAAGGAGTTGTGGCGACTCGAAACCGGAGGGAAGAATCGTCTGAGCCTAAACGACTCAAGAGGAAGGGGGGATAACGACGAGACTCCACTCACGAGGGAGAAGGACAAGCTCGAGGGTGGAGACGAGTAGGAGCCAGGGAAGAGCTGGAGCTGAGGTGGAAAAACTCGCGTTTATGGATCCTTTCATCACGTCGAGTGTCCAGCCCGTCAACTTTCAATCGCACACGGCACGAGTGGACCATAGAGGGAGGATGAGTGATACTCAATGAGTGCTTCTAGAGGACAGCGCATACATGACGAGCGGATCCAAGATCAAAATGGACGATTCAGTTGGGGGATATATGATTATAGAGAGAACAATGAGGACGATAAGACTCCACTCACGAAGGAGACGTACGATGGCGGAGACCAGTCAGAGTTGCTTTAGAGCTACAGCAGATATATTCTGGAGTTCAATCGCATACAGCGCGAGGACCATAGACGGAGGATGAGTGGGGGCAGGAGAGAGCTTCCAGCGGCCAGGGTGTGGTGACGAGGAGCCGAGGTCAAAAGGGTACAGTGTGCACAAACGAGGAGTCCCAGTACGCACCCAGACGGGAGTATATCGGGAGCTAAGTCGGGAGAGAAGCTGAGAGTACGGGTGTGAGCATCTGCGAGGCGCGATGGCTGGTGGACGTGCAAAGTTGGTACAAAGGGTCGACCGACGATCATCGACGTCGTCGAGAAAAAAGCGCCCAGTCGGACCACGCCCGTGCCGGATCGGAGCTCCGGCCCCCCGCCACCTCAATCCAAAGTTGTTGTAGGTACGCTAGCATTTTTTCCCACAACCTCCGCCTCAGCTACGTCGAATAGTCATACAGTCTATCACCTCCTCCGCACTCCGTGCCATCCCGCTTCGTAGCTCCATCGCTCACCTCCCTTCTCAACCCCTATCCGCCTCTTGTCATCATGCGTAGGTTCTAATCGCCTCTTCGAGTTCCACTACTCTCGTCCACATACGGACACTCGTAGGGTCCGGCCTTCACCCTACTACTCCGTCATCATACTTGCGCATCCACCTACGACACACATAGGTTCACTATCTACGCTGATCAATCGCCACACAACGTCGCACTACGAAGAATGGCCGTGATTATGGGATGAGATGAGGCGAAGATTTCTCGAGGTGTCGGTGTGAAGGCTTGTCCGATTGTTTTATTCCCCAATTGCTCCGCACAATACTGACCTTCCTTGTCTTCTTAGCATACCTAATCCGCTACTTTCAGCTGGAGCCACTTCTGCTACCGGGCGCATCGCGAACGACGCGGCTATTCCAAACGATCCGACTATCAACAACCGGTTGTTCCTCAAAGCGTTCACCTCGACTTCGTTCTCGCCCAGCCCCTCAAATATCCACACCCAAGGAACTGACTGAACTGAGATGAAGCCGTCCCAATGGCTCCTTGGGCGGTGTAACAGAAGAGGAAACCATAGACGAGCGGCCCGAAGGACGGCGTGGAATCAGCGCGGTACGTACGCAGGTTTCGTTGCATCTGTCCTAAGGGATCGCTACTAGCGACTGTAGGTTTCTTTCGGTAGATATCACGGCCAGCCTTCTTAATCCAATGCTTTTGCTTTTGGTGGGCTTTGAACAGTACGAAGGTCCACGTCCCTGTTCTTCTGCACCAATATTTTCTATCTTCCTACCGCCAGATTAGTGTGATGCCCGGCATTGACGAATATCGTCGTCTCAGGTCAGCCACCACGAAATTCCTCGGTCCCCAGCTCTCCTAACAACATACTTTCGACGAACACCATGCCTCGCACTACGCCCCGATCTATCATCAATCTCCGGAGCCCAACCTTCGGTCGGTTTCCAGCTCGAGATCCGTTGCATCCACCTATATACCGACTTCTGCATCCGTCACAGTGCCCATTGTTCGCTCTCCCCAACGCATACCGCCCGCTAACGCTCTCCTTCCACCATCGATGTCACCGCGACAGGATTTTTCCATCAACGACACTATTCAGCTGAAGATTCTTCTTCTCAATTCGAGAGAGGTTAGTGGAATAGGGAGATGGGAGATGCTTATTTATCGTTCGTTAACGCATATAATCATCGGTTTTGCTCCGTTTGAGGTTAGATCTCCTATTTAAGTGCATCATTTCTCTAGTCCTACCGTATGCGTGCGTCCTTAATCGTGGACTATTGGACCTCACCTTTTCATGCAGGTCTTCGACTCCCGTGCACAGGCACGCACGCTCAGGCCACGGTCGCCACCGCCACACATCTCACCTTCGACTTGAGGTGACCATGTCAGACGACGATTGTTCGACTCCATATGACCCTCATAATATGTTCAACCGGAACGATGGATGTCGACGGACGTCAGAAGTACGGATTTATTCACTGCAGGAGCTGTTGCTAGCGAGAAGTTTCCGCGTCGGCTTCCAATCACAGGTTCATTTCTATTCTGTCCGCTTTTCAACCTCCCATCTTATTCGCGTGGACAACGGAACACGGTGACTGCTACGAACCGTATACTCACACTTTCACACCATCTCCCCTCTCCAATGTCCTCTACACACTTCTCCCGTTTCTTCCGTTCTCATAACATCGATCTCGACATTATATTTGGACCCTTCGCTATGTTACTTATATGATGCCTCGGAAACAATGCGATCAAATACTTTGTTCACAATCATAGGGGTCGAGTTCGATTTCGTCAGCCTTTGTTCTGTGGATATTCCCTGTGGCACTACAATGTATCAATTATTCGTGCACTCCGCTTTTTGATCTTGCTTGATTTCCGACTCATTGTCTTCGTGTGCAAACTGGGGAGCCTGATGGTAAGTATTTACATACAGGAATCAAGCATATATCCACAATAAAACGGAGGACCAGAGAGCCGATGAAGTGATTGTCGTGTTGGATCAGAACCAACAGTACGTTATTCGTGTGGCGCCGCATTATACTCGGACTGTATCATGTCGGAGAACACTAGAGAACTTATTCGGCGAAAACAGTGGACCTCAATGTGAGCACCGTAACCCAACGACGGGGACATGCTAGCAACAACAGGCAGGCAGAGAGGATATACATAATAAGGGCTTTTTGGTCATGAATAGCCTATGAATGGTACAAAACAGAACCGGGACTCGATCAAACGAAACGATAACCACGCAGCACACAAATATAGGTCGATGACAAACCGGATACAGGTGTATGGCGTGAATGAAACTGGAAACTGGGAAAGGAAAAGAGACTAAGAAGCATCGGAATATTTAGTCATGCAATGGCACGGATGGATCACGAAGTGAATAACCCTCGAAACATCCTGAAAGTCAGAAAGTCAGCACAGTAAGGAAACGATGACGCTTCTAAACAATGAACCGTACCAGCACCCTTTTGTCGAAATAATACCCACTCGCTCGGACATCCCACTAAAACTTGATCGACTCTCCCGTATTCGCGTCCCAAAGCCGAATCGTCTTGTCTTCCGAAGCCGATGCGATGAGCTTTCCATCGGACGACCATGCGACAGACAACACAGCGTCGGTATGGCCTCTCAGAGGCTCCAAAACCTCGCTCCCCGTCTCCGCATCCCAGACACGGACTGTCTTATCCACAGAGCCAGAAACGATCCGCTTCCCATCCGGAGAGTATGCGACTGACAAGACAAAGTTGGTGTGACCTCGCAAGGGCTCTCTCACCGCCTCCCCCGTCTTTGTATCCCAGATGCGGATGGTGCTGTCCAAGGAGCCGGAGACGATGCGTGTGCCATCGGGTGAGAATGCGACAGAAGTGACAGTACGGTTATGACCACGGAATGGCTCCCCTACTGCCTTCCCCGTGTTTGCATCCCAAAGACGTACTGTCCCATCAGAGGAGCCAGAGACGATATATCGCCCATCTGGCGAATACTGCACGGACCAAACCAAATCTGTATGCCCTACGAGTGGCTCGAGAGCCTCGGACCTCGTTTCGACGTTCCATACACGGACAGTGCGATCGCGAGAACCTAAAACGAGGTGTTTCCCATCCGGCGAGAATCCGACAGATCTGACCACGCTGGTATGGCCTCGCAGGGGTTCGCCTTTCTGCTTCCCGGTCACCGCATCCCAAATTCGAACCGTTCCGTCGTACGAACCGGAGGCAATGAGGGAACCCCCCGGAGAGAATTGAGCGGACATAACGGAGACTGTATGGCCTTCGAGTGGGCGAAGAGATTCTGTCCCGGTTTGTACGTCCCAGACGCGGATCGTGCCATCGTCCGAGCATGATACGAGGTGTTTGCTATCAGGAGAGAATGCAACGGAGTTGACGCCAGAGGTGTGTCCGTAGAGGCACTTGTGATTTATCTCGGAGATGTCGATGCTCGTGGATTTCATGACACCGTCAATGGAGCAAGCGACGATGCTCGTCCCATCCGGCGAGAAGTGGATAGAAGAGACCGACTCGTCGAAAGGTTCGATTAAAGGATGAATCACCCGACCTGTTTGAGATTCCCACAAACGACAGGTCGAATCAGTCGACGCAGATACGATGCGCCCTCCGTCCGGGGAGAAAGCAAGTGATGTGATCCAGCCTGTGTGGCCATACAGGACTCGAACGTGGGTATCGCTACTTTGCAGGTCCCAGACGCGTACCGTGCAGTCGTAAAATCCGGAAACGAGTTGATGGCCATTCGGGGAAAAGGCGAGGGAGATGATGCCTGCAGTGTGGCCCTTCAACGGTGCTATAGCAGGATCTGGAGTGTCGTCTCCGGATAGGGAACAGATGTGGATTGTCCCGTCGGACGATCCAGAAGCAAGGAGTGAGTTGTTGGATGAAAACACCAGGGACGTGATGGTGCTCGCGTGATCCAAGGGTGTGGCCACGACAGGTGCGGCCGAGGCTACATTCGAGATGACAATCTTGCCGTCCGTACATCCGGAGGCCACGAGCGTGCCATCTGCGGACAGTACAACGGATCCAACAACGTCGCTATGCTCTATGACACGCAAGCTCTCAGAGGTTCCAATACTCCATACTCGAGTGTAGTGGTCAAGACCACCAGACGCCAGAAAAGCTCCATCGAAGGAGAAGGAAAGAGAAAGTACCGCAGACTTGTGTCCGTTGAGTGTTTTCGTCAATTTGGCGGGCATTTTGTGATCCGTCGTGCTGTGAATTTCGATCGCATTGCCGAACTCCTTGACCATAGCGATATTTCCTCCGCTCAGAGAACTTGCAATTGATGATGGCACCTGTCCGATGCCTTAGGAATGGTGAATCAGTACAATCCGGGTCTTGCCGTAATCAATGTGGAACCGACCTTGGGGAGAATAGATATACAGTTGGTTACTGATTCGGAATATGCTCAGATGGACATCCAGAGGAAAATGTCCGTGGACTTGAAGAGTGTCTCTGGCTCTGGGAATCTCGCGTAAGGCCCGAGCTCCATCGCCTAAGTAGAGGCATCAGTGTCATCGAAACATGGCAACGACGAAATTACACACGAGAAGATACCATTGCACCAAATCGATTCACCAGGTCTATGATGTTGTTGTATTTCTGGATATGATCGTAGGCAGAGGAGATCCCATGCACGATCCCTTCTGCTTCATCGTAAAGGTCGCGCTCTATGTAGCCGGGTAGATCGCTCATCGACATCCCAGATAATTCAGACCAAGACGCCAGCCTGATGTCACTTCCTTTGAATTTATCGAGTAACGCTTTCGGCTCATAAGAGCCGTTTCCCTGCTTAGCACCACCAACGACCGAACTGTGGAGCATTTGACCAGGCTTAATGTACCGGCCAGCGCCGCAATGAAACCTAGAGAGTAGACGTGAGTGACGCTATGACAAACCATGATTTCGCTGCGTACCAGCGTGTCACATTACTTGAACCGTCGTATGTGAGATGTGTCAAACGTAGACACTCGAGTATATACCATGGACCTGCCAGTGATTCGTGTACGTTGATCATTGGTTGCAGTTCCCATTCCCTCGTGAACGGTTCTAGACGCAAGCCTGCTGCCGTTGCTTCGTACGACATCCAGCGCAAGGGCGGGTCGCTGCGATTCATCTCCGGGTTTTCAATGTTTCCACCGCCTCTGTGATTTGGTGAGCGAGCAGCATCATCAACATTCCGACCTGCACACTCACATATCCGAGTGCGTACCCGCAAACCATACCTCCTTTGTATGCGGTATCAAAGTCGTGTTGGAACGGTTTCTGGTTTCTTCCTCTGCCTTATTATGCACATCAGGCAAGGAGCTACTCTCGTGCGTATAGTCAGGAAGAGATCCGACGCGTCTCTCGTTCAGGGCCGGGGCGCGACTGAAGGACGCTACGTGCTTCCTGCGGAAAGGCATCCCGGGTGGAACCTCATGACGAGTTGTGTTGGAGCGGTTTCTGGTTTCTTCTTCTGCATCTGCCGCCTTGGGATCCAGCAAGGAGCTACCCTCGTACGCATACTCAGGAAGAAATTTAACGCGTCTCTCATCGAGGGCCAACGCATGACGGAAGAAGGCTACGTGCTTCATACCCGAAGTCGTCCCGGGTAGAACCTTGTCACGAACGATTCCAACGGAAGATACAGTATCCCTGTGTATTTCAATCGTGAGGAGTTGGAGTGGTGGAATATCAGGCAGACGAGTACGGACCATGCTCCCACAAAATGTACCCGTACCTCCCGAGAGAAAGACTTTTTGAATCGTTTAGCCATCTCTTTCGGGTCGTCACTGACATCTTCTGTGTTGCTCCCAACATCATTCACTCTAGTGGCTTTCTTCACGTCCGTATGAGCCATGAGCCTCCCCTTGGAAAATTTAAACACTCTGGACTACGGTATCGAAGCAAAATAGTCGCAGCGCGTGTTGGAGTGTGTGTTGAGCGAATTCAATGTATACTCACCATGTGAATGGACATGCTGACAAAGTTCAAAATTGGTTAATCGGTCGGAAGGCATGTTCTGTTCGATTAAGTGAAGACTTACGAAGAGATTTTGGAGTAAATATCTTGAAAACACTTCGTCTTGCCGTTGTTGGTAAGCTATGAAGTAAGAAAGCGGTGTTAGGACGACATCGAAAAAGTCGGAATAAAATGAGCACAACCTGTAGGCCAGTGGTGTATACTTCCTGCGGGCTAGATGATGATATGTTATCATTCGCATCCACGGGGCGGAGCTGACTTACGAGGGAATTATTCCAAGACTAGTAATATTCAACGGTCAGCGAGAGTCATTGCGATCGAGCAAGGACTCACAGTAGTAGGACGGTGGATGCCACGAGTATTGCAGCCACAATACATACGAACCATTTGACGAGAATAAGGAATGCCCAGAGAAATTGAGCCACGGGGCGGTCATAGAACAGTGTAAGCGTGAAAGATATCGCAGGTATTCCCAACCAGAACACCACATTAACTAACCACACCGCGGTGGTCGTGCTGTTTTCCTATCGTTCAGTGGAATCGTTGTTAGTAATATTCACATATAGAAGTACCCAGGACAGTGCGGCAAACCTTTCCGGTAGAGGCATACAGCTCATATGCACTGTCATCTTGATGGTCAATAACATGCTGCGCAATATGGAAAAGAACATACAACGGAATTTGTGCGTCGTTTCCTCGATGAATTAAACCGACCTGTGTCCGATATACGTCAGTGTATGCTGGAGTCAATTGGACAGTGCTTTCGTACAGTGTCAATCATGGCTGATAGGCATCGGACCTGGTATGCTCCACGAGAAAATCCTCAACGAGAACGAAAGATCAGCTCCACGCGCAAAACAAAATGTGAACCAAGCATACCAAATAGGAAAATACGGTCCCCGTCGCGATAGTTCTCCGACAGCCACAGGTATGCCTCCTGTATTATTCTTTCGTAGTTCCTAGAAATGACTCAGACTCGAATGTTCATGAGACGGCTAGCTGCTGAGCGCGCACCACGCGATCATGAGGTCGATGGTGTGTCCGATGGCTTGCCTCCAATAGGATAAAGAACGCCAGGAAGGTTTAGCATACGTCCCTATACCACTGTTGTAGAAGGTGATCTGACGCTTGTCCTTCACAAGGAGGTGATAGAGCTCGACGACATTGGAGTTCTGTGAGCAACGGGATGCTGTATTGGAAAGCTGCTGCAGGAGTGATTGAGCCGCGTGCGTACCTTTACGCCGAATTGATTTGCAGTTCCATCAATACACACGACAAGATTTCTTGGCCCAACGTCTTCGTCCTTCTGCGCCTCTGCAACAGCCGCCTCCAGTCTCTCGATCCTATCCTTCAATTTCTCCTCCGACAGCGAGCTGGCTGCTCGTATCTCCTGATCACGCTGAAGCGTCGCAGCAGCAGCAGCAGCATTCAGCTTTTCCTCAAATTCCGACTTCATACTCTCTTCGGCCTGAGACACAGCGGCCCTTACTTGTTCACCAACTCTGAGGCGCGATTGCTCCTCTAGCTTGACCTTCGCTTCAGTGAGCTCTGTCCTAATAAGCGCCCGCAGCTGTTCTTCGAGGCTAAGACTCGTATTCTCCATAGCTTATAGCAGTGTAAGATGATTTACAGTGAGAAGTGACTGGGAGGCAAGAGGGAGAGAGTGAGCGTAAGGTGTGAGCGAGCTCGCGTCGGAGGGAAGGGACGACCATGTACACCTTCTTTCGTGAGAGGATCCCAGCACGCATATACCACGTTGTTTCGTGAAGGCACCATTGCCTTCCGCTGGCAGCATGATTCTTTCAAAGCGTTCGTGTGCGTCTAGATTGATAACATCCCGCTGAATTGCCCATTGACGCCTTCGACTTGAAGGTCGTATGGAACCCTCGGGCCTATATTTAATGTACATGAGGCTTCATGGGAGTGGAGCACTCCGCTCAGAACGCGTACGATTAATACGGTGGTGCGTTCGTAGTGAGATAAAGCTAACAATATCGCACGCTAGACAACTTACGGTGATGGCCAAGTCATGGTACTGCGGGCTGTCGTGGAAAAGGGCGCTCAGGCCACTCAGTTCCTAAACATGGGAGTGCAGAGTCGAAATAGCAAGCCAATTTTATGACCGCCCTCGGGAACTCAACCTTGAGATCGAACACGCGCAAAACACGGGTGACCCAACAATCGTACAAGCTCAGTTGCACATTGTAAAAACACATCGCCGACTTCAATGTCTAAAGAACAAGGCTAGAACGCAATAGCTGGTGCTTGCTTCGAAGTGGATCAGAAGGCTCTTAAAGCCAAAAGGAACGATAGTACGTCCAAGACTGCATTGAATGATTTCATGCACAGGAGAGTGACTCGGACGGTACCTCCAGCCAAGTTTAAAGCACTTTGCCCGCTGCCTTGTATCTGTGACGTAAGCGAGCCTCACTTGGAGAGCCGAACGTTTCGTAGCAGAAATAATCAAGATCGGCATAGTGGCTGTTGGAAATGGAACGGCGCTCGACACTCATTCCTACCTGGACACTTGGATGAGGGTCGACTGAGGAAGGAAGTTGATTCGAAAGACGTACACGCCTCATGGGCGAAGGGGTTCAACTGTCTTCCTGTTCACATCGGCGGTATCTCCCACGTCTAGTATTGTTGTGTCGGATGCCGGAGAGTCCCGAGACTCCAAATTGTTTGGAATATAGCACTTGAGGGGACATGTTCGAAGTAAGAAGAAAAAAATGAAAAATCGAAGAGGATATTGCGGTAGATGAATACAAAGGACATGCCGATCGAAGATTATATTTGGCGTATAGCCTAGACTAAAGGTGCGAATGAATCAGTCGTGGTGCATAAGGAAGGTGCATCTAGCATCAACGAAGGCGATCGCACGACGCCGTAGACCCAACATACCCGTTGTGTGCCACCCAAGTGAATGAACAACTGTCGGTTCGAGCATCAAGAACAGATACCTCCCGATGTTGCTTTGATCCAAACGCGTTTATATCCGAAACAAATGCACAGGGAAGCTGAGCGTGGACGTATGCATTGGCAACCCGACCAACGACTGGACTTCTCGAGGGCCAATTTCGCATTCTAGCTACTAACATATGAGCGTTCATGTTGTCTGTGCCCTAGTCCTGAATGCGAATGCGTCCTTTATTAGCACATAACGCGCAGGCAAACACACGAGATCCAAGCACAGGTGGTGATGGCACGTAAATGGGTCAAATAATGGGTGAGAGAGGACGCAGGATCGAAATGTAACTCACATACTGCGGTGAACGGAGCGTCTCCCTCATACTCAGGAATCGTCACCGGTATGTGATCTACTACCCTTTTGGACCATGTAAGGAATGCAATCGCTGATCTGTGTACAAGGAGGTAAGCAGGCAGCCAGTGAAAGATCGCGCAGGTGGATAGAAAAAGGGTGGAGAGACGCGAAGAAGCAAAGGGCGAAAGGAGGGAGTGCGCTGCAAAGTGAGATCATTCGACGTATAATTTGTTGAAGGATTAGAAGATATAGCGATATATTTATGTTATCGGGGTCGGAGTCACGGAGGAGGGTAGAAAAGCGGATATATTCGCAAGTGAAAGGCGCGTGAAGGTAGCAAAACATGGATGAGGAGGGCGAGGGCGACAAGACATGATGTACTTGATGTGATAGGTAGCGAAATGTCTGCATAGGAAGAAAAGGAAGACGAGGATGGTGGTAAGGTATAAGTAGACGAGTCGGTAGCCGTGAAAAAGGAATGGTGAAAATTGGTACAAGGAGGTTGATAGAGAAAATGCCTCAAAGAGTGGGGGAAAGGTTGGGAGAAAATGCAACGCAAAGGATGTGGGTAAGAGAGGGTCGGAATGTCGTTTATTTGAATGTGGGATACGACAACGTAAGAAAGGGAACGATGAATGCGTTGAGAGCATGAAGCTGAGGTCGTACAGAGAACAACCGAATGAATAAATGAGAAAAACGTACCAATACCATTACGCTACAGCTCGATGAGATCGCGTGGGAGGACGAAGCGTTTGCGGAGGCGTGGTTGTCGAAGGAGGCGATTATGCGTTCGCATCCAAATATCGATTGGAGGAGAGAGTCATCTGTTGACGCAAAAACCAGTGAGACGCGAGGATGAAAGGTAGAAGCAGATAGATACGATAGTGGAAATACATAGGAAGGGGAGGCGGTGGAGTGTAAGAGGACACGGAGGGGAAGGATGACTGCATGGTTGGGTACAAAATGATAGGGTAAATACATAGAGTAAGAGAAGGATAGGAGGAGCTTACTGGGCAACTTCCCGTTTGCCGTGCAGAGATCGGCGGCTTCTATCGTATCGATAAACTGTGCAGTATACAAAGGACCAAAGTCAGAACAGCCTTGGTCGAGTATCCGCTTGTCGCCAACTCTTCGTTCAAGCAGAGCGCTCGATTGACAAGTAAAACAAAAAATTATGGGGCAGGAGTGGAAGACGAGGAACAGAGACGGGATGGAGGAGACAACGAGAGTCATGAAAGAGAGCGAAACGTACCCTTTCAACTATACGCTTACCCACCGCAGCTCTGTTCCCCGGGACTATCGCTGCCGCAACTCTCCATCGTCTCCTTTACTACCAGCGTCTCGCCATGGAGCATACACATTGTAGCGTTGAGGATGGGAGGCCGAAGGGTTCGAGGCAGACGGTTTGACCGGTAGAGCGTTACAGTTGGCGGAAGACCCATGATCGGTTTGCGCGTAGATAAGATGAGAGAGCCGGAGGTGTAGTGATGGTGGATTGAGGGCGAGAAGAGGGTCCATATCCTCCTCCATAGCGCTGCTAAGCGCTGAGATCTGACAGCCGACGTCGAGCGAGATGACAACGGTGAGGTGGTGTAGAGGGGCCGAGGCTCGTAGGTTCTACTTTCCTCTTGAATTACTGCTGTCTTGCGAGTGCGAACGGGCCTCGATACCGCGCGTCGTAGGGTCTAGCATCTCGTGGGCGTATGGTGAGCGCTGCCTTAGCTTTGGTATGCAGGTTGTGTGGGTACATTTGAGGAGGAGAGGCGGAGCAAAGGAAGGTGAGACGATGCGGTGTGGCGACACGATTGTGGCGATAAAGAAATTCGTATTGCGGGAGTCCGGAAACGGCCCAACTCGGAACCGGGATCGGCTGACGGTGCCATTTTTTCTCGCCCCTCTTCGTCGGCCCTCACCACTAGCCTTAGCTCCTTCACTGCTGTCTCGATGGTTCTTTGAACGACCACCGCATTATTGCTTTATCTCGGTGCTTACTGCTCTTATCCTTTTGACTTTTTCGCCCTCGAATAGCTCTCAATTAGCTGATAGATTCTGGCTAGCTCGGTTCTGGGTTACAGACTCACAGTGTTCGATTTGTGTCCGCACATAACTCTGGAATCTCGTGTGTCCGTCTCTCTTCCGGTACACTGTGCACGACCTCGACATACTTGGTATACACGGCCTCCGTTTGTGGTCATTCATATCCGTCGACATTGACGGCCCGTTCCCAACTACTTCCACGTCTCATCTTTTGTCTGCTCCATTGCCGATCGTTCAGGACTCGTAGCTTTCACCTCCCACCTCATGCATGATCCTACGCTCTGCATGTCTATCCAAGGACATACCGAACTCTGGCGACGGAATACTTGACTTGCTCATCGAGACGATGAGACGAGTCTCAATCTCGAACGATCAACCCTCAGACCCAGGCTTAGTGGTTTCTGCTCCTCGCACATACACGGTATCTGCAGCCGTTTTAACAGACTTGAGACTGGTGATCGGCCCAATCGCAGGGCCCTGTTAGTCTTCAGCGCATTTACGCCTAATGCTGGTACACAGATTGTGCACAGAACCTTCTTCGCTGATTGGTGCTTCAAAAAGCCACGGTGGAGGTTAGATAAATGTTTTGCCAGCCCTCGTCCCAGAAGCGCTTGCTCGTCAGCAACCAAATGATACGTCTAGCTCAGAATTTGGCACCCACTAAACGATATGTGGGTTCCGCGACACATTTCCTTTGAAGTTGCCTTTCATTAAATCTCGCCAATAGGCCCTCATTTCCAAGTCCTCGCTGCATGCTGAAGCGGTACTGGATGTGGGTGTACCAGGTGCCGGAAGCGTGGATGGCATTCCTCGTACTCGAGACGGCACGTTTACTTTTTTGTGCAGCTGTATCGTTTGTTCATGGTCACTCTTGTGGCCCACGACCGTGTATATTCAGCGGACTCAACGGATTCGAGCAATTCCATACATATGGATGCACTTTTCTCAACTATGGCCAAGTGGCTGATCATGACTCCGCTTTGTACCATTCAGACTCTGAGGCTCTCCACCTCGAATTATTGTGTCTTGTCCTTTGTGATCTGTGAACTATGCCCTAACTGGGCCCACCACAATTGTGACCACGGTAGTTCATGGGCTGTATGCTCTCAGTACTTGATCACCTCAGTCAATAGCTTTGTGTATATTCGTTCCTCGTGTCATTGTGCTTGGGACTCGTCACCAGGCGACATTCATTCTAGCTCTTTTCCGTTGCGATGCGTGCCGCACGCATGTTTGCTTGTCCTCGTTCCTCCGTCCGCGACCACGCATCGTCACCCAAGTTATCCGGACATTCTTCTCCGCTCATTTCTCTGGTCCTCATGAAACGAGGAATCACATCGATTCTCAAAAGATCTCTCGTTCTGCACATCACCTAAACGTATCGCTGCATACTGGACACTGCATGCCCATGCCTACGGTGGTGCTTTTTCAAACCTTTCAATTCGTAAAAGAGAATGTTCACGTTGGAAATAGCTTCGCGCCGTGAGACCGCCCATTTACACGCTGAAAGCCTGCGCTTCCGTGGCTTCTCACATTCCTGTCTCATCACCCCCCAGTACGATTCTTCCTAGTCACTTCTCATATTCACACATCCTCTGTCATCTACCGACTTAATATTTCAGGATTAAGGCTGGACCAACTGTGGCGATAGGCTTTAGTGGAACATTGTGGCGATAATCCCGATGGCGTCCTACCGTCCGCGAGCGACATTCCCGTCGACCCAGACCTTGAGATGCTATCGTTATCACCGTCGGAGTCAGCGTCGTCGTTGACATCTGACTCGACCAGCAGTAGCGCGAGCGAACGTTCTTTCATTGAGAGTGGGCCCCTAGTGGTAATAACGAGGAAGGATGGAGGGAGGTTGCGAGGTGGGTTGATGAGAAAGTGACGAGGTGACATGTATAATCTTAGCTTCGAACGGGAATATCGTCAGCGATGTGCACCAGGAGAAACATACAAGTAAGACTGAGCTTAGCATGATACATCACCGATGTCGACACTAACACTAAGCTCTTGAGAAGACTTGATGTAGCTGGTTAGCTTATAATAACAAAACTCATCCTGCAGCAATACCTCCGATCCCAACACAAGAAGAATCGCCACAGAATCCTACGGGATATGACCATTACTCCCTACTTGATTGAGGGAATCAGAGTAGAGGGAAGTAATCACTCTGTGTTATCGTGCCGGATATCCAGGGCCTCAGCACCAGCACGCCCTGATGGAAAGAGGAAGGACGAGCGAGGGTAGACGAAGGGTAGCAGAGGAACCCCAAAGACAAACGTATAGGATGACAAGTAGAAATGGAATTACAAAAGCGTAGAGTCCGCAGACAGACAGAGGACCGAAGAGCCAAACACGAGTGTCTTCAAAAGTGAAAGTGAAACCACCAAAAGTAGCGCAATGATGTTGATATTGTACCCAGCGCAAGGAGCAGTAGCAGTTTTCCGAGGCGCGGTAGTGACAGAGTTGTGCCGGTAATTCGAAGAGTTATCAGGAGGGAACCAAGAGGATTACGAAGGAGAAGTTCGCAGATGAGAGCGGAGACAAGTACGAGTCGCGTAATAGATACAGCCCAGGTTCAAGATTCTGCGCTCATAGACCTCACCACCAAATCCAGTACTAAGTCGAGCCTCCAGTTTGAAAGCGCATACACCGCACGTAGGGGTTCAAAGCGTACAGAAAACAGGCGAGACTGGTCTGTTGACGACGATAGCCATGCAGTGTCCAAAAACCAGATAATCCACGTCAGAAAAGCATCGACCGGAGGGATGGAAGTATGACCGTGTATCACCCGCGATCAAAGTATAAAGAAGTATGAGCAGGAGGACATAGACGTTTTCAGGAGAACATACAACGGGACACATAGTTCACCGTCTTTGCTCTTCGTATTCAACGACTCATCCCAAATCATTAGATGTAACCACACAACCATTTCACGAAGGAAGAAGGATGAACCATCACAGCCACTCCCAGAATCCCAAGCGGATTTTCCGCTCTTCGTTCGAACGGAATCAATCCATCAAAAACCGAGTCGGCTGCGATTCCGTCATATGCTGGCCAAGTGCAAGGACCTCGCACACCGTGCAAGTCAAGTCCCAGGTTCCGAGTCCCAATACCAAAGCTAGGCACGAAGAGGTACGCTATATGCATAGCTGTGCGGCATGGTCGAAATGGGACCAAAGACGCATGCAGGCAGGCTGTATACTAAGGCGAAGGCGCCGGTCAGAATGCAGCGAGAGAGAGAATGAAGAAGTGCATTTATCGATGGATTGTGGATGTCAGTAATGCAAGTAGACCGGCTGTCCATTTGTTCAACGGTGGTTACTTGGCTGACATGATGTGAAACAGCGAGGTCTAATCGGAGGGTTCGGACGAGGAAGGAGTATGATGGTCGGAGAGGAGAGCGTTAGATTCAAAGGGTATTATATTTAGCGTAATGTACACGGAGAAAAATGTGAATGAGACTGAGCGGAACATGATTCCTCACTGGTATGAACACCTAGATCTGGACAAGGATTCAAGTCAAGCGATGTAGAAGAAAGAAACCTATCCGCCGGCGACACATCTGAATCGAACGCTCGGAGAAGCGCCCGTCTAAGCTTAGACGTCGTTCAGAGTTGAACAACGAGCCCAGTGACGGAGCGTTGAGGCTACAGCTGCGGTAAAGAAACTTTAGCCTTATTATCGCACCAAGTACAGTCCAGTCTTCAAAGCGCATGTATCACCCGTAATGCGGAGATGACGATATGTACAGAGGACCCCAAAGACAAGCGCACGGATGATGAGTAACTCTGACATCAAAAGCATATAGTCCACGGAAAAACGGAGAAGAGGCGGTTCAAGAACGATAGCGAGCACATCGAAAGTGAAGGGTCCACAAGATGCGAGTAGGAATATGGATGGTGTCTTATCCTGTAACAGTTGTCCTTAGGCGTGGTAGTGAAGGATTTGGAGTAATGAGATGGGGGAGCAATCATCTGCAGATAGGCTATTCACGAGGAGACCACGACGACGAGACTTTTACCACGAAGGAGAATACGAGTTACGAAAGACAAAAGCGCACGACCTGTTCTCTGGCCTTCAATGGCATACGTCACCCGGGACCCAAAGACAAGTGACGAACGGACGCAGACTAAGGGTAACAGAGGACCTCTAAGAGGCACCAGCAGGCGTGTAGGCGTATACATCCGAAAGCGTGTGGACGGATACATCCGAGATCAAAGTACGACCCAGTTCGCAGAGAAACGGAGGAAAGGCAGCTGAGAACACGTACCTTCATCGGAAGTGAAATCGCCAACAGTTGTGGGTACTGAGCAGGAATACCCAGCGACATTACTTCGGAGGCGTGGTAACGAGGGAAGAGTGGTGGCTCGAGAATGGAGGGATCGTTCGCTGGGGACGGATGATTCAGGAGGGAAAAAAGACGACGAGGAAGAGACCACTCACGAAGGACACGTACGAGGGCGGAGGCGAGTACGAGTAGCAGCGCATCGTCGCATCCGGCCATTAACCTCCAATCGCATGCAGCACGCGTGGACCATAGATGGAGGGTGAGTGTTACTAGATGAGTATTTCCAGAGGCCAGCGTGTACATGACGAAGAGATCGGGGATCAAAGGGGACGACTCAGCTAGGGGTAGTTCGATATGGAGAGAACGATAACGATGGTAAGAATCCACTCACGAAGGAGACGTACGATGGTGGAGACGAGTGGGAGTCTCGTTGGAGCTGCAACAGAGATCGTCGGGAGTTCAACCGCATACAGCGCGCGAGGACCATAGATGGAGGATGAGTGGGCGTAGGAGAGAGCTTGGAGAGGCCAGTTTGTGGATGACGAGGAGCGTGCAGAAACGAGGAGTCCCAGTACGCACCCAGCCACGAGTATACCAGGAGCTAAGTCACGAGAGAAGCTGAGAGTACGGGTTAGCCTGGGTTAGTACAGGTTAGTACGAGCCTGTCTTTGAGGCGCGATGGCTGTTGGTCGTAGAGAGCGTCGAGTGACGATCGTCGTCGTTGAGGAAAAGAGAAAAAAGCGCCCACTCGGCCCACGCCGGTCCGGACCTCTCCGCCACCTCAATCCAAAGCTCATCGCGTCGCCACATCGCCTCGTCTCAACCTCCGACGCCTCTTTCTTCTCCTTCTCTCGCTCCTTCTCTGTTCCTCCAAATCAATCAACACGGCCACCAGGCACGCACAAACAATGCGCACACCAAACGCTCAGAGTCAGTTTGCACGACGTCCGACCCTGTTTCGATTGGCACTCGAGGCGTAGCTCGAACGCTTTGCACATCGGCCCCCTTCCTTCCTCGGCGCTATAAACCTCGCTTTCTATCCTCCCATACCTCCACGCTCGCCCAAAACAACCCACCCACAACGAAACGCAGCCGGAATGGGACTCTTCGGCCACTCAACCTCCCACTCCGTCCTCCTCGAGCCCTTCCACCCGCCCATCGGCCTCAACGCCGCCTTCTGTATGCCCCTCGTCGAGACGCTCGCCATGAAGGAGAATATGTGGAGCTTTAGCGGAGACGACTTTAGTATTCAGAATTCGGCGGGGTAGGGTGTGATGAGATGTCATGAGCAGGCGCTTAGTTGGCAGGATCATAAGGGTGCGTTTCTTCGACGATGGGATACAGTATGCGCATGTCGACTGTGCTCCATCGTTCCACAGAATTCAGAGACGCAAGTCAAATGCCGCTCTTCACCGTTCATGAAAAAGCTTTCGCGCTCCACAAGACGTAGTTGATCGAGGCCATGGATGGGGCTGATCTCTTTACGGTCAAGAAGAAGTTCCCTAGTGCGTTGCCCGTCTACTACCCCCTCCCTTTTTTTTCGTCTTCATTCACCGTCTCATTCCCATCCTATTTACTTTTCCTCTTCATTCATTCTTACCATTCTCCGTGCTCTCATCATTCTCCGTGCTCTCATCATTCTCCGTATCACCTCAACTGACTACTAACGCCGCAAACACAGTCGGCTCTTCCCGCATGATCGCCTCCTTCCCCAACCTCGCATCCGCCAACGCTGCCTCCTCCTCGCACGACCTCATGGAGTTGGAACGTGAAAGAGATCAGTTCGATTGGTGCGTTTCGTTTTCCTTTTGCTTTCTTTTTCTTTGTCTACCAGCATTGCCATTTTGTACGGTATCTTTGAGTCATTTCCGAGATACATGCGCCACTATTTTCCCTCGCCCTTCGTCTTTCACCCATTACGCCTCTCTTTCTTTCTTCGCACTCTCTCTATCTCCTCCTCTCCTACTTCAGATGTCGCACGACACTAACGACCAACGATCCATTCATATCTCCCCTCGCCCGTAGATCAGCGATCATAACCCTTCTCGGCACAGAACGCGTCGTCAGCCAGATATCGCGCAAGATCTTGAATATGAGAGAGAGAGGCCATCGGGGAGCAGCAGACCGTACGTCCTCTATTCTTCTCGGTTTGTTTTCTTTTCTTATGGAATTTGCAGTGGTAGGTGTTTTTGGGTGGTCTTAGGTGGTCATCGGTCTTTGATCGGTTCATTTTTTCGTCTCTTTTGGTTCCGCCTCGCGTTTCTTTCTTGTGCTTGGTTTTGAGGCTGGTCGGGCGTTTGTCTTGCGCACGGAAGACTACGTTATTTTCTGGACACGTACCCGAGCTCAGAGAGAGCGCGAACCCATCCTATCCCGATTTAGTGTTACTTATCATCGTCCTCGTCTCAAGCGAACAGTCATCGTCACCGTCTCGGCCGAACGGCGATCGTCTTCGGTGATCGACTAAGTGGTGGGCTGGCCGGATGGCCAGCTGGCTGGGCTGATGGCTTGGGCTGGCTGGATACTGTTGTCTCGTACTAGCGTGCGCGCTTAGACGTTCATATTCGTCCGTATTTGCGTTTAGGCTTTCGTTCGAAGCCTTTTTTCGAAGCTGGATCGAAGCTCGGAGGAAGGAACGGCATTTGCTGTATACGTGACATCGAGCGGTTGCGACATATAATACTTCGGGTGTTTGCCCACTACGAGACATGGAGGGTTCGCGATGTATACAACATCGAGCCTTTGCTTTATAAGGACATCGAAACATTTGTTCCTTGTCGTACCACGAGCCTTTCCGATGTATAGGCATGGAGAACTGACTCGGTATCAGAGTTCGCGCGTTGACCACATCATGCTCGAGCTTTTGCTCCGTGTCGTGCTTCGAGAGCATTGGCTCTTCATCGCATACACGGATAGATACATACATAAATCAATAAGCATGCATATATATGCGTACATGCGATGTTTTTGGCCTTGTCATATTAAAGTCTTCGGTCAGCCATCAGTCATGCCAGTCGAGCTGTTCGATGGCACCCTCCATACGCACACATCTACGCATACACCCATGCATGGACTGTTCATAGCTTCCTGATGGCGTGATGATGGAGTGCATGACAGCGACGCGTCGTGGATCGTGCGCCGTTATTCATTCTTCGTCATGTCATTCGTGCTCAACATCCAATTTCCTCTTTATTCACTCTCGTCAGCGTGACCTACCGTGGTCTGATCCTTCCTGTCCTTCATGTCTCCTCGTGGGAAATTTCACTCGATTATTGACGATTTTCTTTCTTCTCCCTTTATTCTATTTTTTGGCATCTTGTTTTTCGACATTCTGTTTGTCGTTCCCGCTCCGACTTCATCTTCGATTGGGTGAACTATGACCTTGACTGGATGCACACAGATGTCCACCGGTAGACTATGCGGACTAAAATGTTGCTGACTACTCCCTCTCTGCCCCGTTCACTCGAATCAGCTCCGCACTGAAACCCACGTTCGTAGTCTGTACGGCTTCGTAGACTCCAACCGTTTTAACTTTGCCTGCTCGTCGTACCTTGCGACCGATGTTCCGCTACTGACGATCTCATCTTCGCCAGCCTTTTGAAGCCGTTATGGTACTCGGTGAATTTCATGCTTCCGCGTTACCGTCGTGCTTTCTCTATGTTCTACGAGATCAAATGTCGCAGGATGTGGTGAGGGCTTTTGAGGTTTATAGAGAGACTACTTAGTTGTAGGACTAGCAGGGTCACTGTTGCGAATACTATTGCAGAGGAAACCTAATACTTGGTCAAACCATCTCCATCAAATATTAGGGTGAGGGCCGATGAGCAGGATACAAAGCTCACGCAGGGTAGCGCTACTTCAGAAATAAGAGTGGGACTAAGAGTTCCAGCGGGATGGTCTCAGCTCCATCAAACGATAAAAGTACACAGTCCCGACGGACAGACATGAAGTAGAAGTGAGCGAGTGACGACAGCCAATTGTATGAGATACATCCATGGTGTGGGATCGAAAAGGAGGATGGATGCGCGACGGAGTGTACCGAACGTCAGCCTGTATCGCGAACGAGATCGGTCTCTAGGCAGGCGAGGATCAAGCGTCACCGTTGAAGGCTTTAGGTTCAAATATAACACACAGTCCAGAGACCCGGAGCGTTGGAACGGCACAATGAATAGAGCGGCAAAGCAATCGGAAGGGAGTAAGTCACAGTCGTGAGGCAGAAATTAGGGTCATCTTCCTGAACGGATCGAGCAGCCACAATTCGGCGAAGACATGCAGAATGAGACGCGCAGGCTCATCAAATCGACGACAAGGGCTATTCAGATTTATTACGCCCCAAATATAGGCTGAGGGTGACGGAGACGACGATGAGCGGTATTCCGCCTTGTAATAAGATGATAAGCGAAGAGATTGAAATGCAAAAGACAAGTGGAGTGAGTGCTGCGTTCGGTGCGCCAGTATGGGCATAATTCTGAGGTATATTATGTCAAAAAAATGAACTGGTATACCTCAGCAATGGTATAGCCGATATATCTAGAAGTTTGCGAAAATAAATCGTCCCTCGGACGGATGAGAACGAGGCGGGGAAGATAGGCTTGGGAGGAGCTTACTTCGAACGCGCGGATCCCAACTTATCCAGTATCAGTCACTCTCAATGACGGGCTGCCAGCTTGAATTCTGGACGATGTAGTTCACTCCGTGATACTGAAGCTTTGAAGAGGAGACCTGTGCACGAAATCGATCTCAAGTACGAGACATCTCTGCCTCCAGCTGCCTCCTAGCACCAAAGTCCATGAGCCATAGGCAAGTCCGAGTCACGGAGAACAGAGAAGACGCAGATTGTATAAAGTCTGTCCGCAAAGCGAAGCCAGCATCGTAGTTGCATCTCCATCATAGTCTGCTTTTTAGGCGGCGGTCTGTCGTGGTCGTCACAGAAAGGAAGCAAAGAGGATGAGAGGGAAGAGGGAAAAACGAACATGACGTCATCAATGCATGAACTCACTGGCATCGCCACAATCGGCGCCACATCGTTTCGTCCTCCCTCCCTCCCTCCATCTTCCCAACTCCTTTGACCGCATTCTTTGCTAGAATAACATCTGTACTGGGAATCTGCGTCCGTTCACACCAACAGCTAGGAAAACGATTGCATTCGGAACCTTCGCAAGTCGATACTCTACGCCACTGATGATGCCGCACCTCCCATTCTACGCACATCTCAGTCAATGTTCACCCCGCGACAAAGTGGCGTAGTACTTAGACGGAAAATGCAGGCTATGGTGATTGCTTCTGATACTGAGGGTTGGAGCTGGTCGGAAGCTGGATGTTCCGAGTCCACTGGAGTAGACGGATGGAGCAGTCGCCCAAGTGCGCATGCGCTGCCGGCGCAGGTGAAGAGGAGGTTTGTAGGTACGCCCGCATTGTTTTTTCTACAACCTCCGTCTCGGATTCGTCGAATACGCATACGTCTCTCACCTCATCTGCATTCCGTGCTATCCGACATCGTAGCTCCGTCACTCACCTCCCTTCTCAACCCCTATCCGCCCCTCGCCATCATGCGAAGGTTCTACTCGCCTCTCGAGTTCCACTACTCTCGTCCGCGTACGGACACTCGTATGACTTGGCCCTCACCCGTCTACTCCGTACTCGTACCTCCGCATCCACCTACGACGCACATTGGTTGACGATCGACACTGGTCAATCGCCACACAACCTCACGCTACGAAGGAAGGCCGTGATGATAGAGGTGGTATGAGGCGAAGTTTTCTCGAGGTGTCGGTCTGAAGGCTTGTCCGATTGTCTTCCCCAATTGCTCCGCACAATACTATCCTTCCTTGCCTTTCTAGCATATCAAATACACCTCTTCGAGCTTAACCGACCCCTATCACTGAGCGCATCGCGAACGATGCAACTCTTCCGCACGATCATTCCATCAGCGGCCGGCTGTCCCTCGACACTTTCACCTCAACCTCATCCACGCCAAACCTCTGAAATATCGGCACACAATCTGGACTAAGATGCGGTCTTCTCGATGGCTTTTTGGGTGGTGTAGCAGGAGAGGAAGCCATGGAGGAGGGGCTCGACGGATGGCAAGTACGTACGTGGGTTTCATAGCATCTGGCTGGGGGATGGCTACTATTGACGGTGGTCCCCTTTCGGTAGATATGATAGTCAACTTTCGCAATTCAATATTTTTGCCTTTGCTGTGCTTTGAACGGTACGAAGGTCCACATCTCTCCCCTTCTACACCAACATTTCCCATGTTCCTGCCGTCATATCATCCTGATCCCTAGTACTGACGAATATCGTCGTCTCAAGGTGGCCACCACGAGATCCCTCGGTCCCCAGCTCTCCTAACAACGTTATCTACACGACCACCATGCCCCGCACTCTGCCCCGATTTATCTCTCATATCCGCCGTCGAATTATCAGTAATTTTCAAGCTCAAGTTCTATCGCACGCACCTATATGCCGACTTCCGCATCCGTCACATCGCCCATCGATCACTCTCTCCAATGCCTACCGCGCGCTAAAGCTCTCCTTTCACCGTCGCCACGACATCTCCTGAACCATTGGCCCGAACACGTCATTCAGCTGAAGGATGTAGTTGACGATTCGAGCGAGGTTGGTGGTATAGCAAGATGGGAGATGCTTGAAGGTCGTTCCTTAACGCATATATTCATGGGGATGGACGAGCTCGGGTTTCTAACCCTGATGTAAGTGTATCATTTCCATGCTCGTGCTCGCGCACGATCGTTTTATGCCTTCGACCTTCCTTCTCCTTTTATTCAGACTCTTCGACTCTCGTGTACTCAGGCCACGCTCGCCACTGCCAAGCAACCCACCTCACTCTTCCTGAGGATGTCAGGCTGACGGACGAATGCTGCAGTCTGTATGGCGCTCGCTGCGTGATCAACTGGAACTGTAGGGCCGTAGTCGAGTGTGCTGAATTTGATGGATGAGATGAAGTTGCGTTCGTATGCTGCGGGAGATGCTGCTCCCGATAGTCTTCAGGGTCGGCCTCAGATTGTGGGTTTACCCGTATTTTTTCCATGCCGTCGTCTTTGTTCTCGTCGCCTAGGTTAATGACTCTCAGGGGTCAGGAAATGTTCCCTCACTCTCGCGACTTCTCTCCTCTTCGCATAACAATCCCCACATATACCTTTTTACATCTCTTCCGTTCTCGTAATATCGCTCCCGACCTTATATGTATTTGGTCTCTTTCCCTGTATTACACGATGCCTTTGAGACCACGGTGTCCGATTTTTGAACCACATCCATACGGAGTCGAGTGTAATTTTGCCGGCCATCGTTCCATGAACGTTCTGTGTCGCGCCAGGAGGCGTTGTTCAATCCTGCGCTCGACTTTCAAACCTTGCTTGCTGTAGTGCATTGCCAGCTCATTGGCTTGCCTCCAAACTGAGGGCCCCAATTGTAAGTATGTAAAGAGAGGAAGCGAGCACATATCCACCCTAAATTGTAGGAAGGCATAAGAGACGATGAGATGACTGTCCTGTCGCATCCGAACCATGCACGTCGTTCGTGTGGCGACACAGTATACTGAGACCGTATCACCTCGGGGACCACTAGGGGATCTATTGGGCGGAAGCAGCGGACCTACGTGTGAGTGACATAGCCTAACGGCTGAGACATTCAAGTAACGGCAGGTGTGGAACGAGGATACAGGGAATAAGCGCTATTGGTAATGAATAGTTTATGGATGGTACAAAATAGAACCGATATTCGAAAAAATGGAGGCACAACCACGCAACGTACAAATGTAATTTATGGAAAACTTGGCATGGGTTTATGGTGTGAAGGGAACTAAAAAAGGAGACAAGAGACTAGTAGTCCTCGAAATATCTAGTCATACAATGACACGGATGAATCGGACTCAGCGCTGAATCAAGAATTGAATAACCCTCGAAACATTCTGAAAATTAGAAAGTCAGCATGACAGGGGAACTATTACACATCCACACAATGAAACATACCGGAAGTTAGTCGTCGACATAAAACCCACTCGCTCGGACATCCCACTAAAACTTGATCGACTCTCCCGTATTCGCGTCCCAAAGCCGAATTGTCTTGTCGTACGAGGCCGATGCGATGAGCTTTCCATCCAGTGACCATGCGACAGACCACATTTTCTCAGTATGGCCTCTCAGAAGCTCGAAAACCTCCTTCCCCGTCTCCGCATCCCAGACACGGACGGTCTCATCCCGAGAGCCAGAAACGATCCGCTTCCCATCCGGAGAGTATGCGACTGACCAGACCCAGTTGGTATGACCTCGCAAGGGCTCTCCCACTGCCTTCACCGTCTTCGTATCCCAGATGCGGATGGTTTTGTCCAAGGAGCCGGAGACGATGCGTGTGCCATCGGGTGAGAATGCGACAGAAGTGACAGTACGGTTATGACCACGGAATGGCTCCCCTACTGCCTTCCCCGTGTTTGCATCCCAAAGACGTACTGTCCTATCACCGGAGCCAGAGACGATATATCGTCCATCTGGCGAATACTGCACGGACCAAACATAACTTGTATGCCCTTCGAGTGGCTTGAAAGCCTCGGACCTCGTTTCGAGGTTCCATACACAGACAGTGTGATCGTCAGAACCGGAAACGAGGTGCTTCCCATCGGGTGAGAATCCAACGGAATTGATATCGTCGGTATGACCTCGCAGGGGTTCGCCTTTCTGCTTCCTAGTCACCGCATCCCAAATCCGAACCGTTCTGTCGAAAGAACCGGAGGCAATGAGGGAACCATCTGGGGAGAATTGAACGGATGAAACGGAGCGTGTATGGCCTTCGAGTGGGCGAAGAGATTCTGTGCCGGTTTGAATGTCCCAGATGCGGATCGTGCGATCGGCAGAGCATGACACGAGACGTTTGCTATCGGAAGAGAATGCAACACCCAGGACGAAGGAGTTGTGACCGTAGAGGCATGCTCGATGGGTTTCGGAGACATCAATGCTGGTAGATTTCATGACGCCGTCGATGGAGCAAGCGACGATGCTTGTCCCATCCGATGAGAAGTTGACAGAGGAGGCCCACTCTTTGAAAGGCATGATCAGAGGATTAATCGCCCGACCTACTTGAGATTCCCACAAACGGCAGGTTGAATCAATCGATCCAGAGACGATGTGCTCTCCGTCCGGAGAGAAAGCAAGCGATGTGATCCAGTCGGTGTGACCGTATAGGACTCGAACGTGGGTATCGCTACTCTCGAGGTCCCAGACGCGTACCGTGCAGTCGTAGGAACCGGAGATGAGTTGATGGCCATTCGGGGAAAAGGCGAGGGAGATGACGCCTGCAGTGTGGCCCTCCAATGGTGCTACAGAAGGACCTGGAGTGTCGTCTCCGGATAGGGAACAGACATGGATTGTACCGTCGGATGATCCAGAAGAAAGGAGTGAATTGTTGGATGAAAAAACCAGTGACGTGATGGTGCTTGTGTGAGCCAAGGGTGTGGCCACGACAGGTGCGCCCGAGGCTACGTCCGAGATAACAATCTTGCCGTCCGCACATCCGGAGGCCACGAGCGTGCCATCTGCGGACAGTACGACGGATCCAACAACGTCGCTATGCTCTATGATACGCAAGCTTTCAGAGGTTCCGATACTCCATACTCGAGCGTAGTGGTCAAGACCACCAGACGCCAGAAAAGCTCCATCGAAGGAGAAAGAAAGAGAAAGTACAGCAGACTTGTGTCCGTTGAGTGTTTTTGTCAATGTGGCGGGCATGTCTTGATCTGTTAAGCTGCGGATATTGATGGTGTTGCCGAACTCTCTGACCATAGCGATATGTCCGCTGCTGGGAGAACTGGCGATTGACGATGTCACTTCTGAGGGTCCTGGTCAGTTAGCCGTATGGTCTCTCCGTGGTGTGAAAACTGACCTATCTGAGAATTGTCAGATCGTTCATTTTCTTGAAACAGTGTTTTACTGATTCGGAGTATGCTCAGACGAACATCTCGAGGAAAATGTTCGCCAGCCTGAAGAGTGTATTGGAGGTTGGGAATCTCGCGTAAGGCCCGACCTCCATCACCTAAGTAAAAAGTATCAGTGTCGTCAAAATATAACACGATGAAGATGCGCACGGGAAGCTGCCATTGCACCGAACTCATTCACCAGGTCGACGATGATGTTGTTGCACTCCTGGCTGTAATCGCAAGCAGAAGAGATACTGCGTACGAGCTCGCCGGCGCGATCGTACAGGTCGCGCTCCACGGAGTCTGGTAGACTATCCATCTTGATCCCAGATAATTCAGACCAAGATGCCAAACCGATATCACTGTCTTTCGACTTCGCGAGTAAGGCCTTCGGTTCATAGGAACCATTATCCTTCTGAGCACCGTAAACGAGTGAGCTGTGAAGCTTTTGACCTGGCCTAATGTACCGGCCAGCGCCGCAATGAAACCTACAGAATAGGTATGTTAGCCACTCTGCGAAAGATCATAATTATGCTGCGTACCAACGCCTCGTGTCACTCGAACTGTTGTATGTGAGATGTGTCAAACGTAGACACTCGAGTGTGTGCCATGGACCTGTCAGCGATTCATGCACATAGATCTTTGGTTGGAGTTCCCACTTTCTTCCGAACGGTCCTAAACGCAAGCCTGCTGCTGTTGCTTCGTACGACATCCAGCGCAAGGGTGGGTCGCTGCGATTCATCTCCGGGTTTTTGATGTTTCCACCGCCTCTGTGATTCGGTGAGCGAGCAGCATCATCAACTTCCCACCGTGCACACTCACATATCCGAGTGCGTACCCGCAAACCATACCTCCTTTGTATGTGGTGAAACGATCGCGTTGGAACGGTTTCTGATTTCTTCCTCTGCCTCCTTCTCCACATCCGGCAATGAGCTACCCTCGTAGGCATACTCCGGAAGAAATTTAACGCGTCTCTCATCGAGAGCCAACGCATGACGGAAGAACGTTACGTGCTTCATGCCAGAAGTCGTCCCAGGTAGAACCTTGTCACGGACGATTCCAACGGAAGATACTGTATCCCTACGTACTTCAATCGTCAGGAGCAGGTGCGATGGAATATTATGCAGAGAATTACGGACCATGCTCCCACAAAATGTACCCGTACCTCCCGAGAGAAAGATTTTTTAAACCGTTTAGCCATCTCCTTCGGGTCGTCACTGACATCGTCTGCATGACTCCCGATTCTCACTCCACTGGCTTGCTTCACGTCCGTATGAGCCATGAGCATCCCCTTGAAGATTTTGAACACTTCGGACTACGGTATCGAAGCAGAATAGTTGCAGCGTGTGCTCGAGTGTATGTGAAGGGAATTCAATGTATACTCACTGTAAGAATAGACATTCTGACAAAGTTCAAAATTAGTCATCAGTTAGAAGGCATGTTATGTGCGATTGAGTGAAGACTGACGAAGATATTTTAGAATAAATGTCCCGAAAACGCTTTGTCTTGCTGTCGTTAGTGAGCTATGAAATATGAAACCGGTGTTAGGATGACATGGATCAAGTCAGAATACAATGGACGTAACCTGTAGGCCAGTGGTATATACTTCCTGAGGGCTAGAAGACCATCTATTATCACTGGCATCCACGGGGCGGAGCCGACTTACGAGGGAATTATTCCAAGACTAGTAATATTCAACGGTAAGCGAGAGTCATTACGGTCGAGCAAGGACTCACAGTAGTAGGACGGTGGATGCCACGAGTATTGAAGCCGCGATACGTACAAGCCATTTGATGAGAATAAAGAATGCCCAGAGAAAGTGAGACACGGGGCGGTCATAGAACAGTGTAAAAATGAAAGACATCGCAGGTATTCCCAACCAAAACAACACATTAACTAACCACACTGTGGTGGTCGTGCTGTTTTCCTATCGTTCGGTGGAATCGTTCTTAGCAATATTCACATATAGAAGTATCCAGGACAGTGCGGCAAACCTTTCCGGTAGAGGCATACAGTTCATATGCACTGTCATCTTGATGGTCAATACCATGCTGTGCGATAGGGAAAACGACATACAACGGGATTTGGGCATCATTTCCTCGATGTATTAAACCGACCTGTGTCCGATCTACGTCAGTGTGTGCTGGAGTCAATCGGACAGCGTTCTCGTACAGTATCAATCATGGCTGATAGGCAGCGTACTTGGTACGCCCCACGAGAAAATCCTCGAGGAAAAGCAAGGTTAGCTTCACGCCTGAATGAGATCCGAGCTTGACATACCGAAGAGAAAGATTTGGTCTCCAGCACGGTAGTTTTCCGAGAGCCATAAGTATGCTTCCTGGATGATCCTCTCGTAGTTCCTGTAGTACTGGCTCGGCTAGGATGTCTACGAGATGCCCAGTTGATGGACACGCACCACGCTATCATGAGGTCGATGGTATGGCCGATGGCTTGTCTCCAATAGGATGAAGACCGCCAGGAAGGTTTAGCATACGTCCCTATACCACTGTTGTAGAAAGTGATCTGACGCTTATCCTTCTCAAGGAGGTGATAGAGCTCGACGACGTTGGAGTTCTGAGAGCAACGGGACGTAGTATTAAAAGACTGCTGCAGAAGTGGCTGTCCGAGTGCGTACCTTTACCCCGAATTGGTTCGCAGTTCCATCGATACACACAACGAGGTTCCTTGGGCCAATATCTTCGTCCTTCTGCGTTTTAGCATACGTCCCAATACCACTGTTGTAGGAGGTGATCTGTCCCCTGCCTTTCTCAAGGAGGTGATAGAGCTCGACGACGTTGGAGTTCTGAGAGCAACGGGAGGTATGATTAGAAAGATGCTGCCGGTGTAGTTGGCCGAGTGCGTACCTTCACCCCGAATTGGTTCGCAGTTCCGTCGATACACACGACGAGGTTCCTTGGGCCAACATCTTCGTCCTTCTGCGCCTCCGCAACAGCAGCCTCTAATTTATCGATCCTATCCTTTGGCTTCTCCTCTGACCGAGAAACAGCCGTTCGTAGGTCCTCGAATGCCGACTTCATCCCCTCGTCAGCCCGAGCCACAGCGGCCCTTATCTGTTCGTCAACTCCGACGCTCGATTGCTCATCTAGCTTTACCTTCGCTTCAGTAAGCTCGACCTTCGCTTCAGTAGGCTCTGCCCTAAGCTCCCGCAGCTGCTCTTCAATGCTTTGATTCGTGTGGTCCATCACCAGAAGAGGTGCACAAAAAAAGATGGGGATTGATTGGGAGATGAGAGTGTCAAAGTGAGGGTAAGGTGTGAGCGAGCTCGCGTCGAAGGGAAGGGATGACCATGTACACCTTCTTTCGTGAGAGGATTTTACCGCGCATGTACCGCGTTGTTTTGTGAAGGCATCATTGCGTTCCGCTGCCAGCATGATTCTGTCAAAGCCTTCATGTGCGTCTAGATTGATAACATCCCGCTGACTTGCTCATAGACGCCTTCCAACTTGGATCGTGTGGAACCCTCAGACCTATATTGAATGTACATGAGGCTTCATGGGAGTGGAGCACTCCCCTCAGAACGTGTACGATTGATACGGTGGTACATTTGTAGCGAGAGGAAGCTAACAATATCGCAATCTAGACAACTCACGGTGAGGGCTAAGTCATGGTATTGCGGGTAGAAAAAATAATTTGAGTCTGCTATGCCAGTCACGGAAAAAAGCGCTCATGCCGCTCAGCTCTCAGATATGACAGCACAGACTCAAAACAGCAAGCTAGCATTATGACCGCCCTCGAGAACTCGACCTTGATATTGAACACACGCAAAACACGGGTGACTCCACAATCGTACGAGCTCAGTTCCACATTGTAACAACGTGTCGCCGACTTCGATGTCGAAGCGACAAGGCCAGAATGCAACAGCCAGTGCTTGCTTCGAGGTGGATTATATTGTTCTTCAAGACACAAGGAACGATAGTACACCCACAACTGCCTTGAAACTTTGCATGCACAGGCGCCTTTGAACGACGCCTCCAGCTATTGTTTTGTATCCAAGTCTTACTTCTAGAGCCGAAGGTTTCGTGGCGGAATTAATCAACATCCACACAGTAGCCGTTGAACTCTGAACGGCGCTCGACGCTCATGGCCTACATCGACCGCTGAATGACGGTCGACTGAGTGGGGAACGAGATCTAGAAGGCGTACACGCCTCAAGGGCGAAGGGGTAAAAATGTCTCCCCGTTCACATCGGCGGTGTCTCCCGCGTCTAGTATTGTTGGCTCGGATGCTTGCTAACTCCGAGACCGCAAAGTGTTCAAAATATGGCGCTTGAGGGGACACAATCAAAGTAAGAAGCAAAGAAATGAAAAAGAGAAGAGGATATTGACGAACGCGCGGTAGAATACTGCTTTGGCCTAAATCCGAGGGACAAGCCGATCAAAAGTTGTATTTGGGGTGTAGCCTAGACTGACAGAGTAAGTGAATGAGTCATGGTGCATGAGTGAGGTGCATCTAGCATGGACGAAGGTGATCGCGCGACACCGTAGACCGAACATGCCCAACATGTGCCATTCTAGTCGGTGAACAACCGTCGGTTCGAGCATCGAGAACGGATAGCTCCCGATGTTGTTTATATCTGAAGCAAATGACGAGGATGCCGAGCGTGGACGCACGAATCGGTAACCCGACCAACAACTGGACGTCTTGAGGGCCAATTTCATTTTCGTTTCACCGATATCCGAGCGTTCATCTTGTCTGTTCCCTAGTCTTGAATTCGAACGTACTCGTTCTGAACACATAATAGGCAAACATACCTACCTTACCTTACCACATCTGAGCGCAGCTGGAGATCGAGCGTAAACGGCTCAAATAATGCGTGAGAGGGGACGCAGAATCGAAACGTAACTCACATGCTGCTGTGGACGGAGCGCTTCATACTCAGGAATCGGCCCCGGTATGTGATCGACTACCCTTTCAGAACGTGCAAGGAATGCAATCGATGATCTGTGTACAAAGAGATAAGGGAGCACTCAGTGAAAGCTCGCGCAAGTGGTTAGAAAAAGGGTCGATACGTGAGGAAGCAAAGGTCGAAAGGAGAAAGTGCGATGAAAAGAGAGATCATTCGAGGTATAATTTTTGCGAGGATTAGTAGAGAGGATGAGATATTCATGCTATCGAGATAGAATGGCCGGAGGAGAGCGGAAACGCGGATATATGCACCTGTGAAAGGGTCGTGAAGGTAATAAAACTGGGATATGGAGGGCGAGGGCGGCAAGACATGATATCCGTGATGCGATAGGCAGTGACATGTCTGCATAGGAAGGAAAGGAAGACGAGGATGGTGGTAAGGCGTAAGCAGACGAGTCGGTAGCTGTGGAAAAGGGAAGGTTAAAATCACTAAGAAAGGATAGCCGATTCTGAGGACGTTGACGAAGAAATAATGCTACTAAGAGTAGGTGGAAAAGGTAGTGAGAAGATGTGACGAAAATAAATGCCGTTCATTTATTGCCGTTTGCATAAATGCTCGCGTTTTGCCGCGGCGCCACCTCTCTTGCATACTTTACCGCTGGAACTGGTTTCACCCATATCTCTACAATGGCGACACCTATCACTTAAGTTTTTTCTGATATATGATCTACTCATCGAGGCCGACAGGCAAGCACTTGAACGGGCCGAAGCAACCGCAAACTCGTGCGATGACGCGTTCACGCTGTTTCTAACGGTGCCGACGACTTTTTGCTCATAGTACATGCATCAGGCCACGTATCGCTTCAGGAATGATACTTACGGATAGCTGAAACTATTGCGGAGAGGCATGGAGTGCTATGGAGCTCGACGACGCGTGCTATTGAACGGAAGGCGCGGGGCCTGGTGCACAGAGTTTCGGGTGAGTTTGTGGCCATATCTTTTGAGGGGCATGGGATATTGACCTGGTATCTTTCGTATGTTGCTTGAAGGACTTGTGAGAGGAAGCGAGGCTAGTTATGACGGTCGGATAGTGCAGGGGAAATTCACAGTCGTTGACGACATTGTGTGAGTGTGTCAGCTCGAGATATTCCCTGTATATTGAATACTCCCTGCATTACCTGTTGTGGGGTCCATTCTCTGGCATGATTGAAACGATTTCAAGTCCCTTCGAGGTTGGTTAGAACTTGCTGAGCTCTCATATTTGTTCATCATATTGACGTTGGCTCACACCGCCACTCGACTGTCAGGGTGTTGCAAGTGTGGTCCTTCGTGCTGTCTCTCATTCTTGCCTTGTATGTGCCACAGAGGACGATGCTTGTCTATTTGTCTCTCTTGTCATACGTGCTTTGCTCCATTCTATCCAGGTCAAACCATACATGCATAGCTCTTCCAGGAATGAATAGGGGCATGGGCTAATGTAGTACATATAATCAATATGTCATGGTCTACAGGCTAGGAAGCTGTCTCATAAACTACCAAATACTTGTATGCTACCCGTTTGAAAGACATAAGTGACAGAAAGGTGCTGTAATATTCTTGTGTAACAGAGACACGCAGTGTGGCTTGAGTGTGGCAGGGGTGCCACACAAAAAGATATGGGTGGCACCCACATAGAGAGGCACTACATTTCAACTACGGGTGTCAATGTGCCTGATATAACATTCCAAATTTGTAGGTAATGATAAAAACAAAGATATGGGAGTGAAAGTGGTGTGGGATAATGGAACTTTTGTCGCATATAGTGGACTGACTCACTGAGTACGGCACTCGCCCGATGTCATCAATGACTGCGAAACCGCCCTGCACCGCCCAACCGTCATAAATGGCCTCGCCTTCTCTCAAAAGGCCTTCAAGCAGTGTATGAAAGAAATGAAATCAATTCGCCATGATCTTGAAAAGCTACGGATGCAAACTCACCCGAAACTCTGCGCACCAGGCCCCGCGCCTTCCGTTCAATAGCACGCGTCGTCGAGCTCCATAGCACTCCATGCCTCTCCGCAATAGTTTCAGCTATCCGTAAGTATCATTCCTGAAGCGATACGTGGCCTGATGCATGTACTATGAGCAAAAAGTCGTCGGCACCGTTAGAAACAGCGTGAACGCGTCATCGCACGAGTTTGCGGTTGCTTCGGCCCGTTCAAGTGCTTGCCTGTCGGCCTCGATGAGTAGATCATATATCAGAAAAAACTTAAGTGATAGGTGTCGCCATTGTAGAGATATGGGTGAAACCAGTTCCAGCGGTAAAGTATGCAAGAGAGGTGGCGCCGCGGCAAAACGCGAGCATTTATGCAAACGGCAATAAATGTGGCATACGACGACGTAAGAAACGGAACAATGAATGAGCTGAGAGCATGAAACTGATGTCATCGTACGGAGAACAACCGAATGAAGAAATGAGAAAAACGCACTAATACCATTACGCTACAGCGCTATGAGATCGCATGGGAGGACGAAGAGCTCGCGGAGGCGTGGTCGTCGAAGGAGGCGATTATGCGTTAGCATCCAAGTACGCGATTGGAGGAGAGAGTCATCTGTTGATGCAAAAACCAGTTAGATGTGACGATGAAAAGTAGAAGCAGAGTGATATGATAGCAGAAATACACGAGGAAGAGAAGGCAGTAGAGTGTAAGAGGACACGGAGGGAACGGAGAGGACTGTATGATTGGATATGAGATGATATGGCAAATACGAGGAGTAAGAGAAGGATAGGAGGAACTTACTGAGCAATTTTCCGTTCGCCGTGCAGAGATCTGAATTGGCGGGGTCTATCGTCTCGATAAACTGTGTAGTAGACAAATGACCAAAGTCAGAACAGCCTTGGCCGGGTATGCGCTTGTCGCCAACTCTTCGTTAATTCAGAGCGCTTGATTGACAAGTAAAAACAAAAAAATTATAGGGCAGGAGTGGAAGACGAGGAGCAGAGATGGGATAGAGGGTAAAACGAGAGTCGTGAAAGAGGAAGAAACGTACCCTTCCGACTGTACGCTTACCCACCGCAGCTCGCCACATTCTGTTCCCCGGGATCATCGCTAGCGCAACTTTCCATCTTCACCTTCATTAACAGCGTCTCGCAGTGGCGTTGTAGCGTTGTGGATGGGCGGTCGAGGGGTTCGAGGCAGACAGATTGACCGGTATGGTGGCGGCTGAAGACCCATAGTCGCTTGCGTAGGGAAAGTGAGAGGCCGGGAGGCGCGGTGATGCTGTATTACAGGCGAGAAGAGGGTACATGTCGTTCTGCACAGTGCTGCTGAGATCTGAGAGGTGACGTCGAGCGACAGGGCATCGGTGAGGTTGTAGAGGGGAAAAGCCGGGCTGATTTCCTCTCGAACTACTGCTCTTTTGCAAGTGCGGACGGGGCTCGACACCGTTCATTGTGATGTGCAGCGCGTTATGTATGCATTACACTCGCCGTCTTAGATTCAATCGGCAGGGTGTGTAGCTACCATTGGTGAGGAGAGACGGAGCAAAGGAAAGGGAGACGATGCGATGTGGCGGAATGATTGTGGCGATGAAGAAATTCATATCGCGGAAGGGTCCGGAAGAGGCCCAACTCGGAACCGAGACCTGGCGAGGGTGCCATTTTCCTCACCCGTTTCTCCTCTTCGTCGACCCTCACCACCACCCATAGCTCTTCCATTGCTGCCTCTCCACGGTTCTGTGAACGACCCTCTTATCATTGCTTTACTGCCGTTTGCATAGCTATCCGAATTCTCTCCACAGATTTTCATGGCGCTTATGGGGTCAACTGACTGTTATGACCTGTCCATCACACCGGGCAACCCCGGTTGAACGAGGCTTGCCCTTGGTGCCACATTTCAGTCTGCACCGGTAGCTCACTACGAAAATCGGTTCAATACTGGTTAGGCATGGCCTGATATCGACAACGGACGATTGACTTGCACTGGGATTATTTTTTACGCATCCAGCCCGGCCTGGGACTGAATACGAGGCGAAAGTTCTCTCCTGCAGTGTGGCGCAGCTTCGCGACCCCAAAGGGGCATGCGATGGGCCACGGGGCACGAAAGTGACAGTACTTGCCGTCTCGCCGAAGGCTAAGCGCCAGAAAAATCTGACGCAAGAATTCGGATAGCTATGCAAACGGCAGTAGCTCGGGTGCTGACTGCTCTTCTCCTTTGTGACTCATTCGCCCTCGAATAGCTCTCAAACTTGCTGATAGAGTTGGGATAATTCGCTCTGGGTTCTTCTAGGTTGCACTGTTGGATTTGTGTCCGGGTATGGCTCTGGAATCTCCTCTGTCTGTCTGTCTGTCTGTCTGCATGGTGGACGCCCTCGACATGTTTGGTATCACAGTCTTTCTCACTGGTTAGTCTCACGCTTTCAATATCCGTCGAGGCTGGCGGTTTGTTCTTGAGTGCTACCGAATTCCCTATCTCGTTTCATTTGCCTCTGTCAGGATATGCTGCTCGGTCCTTGCACCTGGTGGATCGCCAAAACACATATACCGACCACAATCTGGCGATATAACACTCGACTCCCTCACCGAGACGAGGACAAAGAATCTAAACTCGACCAATCAGCACTCGGCATCCACCCTAGTGTTGTAGTAACATGCACGTACGTTCCTATCGGCTCTTCGTAAATGCTGGTTACAAATCGTGTAAAGTACCCACCTCGCTCATGAGTCGTGCTCAAACTCATGGCTGCGACTAGATGAATGATGTTTCTGTCCGCGTCCTACTCTGACATTGAATATTCACTCGGGGGCTCGTCGTTTGATGGAGCGTGTCTGCTTCTTCCTGAAGTGCTTTCTTGTCAGAAAGGAAACTATGCGCCTATGTCTCTGAGACTTTGACACTGGCTGCATCAGGTTCCGCCACAGCTGCTTTCGAAGCTGCCTTTCGTCACATCTCGCCGATATGGCCCTCATTTCCAAGTCCTGGCTGCATGCAGAAGCTGTATGTACCAGCTGCAGGAAGCGCGGATGGAAGTCCTCGTATTCGACACGGCATGTTTACTTTTTCGTGGAGCTGTATCGTGTCTTCATGGTCCCGCTTGTGGCCCAAAATTGTGTATATTTCGCTCAGTTACCGGATTCGAACACTTCCATACCTATGGATGCCTTTTGCTCGATTATGGCGGAGCGGCGGATCTCAATCCCGCTTTGTGAGATTCCGAGGTTTTCCAGTTCGAATTACTGCGTCTATTCCCTTGTGATTAGTTGAAATATATCCTAACTGGGCCCACCACCATTGTGTCCACGGTGGTCCATGGGGTATATGCTCTCAGAACTTGAACACCTCGCTCCATCCTCTTGTGTATGTTCGGCCCTCGTGCCATTGTGCTTGTCACTCGTCGCCGGGGGGCATTCATCGTGGCTCTGTTCCGTGGCAAATCGAGCCTTCGGAATGTTTGCTTGTCCTCGTTCCTCCGTCAGCGACCACGCATCGTCACTGAAATCGTCCGGGCATCCTTATCTCATCTGGGGTCCTCATGAAACAAGAGATCACCTTTATTGTCAAAAGATCTCTCGTCTCGCAGATCACGTAGACCCATTGGCGCACAACTGCATGCACATGCCTACAGTGGTGCTTCTTCAAACCTTTCGCTTCGTAGATGAGAGTGTTCACCTCGGAGTTGACTTCGCGTGCGTCACGATAGACAGAACAATAGCGAAGCCCCTAGAGAGATGAAAAAAAACACAAGCAAAGGGTACTAGAAGCGAGAAGCAGTCAGTGCTGGGAGGAAGTGGTGTCGGCTGCTATTATTTATGCATGTTCAAATGAGACTGAAGAACGTCGTCCTACTTTATCTGAGACATTGATACAAGCTCATGAAATTGTGTGTAAACATATGCGGTTCTAGTGCATCTCATATAGCAAGCGGATGATATGGCGATTTGACGGGAGGCCAAACGATTTCGAAGCAGTGAGGGCGAACGCTGACGTATACATTTTAGGGTGCAGCGTCCAATGTAAGAGGTTTAGTAGTTGAAACAAAGGCATGGCTGTATTCTCTTACAGCCCAGCACTACCTTTCAGACCAAATACGGGCATAAGCCCATCTTAGCTCAGCTGTGCTATTCCAATGATCTGCTGTGAGACCGCCCGTTTACACGCTGAAAGCTTGCGCTTCAATGTCTTCTCACATTCCTCTCTCTTCACCTCCCACATACGATTCTTCCTAGTCACTTCTCATATTCACACATCCTCTGTGACCTACCGACTTAATATTTCAGGATGAAGGCTGGACCAACTGTGGCGATAGGTCTTAGTGGATCATTGTGGCGATAATTCCGATGGCGACTTACCGTCCGCGAGCGACATTCCCCTCGACCGCATCTTAAGATGCCATCATTATCACCGTCGGAGTCAGTGTCGTCGTCCAGATCTGACCGAACCAGCTAGCAGCACGAGTGTGTGTTCTTTCGTTGAGAGTAGGCCCCTAGGGGTAGTCATAAACGAGGAAGGATGAAGGGAGGTGGTGAGGTGGGTCGATGAGAAAATGGCGAGGTGACATGTATAATCTTAGCTTCGAACGGGAATGTCGTCAGCGATGTGCACCAGGAGAAACATACACGTAAGGCTGAGCTTAGCATGAAACATTATCGATGCCAACACCAACACTAAGCTCTAGAAAAGACTTGATGTGGCCAGCTGACTTATAAGAACGAAACTCATCTGGCAGCAATACCTCCGATCCCAACACGAGAAGAATCGCCCTCTAAGCCTAGATACCATCGAAGAGGAAACAACGACGACAATGCCAGTGAGGGATTCAGAGCGCAAGATGTACAGCTGAAGTACGGTCTACGATCATTACGCTCTCGACCGAGAGAGAAAATCGGAGCGGAGGGAGGGTATCGCTCTGTGGTATCGTGCCGAATTTACATTGCGTCAACACCGATGCGCCCTGAGTGCAAAGAGGAAGGACGAACGAGGGTATACAAAGGGTAGCAGAGGAACCACAGATACTAGCATGTGGCTGGCGAACTGAGATGGAATCCAGAAATGTAGAGTCCGGAGACGAAAGGAGGACCAGGCCTATGCACAGCCAACTACGAGAGTATCCGAAGTGAAAGTGAAATCGTCAAAAGTAGCGCAGTAATGTTGTACCTAACGCAAAGGGGAGTATCAGTTTACAGAGGCGTAGTAGTGACGGAGTTGTGCCGGTAATCCGGAGAGTAGTCAAGAGGGAACCAAGAGGATTACGAAGGAGAAGTACGGAGATGAGAGCAGAGACAAGTACGAGTCGCGTAACAGATACAGCCAAGGTCCAAGATTCCACGCTCGTGAACACCACCAAAGCATCAAGTACTAGGTCGTGCCTTAAATTTTAGAGCGCGTATATCGTGCATAGGGGTCCGAAGCGTACAGAGATACGCGAGAATGGTCTGTTTGATTTAAACTGACGACGATAGCCATGCAGAGTCCACAAGCCAGATAATCCACGGCAGAAGAGCATCGACCAGAGGGATGGAAGCATGCCCGTTTCACGCTCAATTCACAGCAGAACGAGCATTCGTCAGAGCATACAGTCCGGGACCTAAGTGTACGGGTGCGAGTACGGCTAAGTGTGGGAGTATGCCGACGGGCGCGTCTTCAGGACAACGATGTATCATTGTCATGGGCTACCTTCACTTTTCCTAAACCAACGAAGCGTATCACCTCATCAGATACAACCGTATGGTGACCATATAACCATTTCGCGAAGAAGGAAAACATAAACGCACGAACCACCGAACCATTCCAGCCAGATTCCAAAATTTCGAAGCATACTTCGAGTGTTTCAAACGGAATCAGTCTACCACAAGCCGAGTCGAGTGCGATTCCGTCCGATGCTGGCCAAGTACGCAGACCTCGCGCACCGTGTAAGCTGAGTCCCAAGTCCCGTCCCAGTACTGAAGCTAGACACGAAGAGATACGATATATGCACAGCTGTGCGGCATGATCGAAATAGGGCCAAAGACCTATGCAGGCAGGCTGTATGCTAAGGCTAAGGCGCCAGTCAACGTTCAGCGAGGGAGAAAATGGAGGGGTACGTTTATCGATAAATTGGGTTAGCCGGCCGTGAATCCATGCGTTCGAGGGTGGTTACTTCGTTGGCGTTGGCGTGGAGTGAAAGGTCGCGGGCCCATTGGCGGATTCGAACGAGGAAGGAGTATGATGGATTAGAGAGAGAGGGCTAGATTCGAAAGGTGATATCTTCAGCGTGATGTACGCGAAAAAAGGCGTGGATGAGACTGAGCGGAACATGATTCCTCACTGGTATCAACACCTAGATCTGGACACGGATTCAGACTAAGCGATTTAGAATAAAAAAACTTATTCGCCAACGATGCAGCTGAATCGAATGCTAGGAGAAGCACCCGTCTAAGCTTAGACGTCGTTCAGAATTGAACGACGAGCCCAGTG